GTTTCATCCCTCCCGCCATTCAGTTTCACCCACTCCCGCCATTTCACCCCCTCCCGCCACCTACGAAATGCCCGAAGCTCTAGCGGAATCATTTTTTTGTCGCCCCTCGTGAGCCAATCACTGTTTTTCTCCAAACCCCCTTCCCAACATCTCAAGCCGAACCGCGTTGAATGTGCACCCTGGTTTTATGGAGGACTTCACGCAATTCGCAAATTTCCTAGGGTTTTGAATTCGTATTCCTTCACGAAGTTCGACCTGCTATTACAGGGTGTGTCTCCCTTCACAAAGTTTTTCGTATTTATCATTAGCGTATGTGCCGTGTGTTGTTCTAAATATGTAAATATGGTGCTATACAAGTTGATGTCATTGTGACTGTTGGAAAGTGAAATTTCAACCGTACTATTGTCATTTTAATTTCATTTGAAACAGCAAGACAGTGTACTAACTTACTCCGGGTCTAAAATCACACGGACACGAACAACCTTGCAGAAGGACACATGTTTCTTGAGTCCCACTTCTGATGTTTCACCATGCGTGTTTGATAAAACTGTAGCAGAGAGTGACCTGCCAGTGGAGAGGCAGCTGCCAAGCTTATATCGAGGATTGGAACCAGGAGGACTCAACGAGCAGGGCTTACGTAAATCTGGGTGAAAAACAGTCTCTTTCTTGTCATTTCCGTGGTGGTGAACCACAGCAGAATCTTGAATCCTGGTTGTACCATCTGAGCAGCAACCTTCATAACACTCAGCTTCGTCAGCCATAATGTAACCCGATTCGTCACCGCAGCTGCATTCGCCAGATGTAACCGCAGGTGAACAGAGAGAAGACTCGCAGAACCGAGAGATTTGCCCCGCACCAGCAGTAGCGGCGCAAGTGTCTTCTTTACTTCCCGGAGAGAGCGGAGGCTTGTGCAAATCCCGATGTGTTCCTCTCTGACTAAACCGTGGTCTTGTCGTTACATGATAGTTTGTGCCAGCTGGCACGGCAGACACACAGGCACAAGCGCCGGTTAGAACAGCATCGTGATTGGCAATTCCGCCACCGCCGCTGCCCCTGCCGGCGTTGCACGTAAAAGTATTTTCGTCCACATCCCGCCGTCCCTCCACCCCACACCCTGCGAATTCTCGAACCGTACTGTCGGGTTCGCAGCTCCCGCAATGGTCGTCTTCGACGGCTCTGTTAATCTCAACCGCAGTTTCCCAGAATTGAGAGCGTCGCCGGCCGTGGAGCCACCCGTTCAGCCGCTGGGCAATTGAGCCGCTCGGGGACTTGGGGGAGACACAAGGGGAGGCGCAAGGTGAGGATTTCCCGCCAAGCGCAGCTACGCTGGCTTCGGGCGCAGCTGTATGTTGGCGGAACGCGGCCGGGGAAGGAAAGGGGAGGGATACCGTGGCGGAGCGGCGGGCGGGGGGGGGGCGCAGCAGGCGACGGGGCACTATGGAGAGCCGCAGAGGATGCGGACAAGGCGCGGCGGAGGATGCGCGCCGTGGGCGCTGGCAATTTGCGATCACCCTCCGCGGGCGGGGAGCCTGCGCGGTACCCGCGCGCTGCTTTCTTGCCAGCCTGCTCGCGCTCTAGCTGCTCCGCCAGCTTCACCCACACGCGGTCCATGTCGGGGGAATCGCGCGACCGCTCCGCAATTACCTCCGCGTTGGGACTGCGCACCACCGCGGGCGTCGGCGGACGCCAGCCCGAGGGGGAGGCGGAAGGGGAGGGGGAAGTCTGAGCGGAAGCGTAGTGTCCGCCAGCCCCGCGGAAGCTAGCTGTGCAACGGGGGCGCACCGTCACCCTACCGCGGCATTTGCCGCGAAGAGCATGACACGTCGGAGGCGATACAAGCGCGGCAGAAGCTGACGTGGCGGGCGTAGCTGGAGAGAGAAGAGACGCGGCTGGGAACACGCACGAAACTGAACCGTTGCTGCCGCTACTGCTGCCGCTAAAGCCGCCGATACTGCCGCTGTCGCTGCTACTAATAGAATGCGGAGAGCAGCCGCAGGTCGATGCGCGCGTGACCGTGGTGATAGTCGTCGTGGGGGCGTCAGCGGCCAAGGCGGCGGAACATTCGCCGCCGTCTGGTAGGTCTTTAGGCGGTATCGTATACGCCGTGGAGGCTTCTGCAGAACGCGGGGATTGAGATGTCTCGTAACATGGCGGTGATGCTGACTGTAGTCCCGATATGGAACCCCCACCCGGAAGGGGGTTTTCGAGGACTGCTGGCGACGAGTGCTGCTCTGGGATGTGCACTCGAAGGCTCGCAACTTTCAGCGAGCGACGGCGCGCGAGGGGCTGCGACTTCGGCGACGATGTCGCTGAGCTGTCGCTATGTTGGGAATTAGAAGGAGGAGATTTGCGTCGTACTACTAGACAATTCATTGGGCCTCTGGAAGACGATTTTTCAAGAGGAAGCAGGGATTGGGGGGATACGACCATTTGTCATGGAAGCCGACATAGAATCTGTGAGTCTAATTAAAGAAGTGAGTCGAGATAAGAGGTAAGAAGTACTTGGGAAAGGCACATTCCTTCGCATGTGCGAGACGAGACGACAGAAGCCCACGTCGAGGAAAGTTGACAAAAAGGATAAAGCGAGCCGTTTGCTATGCTGCGTTGGACTCATATTTTTCCTTCAGACCTGCTCGTCGAGCGAGAGACAGCGAAAGACCTTCAGTGACCTGTGACCACCACACAACTAAAAAGACAAGAAGATGGAAAGGTCGCAGCAGTAGCCGTCACCGTCATTGCGTACAGTGCTGAACTGTACTGTATGCTCTGACTAGGCGCGCTATACGTCAAGCAATGCCAACAACGAAATCTCACGTGATTCGTGAACGACGAGGGATGACGTGACGGGGGAGGGGGAAGAATGGGGTGGTGGTGGTGGGGTGGGGGATGGGGAGGGGGGATGGGGGGGAATGTGGGGAAGAGTGCGGAAAGTCAATGCCTAGAGGACGGCTGGCGAAAGGTCAAGCTGTTACTGTGTCACGAATGTTCAGAAAAGATTTTTTCGGCATTGGCTGCGAAGCCGAGTGTACAGTGCCGATAAGGCATCCGGATTCGGGGATGGGGGGGGACTGGTGTGTGCTTGTCAGCCAGCGAGGCTGGTCGCAAAACACGTCAGCGAACAGTGTGTGTTTTTTTTTTTTTTTTTTTTTTGGATGCAATACACTTATATAAGCGGTTACATCCACAGTCGTAACTGGAGCGAACAGTGTGCTGTGAAGTGAAGGTTCCAGAGATTCCGGGGCCACTGCACCAGCGTGGTTCGCAACGCTCCAAACCAAACCAACAACACCATCAAACTGCCCTGACGGCGTTCTGTGCCAATCAAGTCAAGTTTGAAGGTTTCATTCAGGTCCTAACTAAACTTGTACACAGTGCCCGCCTAACTAAACGAGTTGGAAAGTGGAAGTCAAGTTGTCATTACAGCCGTATACAGTGCCCGCCATCCCCCCATGTGGCTGCTGAACATCGGTCCAGCTCACCGAGCAGATTGCCATCGTGGAATGGAAGGGAATGTGCTGGTCGTACAGTTGCAGATCACGGGTAATGTGTCAGGACGGTTCCACACGGTGGAAAGCGATTTCTATAAAATATCAGTTTTCCACCGTGGCGAAACTAACTAGACCGCAAAGAGATGTACAGTACGAGCTGGACACCCCCCCCTGATGCTTTTTGCTCGTGGGTGGTGCTGTCGTCTTCTGTTCCACCCAAACCAATGGCTAAGCCTGGTGCGATTCGTGAACCAGGAGATGGATATTAACTCGTTATTGAGTGAGTTATGTAGGAGACCGAAAGATCGTTGCACCAAACCAAGCATTTGCATTTACTTCAAGTAAGAACATGCTCAGGTGACAACCAAAACTCATTGAAGGCATCTGAGTGCTGGATTAATTGATGTTACACATCCGACTCTTTTACATTCAGAAAGGGCCAGCCAGTGGCCATTGTTTAGCCTTTACTGTACACTCGAACAGCCAAGGCCATGCCCCATACAAAGAATGCAACCAGAGTTTCCCAAAGGCAAAGCATTCCTCGTGCTCTTGCCACAGCAGCACCAAGCCACTCCATTGCTCTCCAGATCTATTCAACGGGTAGCAGGAGGGCTCTCCTCCTTGGGTTTTGAACCGTATCAAAACCCCAACATTATGCAACTCTTTCAACGGGCAACAGCGCTACTCGTGCTCTCCTTTGCTCTCTTGTGCTCTTTCCTTTCCTCCCCCCACTCCTTCCCCTCCTCTTCTGATCTTCGCTTACAACCACCATCACCCTGAATGCCCCCTCCACCAGTCGTACCTTCCTGAATGCCCCCTAGACCACTCACACCTTCCGTTTTCTCTCCCAACGCACCCTCCTGATTGTCACTCTTGTTAGTATCATCAGCATCATGGCCCGGGCTGTCAAAGTCGGCAGCAGAAGCGGCAGCAGCCTGAGCATCAGCCGCCGCATCAGCAGCAGCAGCAGCAGGAGTAGAGAAATCATCAGAGGTAATAGAGCCCTTGCTTTCAGGTGCACCTCCCCCTATTCCAGCAGCAGCAGCAGCAGCAGCATCAGCAGAGGCAGCATCAGCAGAGGCAGCATAACTCATCGTGCTGCTACCGCCCTTCAACTCACCACCACCCTTCAGCATCTCTCCCTTTCTATCTTGTTCCGCACCTGCAGCTGCTGCAGGTGCCTCACCTGTATGCGCCTCACCTGCAGCTGCTCCTGCTGTTTCTACAGTTGCTGCTGCTGCTGCTGCTGCTGCTGCTGCTGCTGCTGCTTCTCCTGCTGTTTCTGCGGCCCCTCCTGCCCGTGCTGTTGCTGCTGCACCCCGTGGATCTGACGTTGCTGCTGCTGATGCCGGTGGAGGGAAAGGAGGGGTGGAGGCAGGAGAGGAGGCTCTAGGCGACGCGGGTGGGGATGGAGACAACGAGGGGGACGGGGATTCTAATAGGGACGGGGATGCTGAAGCGGATGCTGAAGGGGATGCTGATGCGGATGCTGACCGGGATGGAGATTCCGGTCTAGGCGATCGCGACGGAGACGATCTGGGGGATTGTGATGGTGACGATTTCGGTGAAGAGAAACCTTTGGGGGAGGAGGAGGGAGACGACTTGGGAGACGAGGAAGAGGGGGATGAGGGGGACGAGGAGGGTTTTGGGGACGACTGTTTCTCAATAGCCTTGCTGCTGTACCGATTTGGTTCTCCGTTGTTGCCCTTCCCTCCTGCCTTCTCGCTCCCCCTCTCTTCCGTCTTCCTCTCCTCCATATCCCTCTCTTCTGTGACCCTCTCCTCCTCGTTCCTCTCCTCCCGCCTCCTTCCCTCCTTGTGTTGCTGCCCTGGGTTAGACCTCTCGTCCCCATCACCCCTTCTTTCACCTCTCGCTTTGTCATCACCCCCTCCTCCTGCTGCTCCTCCACACCCTCCCCCTACGGTCCCCCCTCCCCCCCCTCCTCCTTTAACGAGGGCAGATCGGGCCAACATGGCTCCAAGCTTCCCTCCAACAACAATCTTCCCCCCAGATATTCTCCTGAATCCCGCCCCACCATCAGAAGATTTTCGCTTCTTTTGCACACCTTGAAATGGCCCATCCTTCCCTCCCGAACCTGCTCCTCCCGTCCCGCTCCGCTTCGGCCCGTTCCGAGCCTCACCCCGGGCCTCTCCCCGAGCTTCTTCCCGAGCCTCGAAGCCTCTTCCCGAGGCTGGGGAGCCGGTGGAGGGCCGGGGGCTGGGAGAGAAAGGGGAGGAGGAGGAGGGGCGGTCTTCGTCGTCTTCATCGTCGTAATCCACGAGCCCGAAAGGCGGCTTCCTGGAAGGTGCCATCATGGGGATGTAGAGAGAAAGGGAGAACACAATCAACATGGCGAGTACGAGCGGATTGCATAGAGAGATAGAGCATGACAAGGGGAGAGGAAAAGGAGACAAGGATAAGAAAAAAAAACAACCAAGGACCAGGATATGGATAACACAATGGTAGGAGGGAGCTACAAAACTAGGAAGGCCAAAGGAGTGAGATGGGGTGAAGAGGGGGAGGAAGAGACAGAACAGGAGGGGGAGAGAACAGAAGCCACGTGTCGATGCAAACTCACGCGGAATGAACTCGCGGAAACAACAGAGAAACAAAACTCACCTAGATGGGTCTGGAATGACGCCGTTGGCGAGGGTGCGAGGGGGGGAGGGCGAGCGGGACTTGTGGCATGGCAGGGGGGGAGTCTCGTGGTGGGTTATACCAGCCAAACGTTGTTGTAGGAGATGCCAACCAAACCAATCTCACCTAGATGGGTCTGGAATGACGCCGTTGGCGAGGGTGCGAGGCGGAGAGGGCGAGCGCGACTTGTGGCGTGGCAGGGGGGGTGTGCCTGACGGGTCGAGCACTGGCAGGCTGTCATCGTGTTCTTCCTCCTGTGCTGCTGGCTCATCCTCGTCACTGAGTGATTCGATACACGCAGGGGGAGAAAGTTGGGAACATGCTGCAGGTAAATGCGAAGAGGTTTGCCTGATGGGTTCAGCACCGACAGGTTGTCATTGTGCTCTTCCTCCTATGCTGCTGGCTCATCCTCGTCACTGAGTGATTCAATTTAAGCACCGGGAAGAACATAAGCGATTCAAGCACTGATAAGGAAGCGTGTCAAGGGGAGGCGAGAAAAAGGATAAATCACACGGCAACAAGCCGCAAAAAGAAAGGAGACGGAGATGAGAGTGCCATATTTCAACACTTAAGTCGACTCAGCAGACAGCCACCACAATGGGAAAATACCTGACAGGTAAACATACCTGTCACCAGCGCTTTCAAAATAATCCTCCTCCTCTCGCTCCAACTCCCTCTCCTCCCTCAGTCTCCTCTTCTCCACCCTCACTCGGCCTCCCCGCTCCACCCCCTCCCCACTCCTCCCCCCTTCTCCCCCTGCCGCTCCCCCTCCACCACTCTCGTGCCGCCACCTGTCGCCGCTTGATTGCACGCTGATGGCTGTGGCTCGTGGCAAGTGGGAGGGCGCAGGGGCAGCAGAAGGCTCTTCTGCCGGCCGCATCGACTCGAGGTTCTGTTGTAAGTGAGGGAGATGGGGAGAGGGGAGGGGAGTAACAATGGGGGTAGGGTGCGGGATGAGGTTTAGGCTGCTTAATTGCACAGTGATGGTTGGTGCCACAAGCAAGCTGGAGAGTGGAGAGGGGGGTTGAAGGGAGGGGTTTGGAGCAGGGGAGGATTTCGGGACGAGGAGAGGTATCGAAGTTCAACGCTGCTTAATTGCACAGTGATGGTTGGTGCCACAAGCAAGCTGGAGAGTGGAGAGGGGGGTTGAAGGGAGGGGTTTGGAGCAGGGGAGGATTTCGGGACGAGGAGAGGTATCGAAGTTCAACGCTGCTTAATTGCACAGTGATGGTTGGTGCCACAAGCAAGTGCGGGGGTGGAGAGGGAGGAAAAGAGAAGGGGGGGTGGGGAAGGTTTGATTGAAGCTGAGGGGAGACGGGGATGGGGAGAGGTATTGAGGTTCGAAGTTCCCATTTCCTAAACGAAGTCCCCAGTCTCTGCACTAAGACCCCATTCTCTACACAAATTCCATATCCCCTCCCACCTGCTCGTATTTGAGTCGCAGCAGCTTGAAGGAGTCAACGTAGTCAACCGAGTCAACCGAACCGAGTCAATAGAATTCAACAAGGCAAAGCGTTATGAGATGTCTCAGCAAACTAAGTCCCCATTCCCTCCCACCTGCTCGTATTTGAGTCGCAGCAGCTTGAAGGAGTCAACGTAGTCAACCGAGTCAAACCAGGAACCGTATGTCTCCACTAGATGGGTCACCAGCGACTTGATGTTCTCCTGCTCACATGCACGCACGGGCACATGAACAGTACCCACACACACTGAGTCAAGATAGTCAACCGGGTCAAACCAGGAGCCGTATGTTTCCACTAGATGGGTCACCAGCGACTTGATGTTCTCCTGCTCACATGCACGCACGGGCACATGAACAGTAACCACACACACTGAGTCAAGATAGTCAACTGAGTCAAACCAGGAGCCGTATGTTTCCACTAAATGGGTTACCAGTGATTCGATGTTCTCCTGCTCACATGCACGCACAATCACATGCATGCACAATCACATGCATGGTCACATGCATGCACAATCACATGCACACATGAGCACATGCCCACAAAGACACATGCACACACGCGCAAATGCGCACATCCACACATAAACACATGCACATATTTCGCATGCATGCACACTCAAATGCATACACAGACATACCGTGCAAATGAACTCAACAAGGCCCAGGACTGCGGAGGTCCAGGCCAGGACAACGAGGTCCAGGTCACCAGGACTGTGGAGTCGAGGAGGTTGGTTGTAGCGACTGCCGTTGGTATTCACAACCCACGCGCCCACCCACACCACACACAAGGCCAGTGCCCACTCACTCACCTTGCGAATGAATTCGACTAAATCCAGCACCGCGGAGTTGAGGAGGTTGTAGCGGCTGCCGTTGGTGCTCACAGCCCACCCACCCAGTGCCCAATACACACGGCCACTGCCCCACACACAACAGTCAACACACCTTGCGAATGAACTCTACAAGGTCCAGCACCGCGGAGTTGAGGAGGTTGTAGCGGCTGCCGTTGGCTCTGAAGGCTGCAATCACGGGCTCAAACAGGCGGTTCTTAACCAGATAGCGCAAATAGAAGTCGTCCTGGTTGGGGGGGAGGCGTGTGGGAGGGAAGGAGGGAGGGTGTGTGTGAGTGTGTGTTTGATTTGAACATAAACAGCACCGGCTCAAAGAGGCGGTTCTTAACCAGATAGCGCAGATAAAAGTCGTCCTGGATAGGAGGTGGAAGGAGGAACGAGGGGGGAGACGGGGCATGTGTGTGCATGTGGGGGCGAGGGATTGCCATTGGCTCTAAAGGCTGCTATCACGGGCTCGAACAGGCGGTTCTTCACAAGATAGCGCAGGTAGAAATCGTCCTGGTTGGGAGGTGGTAGAAGGGAGGGAAACACTTGTGGTTTGGATGGGGTCCATCGTTGACCAGCATTGACCGGCATTGACCGTATTGACCAGCTTTGACCGCATTCACCAGCACTGACCAGCATTGACCGCATTGACCGGCATTTTCCCTTTTCACCAGGTGCTCAATGCGTCTGCCAGTCTACCTTGAGGCTGAGGCAGGAGCGCACAGCAGATACAACACAACCACCAGGTACCTCTCCCTCCGCCTCCCAGCTAGCCCAGGTAGCCCAGGCTTGGGTTGAGGTGGATGATAACAGCATGTCAACTTGCTGTTTGGTGCTCGATGCAAGTAGCGCTTATACCTTGAGGCTGATGCAGGAGCGCAGGAATCGCACGGCCGCCACCACGAGGTACCTCTCACGCCGCCTCCCAGCTAGCGGGGCAGGGAGGTGCCTCTCCCAGCTTACTTATACAGCAATGTGTGTGCCATTCGTACCTTGAGGCTGATACAGGAGCGCAGGAAGCGCACGGCCGCCACCACGAGGTACCTCTCCTTCCGCCGCACCAGCCGCAGCACCTTCTCCACCACGTTGTTGCGCAGCACATAGTACCTTGAGAAGGGGGGGAAGAGACGGGGTTTGAGAGGCACTGGGTTGATTTGATCCAAAGGACATTGAGCAGCAGCCTGCACCAGCCGCAGCACCTTCTCCACCACGTTGTTGCGCAGCACGTAGTACCTTGAAGGGTGGGGGAGGTAAGAAGGGATCTGGGTTGAGCGGCCCAGGAAGGGGCATGTGAGAACACACAGCACCAGCCGCAGCACCTTCTCCACCACGTTGTTTCGCAACACATAGTACCTTGAAGAGCAAGGGTGGAAGCACGGAAGGCGGGAAAGAGGGAGAGGGGAGAGGTGAGTGGTTTCAAACTTTCTGCACCAGCCGCAGCACCTTCTTCACCACGTTGTTGCGCAGCACGTAGTACCTTGAGAGTGGGGGGAGGGGAGGGAGGGGGAGGGAAGGGGAGGGGAGGGGAGGGGAGGGGAGGGGAGGGGAGGGGAGGGGAGGGGAGGGGAGGGGGGACACCAAGTGGAAGGGGTAAGTGAGTGCTTTCAAAACCTCTTCACCAGGCGCAGCACCTTCTCCACCACGTTGTTGCGCAGCACATAGTACCTTGAAGAGGAAAGGGGGAGGTAAAAAGGGATCTGGGTTACTTCATCTGCTGTGGTGCGGATGACAAGAGAGTCAAGCAAAAGCATGAAGCATAGAGCACAATCCTACAACGACTTACATCATTCAAAAGCTGTGGTGTAGCACACAGAAGCACAGCCAAAAACAAGTGTGGAGCACGAGGCACAGAGAACGAAGCTAAACGCGCAACGTAAGAAGCACAGGAGGAATATGATATGACTCACTTCATTCAAAAGCTGTGGTGTAGCATACAGAAGAACAGCAGATCGCAGATACTACTAACCCACACTCAGGAGCACGCGACACTTGTGCTCCTCGTAGAAGCATGAAGTAATGAGCACGGAGGTCAGACTCACTTCATTCGAAAGCTGTGGTGGAGCACACAGAAGCACAGCAGATCGCAGATACTCGCCAGAACTTCGGGAGCAGGCGACCCCGCTGCTATCCCTCCTCCCCCTCCTCCTCCGCCTCCCCCCCCTGCTGCTGTTCCCCCTCCTCCCCCACCGCCAGCAGCAGCAGCAGCGGCAGTAGTTATCCCCTTTACAAGCACATCCACGTACTCCTCATAGAACACGTCTAGGAACTTGTTCTTCTCGGCAGTATCCATGGTGTCTGTGTCTAGCAACTGCCTCAATATTTCTAAGAGCTGCACGTGAGACCCCCCCTCCCCCTGACTGCGCTCCACCATGCCCTTGACCTGGGAGGGGAGAGCGGAAGGGGAGGTGAATGGCGGAAGCAGGAGAGGAGAGAGTGTTGTTACTCCCTAAAGGCAGTGTCCATGGTGTCTGTGTCTAGCAGCTGCCTCAATATTTCTAATAGCTGCACCCACCATGCCTTGGACCTGGGAGGGGAGATGGGAAGGGGAAGAACAGCTGATTGTTCTTCTCGGCAGTATCCATGGTGTCTGTGTCTAGCAGCTGCCTCAATATTTCTAATAGCTGCACCCACCATGCCTTGGACCTGGGAGGGGAGATGGGAAGGGGAAGAACAGCTGATTGTTCTTCTCGGCAGTATCCATGGTGTCTGTGTCTAGCAACTGCCTCAATATTTCTAATAGCTGCACCCACCATGCCTTGGACCTGGGAGGGGAGATGGGAAGGGGAAGAACAGCTGATTGTTCTTCTCGGCAGTATCCATGGTGTCTGTGTCTAGCAACTGCCTCAATATTTCTAATAGCTGCACCCACCATGCCTTGGACCTGGGAGGGGAGATGGGAAGGGGAAGAACAGCTGATTGTTCTTCTCGGCAGTATCCATGGTGTCTGTGTCTAGCAACTGCCTCAATATTTCTAATAGCTGCACCCACCATGCCTTGGACCTGGGAGGGGAGATGGGAAGGGGAAGAACAGCTGATTGTTCTTCTCGGCAGTATCCATGGTGTCTGTGTCTAGCAACTGCCTCAATATTTCTAATAGCTGCACCCACCATGCCTTGGACCTGGGAGGGGAGATGGGAAGGGGAAGAACAGCTGATTGTTCTTCTCGGCAGTATCCATGGTGTCTGTGTCTAGCAACTGCCTCAATATTTCTAAGAGCTGCACGTGAGACCCCCCCTCCCCCTGACTGCGCTCCACCATTCCCTTCACCTGCCCAGGGAAGGCGGGGGAAGGGGAAAGGGGAAGGGAGGGAGGACGGCACTGGAGGTTCAGTTCAGTGGTGGGCAAGGGAACGAAGAACAGATTGTACATCTGCATTTTGAGAAGCATTTTATGAAGTGCGTGTGACGTACAAGGCAGGAGAACAGCGTGTGCCCAGGTTGCTCCACGAGAAAGGTGCGCAGGGGGGCAGGGTCGGGGCTCAGAGCAGACATGAGCATGTCGGTTCTGCAGTGGGGAGGGAGGAGGGTGGGTGGGGGGGTGGAAACAGGTTGACGGATGGGAAAGACGGCGGTGATTCGTGGTAAGACAGGGTAAGAGTGGAGGGTCGGGACTGAGAGCAGACATGAGCATGTCGGTGCTGTGATGGGAAGAGAGGTGGGGAGGCAAGGGGTGAAGTCAAAGGGAGCGCAGGAGAAAGGGTGAGATATGGGGAGAAAAGAAGCGGACAGCAGTGTTGGAGAGGGAGAACAACCCATTGGAAAGCGGTGAACGACCGGTGAGCAAGAGGGAGAACGGGGCTGAAAGAGCGGAAATTGGCAAGTGGTGTTTAGCATGGGAGTGCACGGGAGGTTGAAACACATACCCGCAAAGGCGTAGGGAGGCGTCAGTGTGTTGCAAGATCGTGGTGACGATTTCAAATAGGCCCAGACCAATCAGAGCACTGCACGTTGACAGAATGAACAGAGAGCGTGGTTGAAGAAAGGATGGGTTGGAGTATCAGACACTTACCTAGCTTGTTCGTACTGATTCAATGATGTTTGTAGCGCCTAGCCTACAACAAGTCTGATCCTAAACGTCAATCACTTAAACACATACGAAAACAAAGCTGGTACGTCGAGTAGAGAACGGCTGGAGAAAAAGAGGGAAAGGGTAAAGCCCACTACAGTTGCAACGCTCAGAAGCGTCAGAAAACAAGACGGAAGGACGGGGCGAAGATACCTAAAGGGGGCGAAGGTACCTGAAGGACTGGTTTCTCTGTGTGATCTGCAGGTGCTTGTGCAGCGAGCAAAACTCCTGGAGGAATCGAACCTGATGCGTGGGAGAATGAAAGAGAGGAGAGGAAAGAGGCAGTGAGAGAATAAACCCTAAACCTTAAAACCCTAAAACCGAAGAGATGGAGAGGCTCGGTTGAAGGAACCCTCGCAAGAGTCTCACAAGCTAATCAGATCAAATTCACCGAGCATGTCCGATGTGACAAGGTCCCTCCCTGGACGTTCGAGGAAAGGGGCGTCTGACAAGCGATCAATAAACCATGTATCCACAACTCACGTCACGTGTCTGTTTGTGACAAGTACATGTTGCTTAGACTCTTCCCGTCTCACTCACCAGGTCTCTAAAGGCGGGGGAGGAGGGGTCTTTGGATCGCAGCTGGGAGAATAGGTCCGAGAGGAAGGGTTTATCTCCCTGCAGAGTGGACACCACCTGAGGAGGATGCAGGGGGGGAGAAAGGGATGCGCAGGGGGGACAATGAGTTAGGGCTGCTGCGGAATGCCCTGCTGGGAGAATAGGTCTGAGGGGAAGGGATTGTCGCCCTGCAGAGTGGACACCACCTGGGGATGGCGTGGAAAGGAGTTGGAGGGGGAAAGCAAGTGGAAACTGAGTGAAACTGAACCATAATAATCGCATGACCAAAATAATAATCATAATAATAATAATAGTAATAATAAAAGGAACTTCGGAGCTGCGGTTAGATCACATCCTACCTACTTCCACATTATTGAGAGGATCACATCCTCCAACGGAGTTCACAGCTGACCCCAATCTTTAAGACCTGCGGTGCGGTCCCCATACCCACCCACCTCCACATTATTGAAGAGAATGAGGGAGTTGAAGGTCCCGTATGTCTGGTCGTCCAAAACCCGCGGCAAGATCACATCCTGCTCGAGAAACGAGGCAATCGGGGGCGGGGCGGTCGGGGGAGGGAGGGCAAGCGGGAAGGGGGCGAGACCAAAATTAGATGTCTAACAGCACGCTGTGATGCATCCAAGTCTGTGTGTCTGGCGCACCTTGGCACACTGCCCAAGATCTTGGAGCACAGGTTGATGTCCTGGATGGGCACGGTAAGGCCTCCCAACACAACTCCTCGTACATCTCCTTTAGAAAACTACCAGACCAGAAACGACCTGCAACCACTGAAGCAGTAAGCACGCACCTTGATGTAGCCCAGGCGGTACGTCTGGTGGATCTTGGAGCGCGGGCTGGGGTCCTGGATGGGCACGGCCTCTCTCTTCCTCACAGTACAGGGAAATAAGGCAGAATGGACACACCTTAAAGCCCCAATAAGCACGCACCTTGATGTAGCCCAGGCGGTACGTCTGGTGGATCTTGGAGCGCGGGCTGGGGTCCTGGATGGGCACGGCCTCTCTCTCCCTCACAGTACAGGGAAATAAGGCAGAATGGACACACCTTAAAGCCCCAATAGGCACGCACCTTGATGTAGCCCAGGCGGTACGTCTGGTGGATCCTGGAGCGCAGGCTGGGGTCCTGGATGGGCACGGCGTCTCTCTCACTCCCTCTCCCCCACATTACAGGGGAATAAGGCAAACTGGACGCTCCTTCAGTCCCCAATTAACACACCTTAAAGCCCCAATAAGCCCGCACCTTGATGTAGCCCAGGCGATATGTCTGATGAATCTTGGAGCGCAGGCTGGGGTCCTGGATGGGCACGGCCTCGCGATACTCCACCTGCTCCAGCAGGAACTTGCGGTGCTGCTGGCGAGATGGGAGGTCCGGGTCGTCTGGTGATGATAAAGGGGCATAGAAAGCGTGTGTAGGGGTGATGGGGCACAAGGTCAGGGCATGGCCTCACGATACTCCACCTGCTCCAGCAGAAACTTGCGGTGCTGCTGGCGTGACGGCAGGTCTTGGTCGTCTGGTGCATGGGGCAGGGGACATTGATAGTGGTTCAGAAAAATGCAGGTGTGGGGCATGGGGCACAGAGGGATGGGCACGGCCTCACGATGCTCCAGTTGCTCCTGCAGAAACTTGCGGTGCTGCTGGCGTGAAGGGAGGTCAGGGTCGTCTGGTGACACGGGGGGGCAGGGGGCATTAACGACAAAGCATGTGTTGGGATCGGAAACGTGTAGGTGAGTGTGTGTGTGGATGGGCACGGCCTCGCAATGCTCCACTTGCTCCTGCAGGAACTTGCGGTGCTGCTGGTGAGAAGGGAGGTCCGGGTCATCTCGTGGACAGGGTATGGGGCAGAGAGGGTTTCATATGCATAGGACACAGAAAGTAGCTACGGGGAATGAGCACAGGGCATGGGGTATGTGGGTGGGGTATGGTGGGGTACAGGGCATGGGGCATGGGTCCTGGGGCATGGGGTATGGAGGATACGGCATGGGGGAACAGGGGCTATGGGAGAAGGGTACACAGGAAACACCGCACGCAAGGGGCACGCAGGCCCGCAGGCTACTGTGACACTAAGAGGTCCAGAATGGCGCCGACGCCGCTGACGAGGCACTGCTATGCTGACATGGCATGGCACGTGGCATGACGTGGCACTCACATTCAAGAGCCCCGACAAGGTCCAGGATGGCGTTGTCAGCAAAGAGGAGGTCGAAGAGGTTGGTGTCATTAAGAAGCACTGCGGGAGAGAGAGCGGGGGAGGGGGAAGAGAGGGAGAGAACTCAGAAGGTGCCAGAAGGGCGGAAGGATAGAGAGACAGAGCAGACAAAACTCACACACACAGAGAAAAGAAAAAAAACCTGAATGAAAAAGTCAGGCCCTTAACCCCAAAACCCCACAATGTGCCCTGAACTTCAACCCCTGAAGGTTCAGGCTTTGGCAAGTAGAGCTGAAGGAGGTTCAGCAAGTAAAACCCTAAACCCCCAACACCCCACCCAGCCCCTTGGCAATGCGGTACAGCTGGTGCAACCCGTCTAGATTCTCCAGTCCAGACCGTCCACAGTCTAAACCCTAAACCCTAGACGTGACCAGTCCTTGTACTACACTAGGATGACCAAAGCTGCACTTTGCCCCCACACCTTCCCCACACCTCACAACCTGGAACCCCAAACCCCACTCCTTACACCTCGCACCCCACACCATAAACCCTACCTAATCCCTTGCCAATGCGGTACAGCTGGTGCAACCCGTCTAGATTCTCCAGAGCCTCGCACTGGTTTGACTGGTGCTGCACCTTGCTCTCCCATCCCACACCCTAACACCCTCCACCCCACACCATACTCTCTAGACATACCCTACACCCTAAGCCCCCCGCCCCTTACCCAGCCCCTTGCCAATGCGGTACAGCTGGTGCAGCCCGTCTAGATTCTCCAGATCCTCGCACTGACGGAACAGGTCAAGCAGCTTGGGCACGTAGCCCTGGGGGAAGGAGGGATGGGGGGGGGAAGAGGGGCAGGCAGGGGAGGAAACAGGGGATGCTTGAAGCGCCATCAAGGGGCTCCAAGGTACAGCGGGTCCTCGTCGCACTGGCGGAGGAGGGGGCGCAGCATGGGCACGTACGTAGCCCTGGGGAGGGGGGGAGGTGAATGGGCCGGGGTGATGGATGGGAGGGATGGGAAGGGGATGGGATGGGGGAATAGGTGATGGGATGGGGGAGTGGAAGGACAAGGCAGTGGGCGCCTCAAAACAGGCACGCCAACACACAGGGAGAGTGGAATGCGAGGGCTGAAGGCCACAGCCTACCTCCCACTGCTGCTCGCACATTCTTCCAACCACCACCCACCCCCATACCCCGATGACGCCCCCCATATTCCCCCCATGTGCCTCCCATGTCCCCCCCTGCCCATACCTTGTCTTGTCCCCCTCCCAGCCGCATACCTCTCTAAGGACGAGTGAGGCGATTCGGTCTTTGTGGAACAATGGCACGTCTGTTAGCATCTGCAGGGGTGGGGGTGGGGGAAGCGTGCCGGGGGAGCATGGGGGCAGGGGCGAGGGGCAGAGGGAAGAGGCGAGGGGAGAGACGAGTGAGGCAATTCGGTCTTTGTGGAACAATGGCACGTCTGTTAGCATCTGCAGGGGTGGGGGTGGGGGAAGCGTGCCGGGGGAGCATGGGGGCAGGGGCGAGGGGCAGAGGGAAGAGGCGAGGGGAGAGACGAGTGAGGCGATTCGGTCTTTGTGGAACAATGGCACGTCTGTTAGCATCTGCAGGGGTGGGGGTGGGGGAAGAGGGAGGGAGGGGGGGTGGGGGTGGGGCGTGGGGGTGGGGGTTGGGGGGGGAGGGGGGTGTGAAGAAGAGCGAGGAGCACGGCGGGTAGGGTGGCGGCAGGGATGAAAAGGGGAGGGGAGAAGGAGATTGGTGGGGGTGGGAGGTTGACGGGGGGAGAGCTGAAGGGCTGGTAAGAGGGGCATTCACTCAGTGTGGGACAAGTCCTTATCAGGAACGTGGGTTGGGTGGGCAGGAAAGGAGAGGAGGGGGGAGGAGGGAGAGGAGAGGAGTGGGAAAAGGGTTGGTGGGTGTGAAGCAAAAACATATTATTTACCTGTCACAGATTAACAACGACAGAAAGGTTTATCTGAGATGTCACTCTGGTCTCACAGGAAGCTTCCTCCCATCTCACCTTGGCAATGACAGGAAGGTTACGGAGCTCCACTGCAGGCAACTCAGACATGTCTGTTGCTGCTTCAAGGGCTGATTGCGCACGCAGGGAGAGGAGGCAGGGAGAGGAAGAGGGAGGGCAAGGAGAAGACAAATTTGACCAACCGAGCAATCAGCAAGGAGCAATTTCTCAAGTAACCCACCGAACCCACCATTCAAGTAACCCTCCATTCAAGTAACCCACCATTTTCGGGGGATGCCTCATGAATTGCAATCTCGTCCCGTGCTCCTGCCCCTCCTCCCTCTGCATTCCCAACACAGCACCGCACAGCACCGCAGGGGACAGCACAGCACAGCACAACACCGCACCACAAAGCACAAACACGGAGTACAGCGCAAACCCATGCAGCACAGCAGGAAACACAATTATCTCTTTGCATCACACTGCACCCATTACCACAGACAGAATTGTTGCATGGGCAAGCCGCCATGACGACAAAGGACAAGGACAACCAATGCGCTACAGAACTTATCACTTGCACGTTATTGTAAAACCAAAGGCGTGGGAGGTGTGTGACATACACATCGAGACACAACCCACCCCCCGTCTCCCCTCACACACACACACTCACTCACCTGTGCCTGGAGGCACCTGCACTTGACGCTGCACGTTGCATATTTGCTCCCTGCACACGCACAGGGACGAGGGGTGGGAGGGAGGGCAGCGGCAGAGGCAGGCAGGGTAGGAGAAGGAAGAACATGTTTGAGCGCGCACATGTGAAAAGAGCTCAAGCCTGCACTTGTCACTGCACGTTGCATATCTGCTCCCTGAGGGTGAGCAGTAGGAGAGGAGCGAACGGGAAATGAAAGGATCAGGGACGATTGAGCAGAAGAGGCTATAAGAGCAACAAAAGAGTGCGACTGTGGAAAAAAGCATGTCAGATTTGGCATGTGATAGCAACCATTGAACAGCAGCGCACACAAGCACGCACAGCTGTTAACAACGCAGGGTGGACTGAATTGGATGCACACGGAATGCACAGGCACATGGAGCACCGAGCACCGAGCACAGAGCACCGAGCACAGAGCACGGAGCACGGAGCACGGGGCACAGAGCACAGAGCACGGAGCACAGAGCACGGAGAATCACAGTGCAGCGAGGCACACGAGAGAGGCACGCACCATATGTAGGAGCAGCCCATGCTTTCTTGGAAGCTGAGTGCCAGGTCTGTCGCAACCTCAGGATCCGTCCATGAAATGATGGTGTCTGCAGGAGCGCGAGGGGAGGAGTGAGGGAGGGGAAGAGAGGAAGAGATGGTGAGAGAGGGGTGGGGGGGTCGAAGGGGGGAAAGGGGGGTTGAACAAGCAGCATTGTGTCACACCCACCATTCACCTTCTCTGCTGGTGAATGCCGTCTGCTGATATGCGGTGCACCAGCAGCAGCTAATGATGGTGATGGTGCCACACACAGGCACACAACCACGACCCATCCTTTACCATCTCGCCGCTGGTAAATGTTGTCTGCTGAAACGGTGCACCAGCAGCAAGCGATTATGCCACACACATACCTTCTTGCCGCCGCTGGTAAATGTCATCTGCTGAGATGCGGTGCACCAGCAGCGGCAAGTGACGATGATGGTGATGCTTCCACACACACAGAGGCACGCACACACCCACGAACCATTGCTTACCTTCTTGCCGCTGGTAGATGTCGTCTGCTGAGATGCGGTGCACCAGCAGCACCAAGTGATGGTGATGGCATGGTGTTACCACACACACACAACCATGACCCAGCCTTTAACTTCTTGCCGCTGGTAGATATCATCTGCTGAGATGCGGTGCACCAGCAGCAGCAAGTGATGGTGATGGCATGGTGTTACCACACACACACAACCATGACCCAGCCTTTACCTTCTTGCCGCTGGTAGATATCATCTGCTGAGATGCGGTGCACCAGCAGCAGCAAGTGATGGTGATGGCATGGTGTTACCACACACACACAACCATGACCCAGCCTTTAACTTCTTGCCGCTGGTAGATATCATCTGCTGAGATGCGGTGCACCAGCAGCAGCAAGTGATGGTGATGGCATGGTGTTACCACACACACACAACCATGACCCAGCCTTTACCTTCTTGCCGCTGGTAGATATCATCTGCTGAGATGCGGTGCACCAGCAGCAGCAAGTGATGGTGATGGCATGGTGTTACCACACACACACAACCATGACCCAGCCTTTACCTTCTTGCCGCTGGTAGATATCATCTGCTGAGATGCGGTGCACCAGCAGCAGCAAGTGATGGTGATGGCATGGTGTTACCACACACACACAACCATGACCCAGCCTTTACCTTCTTGCCGCTGGTAGATATCATCTGCTGAGATGCGGTGCACCAGCAGCGTGGCGTTGTCCTCCTCGTCAATCACCACCAGCCCTATGGCGTCCGATCTCTGCCGCATGGAATGGGATTGAAGGAGGCATGAGGGCAGAAAGACAGACACTCAACTCTCTCACGTGCCTATGACACGGGGCCCCTCAACTCAACGTAGAAACCCTATACAAAACCAGACGCAATTAACGCCTCAAATCCCTAGTTCGAGTTATTCCACTGACACTTGGCCTGTGTACTCCCGTACTCCAGTAGAAACAAGAGACCTCTTGCAGCCAAATGCAATTCGCTCACGCCTGGATCCCCTACCTCGAGGTATTCAACTGACACGTGGCCTGTTCCCTTGTCGTCCCACTTCCCATCGTCGTTTAACCGATACACCTTCACTCGCTGTTGGGGGGGAGCAGACACAGCCGCAAGCCAGAGAAAGGTATCGACTGGGTAGTGAATAATTTGCCTGCAGAACAGGAGGACGGAAGAGCGGACCGCTGTCGTCCCACTTGACATTGTCGTTCAGCCAATACACCTTCACTAGGTGTTTGGGGGAAGCAGACACAACAAAATCACACGCCAGGGTCGGATAATGACTGGGTGAGTAGTTCGCTTGCACGACGTAAGGAGGGGACGCGCGGCACTATAATCTCGTCCAGTTGCCTTCGGTTAAGATACGGACACGTGGCAGGTGGTACTTCCTTGCCACGTGGCAGTCGATAAGCCTTCAGGAGAGGAAGAGAGCGGCCCGCAAAATTGGACAGCCACTAGCGCGCGGTCAGAGGGGAAAGGCAACAGATGTTCGAAACGGGAGCATCTGGTAATGAAAATACTTAAATCTTGTCAGACGGTCGAAAAAACTAGCATCTGGCTAAGCGACCTTGAGAATTCACGAAAACACGGATCGCGGACGTGAGAGGCAGGCGAAGTAGGTGAAAGGAACGGCAAGTAGGGACCGGTTTCTGAGAGGTTTTTAAGCAGTTTTCCAGCCGACTCAAAAAGGCCATTCGACTTCGAAACGGATCTGCACGAGCATCCACGTGTAATCACGTGCGGGCGCGTGCGTGCACGTGCCTGTAGGTGGTTGTACTCCATCTTTCCCGCCTGCTGGCCTTGTTGCTGCTGCCCCGACGTTGCTGAAGCCGCTGGTTGTTGCTGCTGCTGTTGCTGTTGCTGTTGTGGTGGTGGCGGTGGTGATGCTGGTGGCTGTGGTTGCGACGGTTGTTGCTGCTGTTGCTCATGCTTGGTCGTTGCTTTACTCGCGTGCTGCGCTTGCGGCTCCGAATCGTCTTCAGGCATTTTTCAAAGGAGACCTAGGCAGCCTGAAAGAGTTTAAAGTCGTTTAAGATCCTCTGTTGCCGAATCCTCGGTACTGGATGAATTAGAAGCGACTTTCCAAAAGCTACACTGGTCCCTCGTTGAGCCTCGTCATAATAGAGAAATCGTCAAGTATCTTAAACCGCTAACGCCAACCATGCGACAATTAACTGCACACGCAGCGCAATGCACAACAAAAACGGCCACCTTCTGAGATAAAACTAGCGGCAGATACCAGATCCCCTTTTCCCCACTACAGGAACACCAGCCGCTTCCGACCCACGCGAAAAGTCAAATCAGTACCGTTAGCATCTAAACCTAATTACAAGGGCCATGCACTTGGTAATTCACTAGCCCAAGCGTCGGAGCACGATCAAGCTGTCAGAAGCCAGGACTGGATAAGCACACACGCAGAATAGTGAACCACGAGGACATGAGGCAGGTGAGTGGTGCTCCAGCCAGAGAGCCATTGACTGGATTCATAATAATTCTGTATCTACAACAACTACCACCAATAAAGTGGTCAGAAAAGGTGAACAGTTGACTTGAAAAGAAGATGACGTGACAGGCGAAAGGTAACCTGACGGGTGCTCCAATCAGGTCGTCGCTAGTGCACGTGACGAACACTGAGTGGTAACTCAACGAAATGGTAGCACTAGTTGAGGCGTGGTCATCCTGGCCTGCGAAATCGTACACTGAAACACGAATACCGTACTCGCGAAGATTTGGCGGGAAAGTGAACGGCCCAAATCGGCTGGACAATTCTCAACTAAAGGCCAAACTCGAACATTCTACAAGAATATACAATCTAATACATGAAACCTCCAAAAACAACACAAACAATGCAAATCTGCAAAACCGAGGGAAACAAACAAGAGTGTGCTGACTCAATTTGTAAGCGCTTTACGAAACTAGCACACCCTGCATTCCCGTTGCAACCTCTCTGACGCTATATGGAGCTTGCAGGGCCACTTCTGGTATATGCCCCTTTCAATATTTCTTAGATCCACCCCCGCCGAAAATGGATTTTCGAATGAGATGTCCAATGGAACCTCCACTGCTGCCACTGCTACTTTCTCCTGTTCCAATGGCGGAGCCTATTACAAGTGAGGATGGTGGGACGCCTTTCAAGCAGCCATCCAAAGTTGAGAGTATCTGAATCACAGGGGGGGTGTCAAATAGGTAGAGAGGTAACAAAGAGATGAGAGTCAAACTTGTAAAACACAATGTACCCACCATTCTTGGCACTGTGCAACACAAGTAGAAGGCATGAGAGTGCCCTACAAGAGCACATTACCTCTGTGAATTCTGGCCTGACAGCAGGGTCAGCAGCCCAGCAGCGTGTGATGAGACTGCTGATGCAAGATGGCAGGCCGGGAGGGAGAGGCGGGCGTAGGTTCCTGCACATGGACAGAGAAATAAAGGGAAAAGACAAGGGAGATACACACACATTAGAAGTAGAGACGAGGTTGCATGCCCGAAATCAGTTGTGCACCAGGGTCTACTGCAGAAGAGGAAAGTATCCAGCAAAGCACCGTAACATCGACGACTGCGAATAGTCAGTGAGAATTCACTAAGATGCTTGCTGAGAGAGATACCTTTGCAGGACTCCAATGGCTGCTTGAAGGGGAGTGAGGCCAGTGTAGGGAAGGTCGCCTGTGATGACCTCCCTGGTGAGATAGCACATCATGGGAGACGTTGGGCAGAGAGGGGAGATGATGGGAGACGGTGTGAAATAACAGGTGACACTGGGAAATGATGGGAGTAGATGGACGAGTATGGAAGAGGAGACAGGGTGAAAAACGCGTGCACGGGGAGGTGGGGGTGTGGGGGAGTTGGGTTTAGTGCGTAAGCATGGCAGCTTGGCAATCAGGAAGTAAAAAGGAAGTGCACGGGAAACTGCACAGAAAAGGGACCCACCACATGGTGACACCGAATGAGAAGATGTCAGCGCGATGGTCGTACGGCTGGTGCTCCATCACCTGCCAAGCAAGGTCAACGAGGCAAAGAAATGTGGATTCGAAACGTCTCAAAGACTGACTAGCGTATGGCGGGCGGGTGCTCCATCATCTGGGAGCGTAGAAGCAACAGTGCAAGTCGAGAAGATTCTTAAACTGACTCAGCAGGGGAATTCGGCATGGAATGGGAGGAAGAAGGGCGAAACGATGGGTGCAGCTGGTGGTTGCAGCACCGGAAATGGAGTCAGGTGCTATCAGGTGCTGTCAGTCAGGTGCTACCTCAGGTGCTGTTAGGTGCTACCTCAGGTGCTGTCAGGTGCTACATCAGGTGCCACCAGGTGTTACCTCAGGTGCCATCCAGCGGTAGGTGCCTGTCTCGGCTGTCATGTCTGGCCGTGACTTGGCGGTGGGCTCCCCACACAGCTGCCCTGCCTGCTTCGATGGCAGCAGCCTTGCCACCCCAAAGTCACACAGCTTCACCACCTGAAAAACACGGGAGGATTTGGGAGGGAAGGGTTAGGGGAGGGGAAAGGATGCAGCCTGGGTCCTCATTTGAAAGTCCATTAAAAGATAGGTGGTTCGGTGCTGGTTGGCTCCCCACACAGCTGCCCTGCCTGCTTGGACGGCAGCAGCCTCGCCACCCCAAAGTCACACAGCTTCACCACCTGCGGATGGAGCGAGGGGAGAGAGAGGTTGGAAAGAGGAAACAGGAAGAGGAAGAGGTGTGAGGGTTTGAGAGGAATGAGGGAGGGGTTGGGAGCAACTGGGGCCGTGACTACGATGCTACTGGCGCACCCCGCACAGCTGCCCTGCCTGGTTCAATGGCAGCAGTCTTGCCACTCCAAAGTCACACAGCTTCACCACCTGAGGAATAGTGAACACAGGAAAGCAAAGAGGGGCAGGGTCGGGGAGGAAGAGTGCGGTCGGGGAGGATGAGTGCGGTCGGGGAGGAGTGCGGTCGGGGAGGAGGAGTGCGGTCGGGGAGGAGTGCGGTCGGGGAGGAGTGCGGTCGGGGAGGAGTGCGGTCGGGGAGGAGGAGCGCGGTCGGGAAGAGGGATCTTGAGGAGGTCCCAATGCACAATGCTCTTTCAGTGCAGAAAGTCCAGCCCCCACAACGTTGCCCTCTCAACTACATCCCACCAATCTTAACCATGTCACATCACTCTCAACCACTCACGTCGTTCTCATCCACCAGCAGGTTCGCAGCCTTCAAATCCCGGTGCACAATGCCCCTTCGGTGCACAAAGTCAACCACATCACACCACTCTCAGCCCCTCTCAACCACTCACGTCGTTCTCATCCACCAGTAGGTTCGCAGCCTTCAGGTCCCGGTGCACAATGCCTCTCCGGTGCAGAAAGTCCAGCCCGCGTGCCGCGTCTCTCAGGATCTTGAGCGCCACTGGCAGGGGCAGCCCGCACCCCCTCTGGTCCAACACGTCCCGCACACTGCATAGTGCACAGGAAGGGAAGGGGGAGCGTGGGAGGTGGGGAACAGAGATGAATGGCAGGGTATGGAATGCCACTGGCAGTTGCAGCCCGCACCCCCTCTGGTCCAGCACATCCCGCACACTGCATTGCATTGCGCACAGGCAAGTGGGGTTGGGAGGAAAGAGGGGGGCGGGGAAGGGAGATGAGTGGCAGGGTGGCGAATGCCACTGGAAAGGAAAGCCTGAATCCCGCACACTGCAATCAGCACAGGCAAGACGAGCAAAGGGAGGCGCAGAAGGAGCAGGACAAGACAGGGAAATGCATGTCCTTTCCGAGAAGGCAGTCCAGCACACGGCAGTGGGTGGGAGGAAAGGCGCTGTGTGACGTCGACAGACAGTCGAGGCAATGCCGTACCGCCATACCTGCCCCGTGCCATGAGCTCTGTGACAATCAATAACCGCGGCCAATGCGAGCACGCCCCAATGAACTGTACGAGGTTCTTGTGACGTACCATCCTGCCAGACAGCACAGCACAGCACATGACATGGACGGCACAGCGGGCACAGAGCGCAGAGAGCACAAGGAGAAATTGAGCTGGTTCACAGCCAGTGGAAAGCATAACAGGCATTAACCTAGAGCTACTACGGAGCAAGCCTCACTTCAAGAGCATAATGCACCTCATTATAGCCACCTCCTGCTTAAAGCACTGTAACAGTTCCAGCGCCGTAGCACTCTGCATAGACACCGACATGCCCGCATCCCCCACACACCTTTTCCCCCCACTTCCACCCGCCCTATACCACACTACAAGTGACTCTCCAACGCACCTCATTATAGCGACCTCCTGCTTAAAGCACTGTAGCAGTTCCAGCGCTGTAGCACTTCTCATAGACACCGACATGCCCGCATCCCCCACCCCGGCCGGCCCTCCCCTCAACCCTCCCCCGGAGGCGGCCAGATCATCAGCAGCAGCGAGCGTGATGACCTTGACTGCCACGTCCTGCCCTCTGTATGTGCCTCTGCACAACCGCCCTGACGCACCTCCGCCCAGCCTCTCGCCTATGCCCAACTGCCACGGATGGGGGGGGGGGAGGTGGGAGGGGGAGATCGAGCGGAGATGGGAAGGGGAGATGGGAAGGGGAGGAAAGCCTTGAGGGGAAGGGAGGAGCGAATGAGAGGGAGAGAGAAGGGAGAGGCGGCCAGATCGTCAGCAGCAGCGAGTGTGAGGACATTGACTGCCACGTCCTGCCCTCTGTATGTGCCTCTGCACAGCCGCCCCGACGCCCCTCCGCCCAGCCGCTCGCCTATGCCTAGCTGTAGGGGCGGATGGGGGTGAAGGGAAGATGGGAACGGTGGATGCAGAGGGGAGTTGGGAAGGCAAGGGGAAAACGGAAGAGTGCATGATGCAGAGGGCAAGAGAGAGAGAGAGACCATTTGAGAGAGAGGCCATATATTCTGGAACAGCGAGCATGATGACCTTGACTTCCATGACCTTGACTTCCATGACCTTGACTCACATCATGGTAGTCCACCGCCCAGTCCTCATACGCCATGGCCTCCACCACGGCCCTCAGATTCGCCAGCTGCATTTGCTCTGAGGCCTGCTTCACGTCTCGCTCTCTCCACTTGATTCGCACCACGTGTGTCAACGCGTCCTGTAGCTCCAACTCCTGCCAACACAAGAACGGGCAGGGAGGGCGGGGAGGGTAGGTCAGGCAGGGAGAGCATTGAAAATGCACGTCTCGTTCTCTCCACTTAGTGCGCACCACGTGTGTCAGCGCGTCCTGTAGCTCCGCCTCATGTCAACGAACGACCGGTAAGGGAGGGCAGGGGGGGGAGGGAGGAGAGAAGATCACGTGCGAGAGGACGGTGGTCAGTCAGGTGCGTCAGCACGTCCTGTTTCTCCGCCTCCTGACCAACACAAGACAAGACACAGTTCTGAGATGCCTCAGAGAATGATGCACCACGGAAAAGTGCACTTATATCAACACAGAAGTTCTGGTGAGCTGATGTCGAGTCAGCTGAAAAGCAACTGCGTTCATTGGCATAGAAGTTCTGGTGGTGCTTGGGTGTCTTTTGAGGCGCCTCAAAAGATTCTCACATTGGCGTAGAAGTTCTGGTGGTGCTTTGGCGTGGTGACCACAAAGTCCTGCAACGCCATGCCATCTGACGTGCTGAACACATGCGCCTCCTGTGGAGGGGAATGTTGGAAACAGAGCAGCAGGATGTGCCTCGAAGGTGAGACGATGATCGACAATGTGGGGGAAGAATGCTTTTGAAATGCCTTTATATTGGATGCGCACGCAATGGGAGAAGATGTGCGATGATGTGCGGGGAGAAAGCAGAGTGGATTGGCACAGGCAAGCAGGGAGGCAGACGCAAAACCAGCAAGCCTCCACTCACATTTATGTTCAGCTCCATGTCCGAATTCGCCAGAGCCGAAGTGAACCACGTCAGCAGTCCCGGTCTAACGTGTTCCAAATATAAAGACCAGAGAAAACAACAACCCCCACTCACGTTGATGTTCAGCTCCATGTCCGAATTCGCGAGCGCCGAAGTGAACCACGTCAGCAACCCCGGTCTATCTGGAGCCGCAATCGACACCTCCCACCCGTACACATACCCATCGCCCTCAGCCCCTTCCACCCCTCCCGGCCCGTGCCAGCTCGACCCCCCACTCCGACTATCATCCTCATCCACATCTGTCCCTAGACTCGACGCGGACCCTCTCGACCCAACCAAGAATCCCCCGCCGCTCCCCAACCCTCCCGCGCTCCCCATCCCTCCCGCGCTGCCCAACCCTCCTCCCAAACCGTCTCCCCTCAGGTCCGAAGCCGACGAAAACGGCACGCCTTCCCTTAACGTCGCCGCTAACGAGAAATGACTGCTGCTGCCCTTGTTGTTGCCGATACTACCAGACCCAAACGGCGACCGGCCAGTAAGCGACCCGGATTTGCGGCCGGTCGAGGTGGGAGCGGCAGCTTGGTTCAAATCCACAGCAGAGGAGCCTGCGGAGCCTAGGCCGCTCAGGCTGTAGCAATTGGGCGCGGAGGAGCCGAAGGTGGGTTGCGGGATGAGTCGCGAGAGGGTTCCGGGACAGGGGATGGACCTGCGCGGAGCTGGATGGGCCCCATGAAGCTGCGGCTGTGGCCCAGACCCGGCCAGTCCTGATGCCCCTGATGCTCCTGGAAAAGCTCCTGACGCTCCTGCTGCTCCTCCCGCTGCTGGTAACCCTGATGCTTCAGAACTGGAAGAACCTGCAGAAGCAGCACTCCCGCCAGCCGCTGCTACCGCAGCGGAAACCGCTGCCTTCTGGGAACCTTCCAAGCTTCTCCCGGACGGGCTATTGCTTGCATAATCCGAGCTGTGCCTCCTCCTGGGGGAACTCAGAAAATCTCCTCCGTTCCCCCCGCCTGCCGAACCTGACGACTTGGCTCGGCCGAGGCAGACCCGGCGGACCCGGACGACCGGGCCTTGGTCCGGGTCGGTTTGGTTGAGCGTGCGAGCCTCGTTGATGAGATGCATGTGGAGCAACACGTCCTCATGACGCTGCGGGTTGACGCTCAGAGCGTACCTGCGGTGAGTCGTTGGGTAAAAAACGGACAAGTTACGCGACAGTCAATGAGCACAGCATGTTTCTCGCACAAACGTGCTCGGACAAAAAACTCAATTCTTTTCGCGCAACTGCGGGGAGTTTGCAGACAGCGGCCAAGTACGATGGAGGAAGTGCAATTGCAGCCTGAATATGCGACAGATGACAGGACGGCGACCAGTGCGACGACACGAGACGAGAGATGGAAACTCTTCATATGTGACGCTATGCGACGTTATTCAGAAACTGCAGAATCCAGCCAGCGAATTGACGGAGTTCTGAACTGTGAGCCCGGCTTATCCATAACAAAAAAGAGTTTCTGGCAGCGAGACTTGAGAAAACAAATCTTCACAACTAGATGGGTCGGTCGACCACTAAGGTCCGATTCCTCAACCGCAGACTGCTTGTTGTGCTAGATACGTTAATTGTGTTACGAACGCAAGGACCGTTAAGAAAGCTAGGTTCGTTACCTTGATGGTAGCGTGGCGAAGTGCTTGGACACCGAGTCCTGAACCTCTCTGCTATGTCCGTCTCTCTGGACATTCTCCAAAACGATCCGTAAAACCGCCTGGCAGAGCGATTGCTTCACGGACATACCGCCTCCGGTTGCCGGAGCCGAACCGACAGGTTGAACCGGCGACGGAAGGTCTTGCTTGAATTCGAGCGACTGACCGAGAGCGTCAGGAGTGGACAACGCGTACGACAGGCGACTGAGGTCTAAGGCGGACGAGGATGGGGAGAGAGGAGGCTTAGAGCTAGACGAGGCAGCCATGACACCCATTCACATGGATATGAGGAGGCGGAGACGCCTGCTGTGATGTGTTGGTTTCTCAGACTAACAGTTTGTTCGATGCCTGCCTGCACGAGAAGACTTTATCAATCAATAGTCCGAAATCTCCTGACGCCAAGTGTCAGTAAAGCATACAAGAGACTCTGCTAGTATCTCCTGACGCCAAGCGTCAAAACTCCTGAATCTAGACGATGACCTTGCCGTCACCACAAGACGGCTTCCGTAAAGCTGTTGAGAAAATAACGAACAGATACCTTTAGCAGACGCAGCGTAATGAGAATCTAAAAAGATTCACGAAAAGGTCAAATCCTGCTGTGACTTGCAAAAGAATTGTCTCGGACGGTCCTTGCTGTAACTTGCAGCAATCAATAGTTGGGGGATTGGGGAGGTTTGCTTCTGAAAAGCTCGTTCCTCCGACCAAACCCAAGGCAGAGCTGAAGAAAGAGGTGAGCTGGTTTGAGCCGTGCTGCTGGTTGGTTGCGCGCCAGAAGTTCGCCTGACAGCCGCCATGGACGCAACCATGGGACGGTTGGATCGCCAGAGGTGGCTTTCTGGACGTTTCAGATGACATCGCGAGGGTTCCAAAGCGGGAATCTGAAAACCGATGATGATGAGATTCGCAGGACCAGCCTGGATGTTGTCTGCGCTGGATGACCACTTCATAGCCATTTGCACTGTCACGCGGAATTCCGAGAATCGTCATTCGCCGTCCGATTACACATCGAAACGACCTTCCGAGATCTGGGGGGTCAGCGCTATCGCTATTGACGGAACATTCTCCTTTGCGCTTCTCAAAGGAAGAACGAGCAACTTGACGGTGAGCAGACAAGAGTCCAGCCAGAGCATCCAAAATGATGCTGCCGCCAAGTTCAGCGATTCTGCCAGCAACACCGCGGCGTTTATCTGCTGAGCTGAACTTCACGCGACGCGAATCACGGCCATGGTTGTGCAGGAGTGTTTCAGGCAGTTTATTCATGCAGAACAGCTACACCGCACATAACCAGTAGGTTTCCCCCATCTTGTATTCACAATTTTTTTTTTCATGCTTAATTACCGTATTAGAGGTATAGAAATACTCTGGTTATGTATGCACACATTGTTCCCTTCTAGCTAGAGGCCTTCTTCCTTGGTGGCACCATCACTTCATCCACCATATGCACCACCACAAACTCATTTGCAATGACGTCCGCAGATGCAAGGTGAGCCCCATCGCTTGCACCTTCCCCACCAAATTGCACCCCACGCGCAGAGAGGCGAACCAAAGGATGTCCCGAAGCTGTTGGAAACTGCAGGTTAAGGGAAGAGCATGATTATAATTATAAAGTCAGTAGGTGCTGGAGGGCCAAAAGATGCATCAAACTGAACTCGCGAGGTCCGCAAATGAACAGAATGTTTGAATATAAATTCTGTGTGCAACGTACCTGGTCACCAGGTGCCGAGCTGCGAAGATCAGCTCCAGTGAGTCGTGTCTCAAGGATGTGGAAAAGAATCACCTGGTGTAGTGGAAGAGGGGAGCAGGAGAAGGGCACACAAACACATACAAGCTGAAGAAGCTACACTGCTATCATTATATGCAATGGATTAGTGTGCATAATTCTGCACATAAACACACAACTTCTTCTGTGCTGAACAAACACTTGCCCCGATTCGCTTGTACCTGGATGATACTCTGTGGGTTGTCTGCAATAGAGTCAGCAACAGCAGGCGCCAGGTGATCCCAAGCATTGTTTGACGGCACCATCAGTGTTAGCTCTTGGGTCTCGAGCTTGCGGCATAAATACTCCTGAAGCTCTGTAACAACAACCGTACAGGCAGAAGGGACATAGAGACAACAGAGATGCACGCTGAAGAAATTTTGGCTCCTGAGTCTCGAGCTTGCTGCATATGTTCTCCTGAAGCGCTGAAACAACTACCATGCACTCATAAGGGACATAGAGAGACAACAGATAGCCACGCTGAAAAAAAAAAAGTTTCTGAAACAGCATATGCTGGAACACAGCATGCTCAGCAGCAGTTCCAGCTGTTTCTCATGCACCCACTCAACACTTCCCCGAAGCACATCTGCAATTCTTGGGATTTTTCCAGAAGCCCACGTCCACTCACCGTCCTTCTGGAGTGCCTCAGTGAAGCGAGAGAGCCCTTTCTTCTGCAGCGCTGCCAGCAGAGATTCGCATGCCACTCGCCCACGGTGTGCCCGGGGGCCTGGGCTGAACGAGGGTCAGCAGATATTCATCCACTCACCGGCCTTCTGAAGAGCCTCGGTGAAGCGAGAGAGTCCTTTCTTCTGCAGCGCTGCCAGCAGAGATTCACATGCCACTCGCCCACGGTGTGCCCGGGCCTGGGCCAGCGCAGGATCGTCAGAGACTGCTTTCATCTGCAGGATGTGGATGCATGGGGGGGGGTTCAGGATCTGGTCAATAAAGAGTGGAACGGGAACTTTCGGCATATCCCAAGCCAAAGAGCCCGGGCCTGAGCCAGAGCAGGATCGTCGGAGACTGCTTCCATCTGTAGGATATTGATGCGTGGGGAGCAACATGCAAGTGCTTCTTGTGTCGCCTCACAGATTACACAATCCATCACAAAACTGGACTCTTCAAAGGTTAGCGAGGAACCCATTGTTGACCTTTTAGAGGCGGGTTGGCAAGAAGGGAAGCACGCCAGCACAATGATGACGTGGCAGAGTACCTGTTTTGAGACGTCTCAAAACCTGCAAAATGTTGGCTAAGGAGACTCGCTAGAAAGCACGAGGAATGCTCACCTGCACGAGGGGACGGATGAACTGGCGCGAGTAGAGACCCGGGTCCATGACATCCGTAATTCCATGCACGGCAATGCTGTCTCCCACATATGCATTAGCGCGCGACACCTGAGGAAGGGTGGGGAAGGAGGCCAAAGGAATGAGGCCACTTGCACGATAGGGTGCAAGGTGAGGCACGGGTATAAACCTGGGTCCATCCGTGATTCCATACACCGCGATGGTGTCATCCGCATATGCATTAGCGCGAGACACCTGAGGAAGGGAGAGGAAGAAGGGAGAACCACAGGGTTGGTGGTAAGCCAAGGGGGATAGGATCTCACGAGTGATGCCCGGATTTGAGTGATGCCGTGCACAGTACTGCTGCCACCGATACATTGTCCGCAACATTTGCGATACAGACCGGCTCACCCAGGTGCAGTGCGGTTAAGGGACAGAACAACGAGGTAGTGAGGCACATGCGGGCCGTAGGGCGAGCCTGCGGGGCCGAATTCGAGGACGGGCGCGTATACCTTGACGAGGGCGACGCTGGAGGAGTAGTAAGAGGTAGTTAGTACGGTGCAAAGCGGTTGACCAGGGAGGTAGAGGGGTTACCTGTGGTCCGTATGGCGAGCCTGCGGGGGCGAACTCGAGGATGGGCGCATACACCTTGACGACGGCGACGTTAAGGAGAATCAGAGAGAGACAAGGAGAGAGAGTACGGTGCAGATCGGTCTAGGGACAGAACAAGGAGGTTTAGAGGTACCTGCGGGCCGTATGGCGAGCCTGCGGGGCCGAACTCGAGGATGGGCGCATACACCTTGACGACGGCGACGTTGGATAGGGTGCCGTACTGCACGACGGGGTGAGCAAAGATGAGGAAGGGCGACGAAAGAAGAGGGAAGGTGAGCAGAGATGAGCTGAATGCGCTGCCACTCGTGCGCAGCATCGATAGCAGCTGGCTAGCGGGCCGGCCATGGCTGGCTGAACAACAGAGCTGAATGCGCTGCCACGATATGCGTCAGCCTCTTCTTGACCACGTGGAACAGCAGCTGGCTGGGCATGGCCCACGGCATCGTGCTCAGCTAGCCAGAACCCGCAACCCATCCCCTCCTCCCGCCCCCTCCCCCGCCCCCATCCCCCCCCCCCACACTTCCATCCCCGTGCTCGAATCTAAACCAGTTTCACACCTTCGTTTCGGGACGAGCGGATCGCAGCTGGACATGAGTCAGCCTCTTCTTGACGACGTGGAACAGCAGCTGGCTGGCCATGGCCCACGGCATCGTGCGCAGCATCTCCGCGTCTTGCGCCGGCATCGCCGCGAACGCGTCGTCGGTCGGCGCGAGGAAAGTGACCCCCGTGCGCGCGCCGAAGGGGGACGTGACGTACGAGTCGATCAGCTTCGATGCGCCTGGATGCAGAGTGGTGATTAATAGTTGAAACGGGTGAAAGCATGATTCCAGGATGTTCAACCGACGGTCCGAATGCAGGAGGATCAGGTGCTTCTCTCGTGGCAGTTAGGGGGGGTAATGGTGGCAGGAGGATCGTGGTAGACAGCGGAAACGAGGGTATTTTCTATACTTCACGAGGACAGCCCAAATCAATCCTGCTAATAGCCACAGGAGGATCGCGAGTCAGAGGACATGGTGTCAAACGTTGAAAAGAAAGATGAAAGATGATACCAAAGAAATATGAAAAGTCCAAGGTATCATCTTAGCGAAAATCTTAGAAACCAGAAAACGGCTCCGATTTCTGGCACCTCAGAACCTGTAACCCCATTCAAGGCGCCTCAAAAGTTTCTGAGCGCAATCCGTACCTGACGATTCCAGGGCCTTCAAGAAAGAGCCGAAGCCCTTCAGCGTATCTCTCCACGGCAGGTCATCGGCGAGGGATCGAGGCGTGACGCTCAGAGCCGCTAGAGTCAACGTTAGGAGCACCAAGAAACTCTTCATGGCGGGCGAATGTTCTTATATTGAGCGGAGCGGACGTCGAGGTAGCAGAACGTGTGTGAGCCGGATGAGTGGTGGTGATGGAAAAACACGAATAGTACTGGCGGGTGATTGCGTGTGCGAGCGGTGTCGCTAGACAGCGAGAAGCTGACGGACGTGGCCACGCTTGTCTACAACACGACTCTAAAACTAATCTTCTTATCGCATAACGACACTTTCTTAGGATTGGAAGGAGTTTAGCTCAAGCCTGAAACCTGCTGTCCAACACGCAAAAGGGATCAATACAGCGAACACAAAAGTAGAAGGCAGCTCTGTCTGTAGCTCGGAAAGCGTTCACAGGGAGGCTCGGAAAGCCCGGAATGGCGGACTGATGGTTGCAGGAGGGTGAAGGGAGGTGACCCAGGGAAAGGGAATGGACGGTGCTTCTGACGGCGAAGTTTTTTTGGCCGACACAGTGTGGTGTGGTGGGGTGGGATGGTACTCTGGGCAGGGAATGGGGATGGACGGCTTTCAAGGAGGGTTTGGCGGGAAATGCCTTGAATCGGGTCGCGCTTGATGTTTTGTGCCAGAATTTGGAATGCGACTCGGAGCATTCACCTTTTGAAATTGGTTACAGCACAACTCGATAAAAAACGTGAATCCCTCCAGCTATTTTCGCAAAACCTTACTACTACATCACAGGAGCTCCTTCATGCAATCCTAGTTGTAGCCAGTTCCTCAGTTCAAGCTGGCAGAAAACACAAAAACAGAAACAGATGTCACAAAACTCACCACATTCCTCATGTACGCAAGAAGCAACAGCTGTTCGGGCAAAATACTTACAGGAACACGTGGATTCTTGTTGATAGCCTCTTCTAGCTCGTATGCAGTAACCAGCAAACGGGCAGGTAAGAATTCAAGGTCCTCCACACTGGCTGGTTGCTGCCCAGAGGCAACCGCTACAAAATTGGCATCTATAAGCCGCCCGTAAGCCTGTTGAACACAGTGGAATCAAAAGAGAGTGTGTAAGATAAAACAATAAATGGCACAACCAGTTGTTGCAACGAAGTGGTGTAACCATTGTTGCGTGCACAGTGCACATTACCTGTAAGGCGGATTCTTGAGAGAAGGCATCAGAGACAGAGCCTCTGGCCGCCACTCTCCGAGATTCATACTCTGGCCAAGGGAGGGATGGGTGAAGGTGTGGGTGGATGGATCGAGAGGGAGAGCGGCAATCATGCAGCCGAGACAATATGAGCAAGATTGCGGAATTGACACAATGACAGTGAGGAAACAATGGCAACCGAACAATGTCCCAGTAAATAGCATGGCACAGGTTTGAAGAACTAAAAGGGCACGGAAGAGAAAGGCACCAGCCCACCTCTGAAGGTTGTGTGGAAATTTATAGGGTGTGATCCACTTGCTGCTCCTTCGACTGCAGTGCCACCAGCCCCACCAGCCCCACCAGTACCACCAGCAGTGCCACCAGCGCCAGCCGCAGCACGTGCTTCGGTGCGGTGGAATGCCACTAGCAGATAGAGCTCCAGGACTGACAGACCTGTGTGGGTGCCAGAGGGACGGAGGTGGAAGGGAATGATAAAGTCGACTGATAATTTATTTCCGAATCACTTGAAAGCATCTGCTGGCGGATGGGCTGTGTGGTGGCAGCATACGCCCTTTCAATAATCAGACACACACGGACATGCCTATGGTCTGGCCTTCTTGCCTCTTCAAACGACTCAAATAGAATCACCTGAAAGCATTTGCTGTCGGATGGGCTGTGTGGTGGCTGTTAGTGTTAGCCCTCAATCTCACATTTTGTACTTGCACTTTTATATCCTAGTGTAGTATGCACTTTGTGTTTGGTTGGGTGTACACCCACATCCCAACCAAACCCAAATGTGATCTCCAAGCAATCTCCAACCCACCAATTGGAGATTGCCTTGGGATTACCCCCAATTCCCTAGGATTGCCCCCGATTCTCTCCCCATCCTTACCTTGCCCATTTCCGACGTACTTAAAGAGCCTTGAGCTCATTACTAATGTATGGATTCTAAGCTCAAGTTCTAACAGTGGCAGCATACGCCCTTTCAATAATTGGACACACACAGACAAGTCTAGGGTCTGGCCTTCTTGCCTCTTGAGACGTCTCAAAGGAAATCACCTGAGAGCATCTGCTGGCGGATGGGCTGTGTGGTGGCAGTAAACGCCCTTTCAATAATCAGACACACACGGACATGCCTATGGTCTGGCCTTCTTGCCTCTTGAAACGTCTCAAAGAGAATCACCTGAGAGCATTTGCTGTCGGATGGGCTGTGTGGTTGCAGCATACGCTCGTTCAAAATCGGCCACTGAAAGCGTCTGGCCTCCTCTCCTCACCATCTCACACACTGCCCGGAACCTGCAGACAGCAAACGAGAAACAATGGGGGATCATGAGCAAGCAACAAGAACAGCAAAAATTAAGTCTTTTGAGGCGCCTCAAAACCTGCAGGCAGCAAACGAGAAACAATGGGGGATCATGAGCAAGCAACAAGAACAGCAAAAATTAAGTCTGAAGGAAAACCATCTTGTCGGTTTACCCGAGCTTGAAGATGTGGAGTACTGTGCGGTTCACTGCGGTCGACTGCAGCAGAACGGCCAGTACGGAGGGATGCTGGAAAGTTGCTTCGACCCATTTGTTGAACTCCGTTGCGAATGCAGCCCACGAATCGGTGGTGTTGGGAGGAGCAGTAGAGGTGTGAGATGGATTGGTGGTGTTCGGAGGAGCAAAGTGGAGGGATGGCAGCCTCTGCACCGGGAGAGTCAGGGTTGAACGAAGCAATCTGTGGAAAGGGAGGAGACGAGGGGACACTGTGAGTAACTGGAGACTGAAACAATCAAGAGCTGTCTCAGGCGAGAGGTCCCACCCTCCTTCGCAGGTTAAGTTCAGCACTGGTTTACAGAGTGAGTCTGCTCCCACCCCTCACAGTGACAGCTCCAGCAGTTGAAGCGAAAGTGTGCAAAAGGACTGTACCGGGCAAGGTTATGAGGCTGCATGCAGCGGAAGGAATATGATCTTGCGGTTTGAAAAGTCGCAAAGTGCACCTTTGATTTTGAGACTTCTCATCCCGACAGCAGTCATAGTACTACCTGACAAGGTCGTGAGGCTGCGGCGGAAGGAAGACGATCTTGCGGTTTGAGAAGCGCGACCGCACTCGCTTCTCCAGGAGCTGATCCGCGTCCTGAAGGGAGAGGGGGTTGTGGAGAGGAGGTAGGAGACACATGGTCACAAGCAGACAGAGGGGAGTATCCATGCGTTACCACAGGGAGTTTTTGAGAACTTCCACAAACACGTCGGCAGATGCGTAACCATATGTTGTTACAGCCAGGTGTGTGTGGGGAGGGTGCATGATATTCAAGAGACAAGGCCGGCGAATGATTTACCAGCAACAACAGCAGCTTCCTGGAGAAACACAAACCTGGGAGGCCGAGACCCCAATGACTGCGTGTAGTGAGTCGATTTTTGAGTCGACTCAAAAATCGACTCACTACACACAGCAGCTTCCTGGAGAAACACAAACCTGGGAGGCCGAGACCCCAATGACTGCCAAGTGCGTGTCAGGAGAGTGCATGAGATCCAAGAGCAGGTACAGTATTCCCTGCTTGCCCCTCTGTGGCAGGTGGGTAGGTGGGGAGAGGAAGAGGGAGGGGAGAGCACGGGGATTTGGATAGGGACGAGAAGAAAGAGGCACGTTGAAAGAGAGTGCATGAGGTGCAAGAGCAGGTAGAGTACCCCCTGCTTGCCCCTCTGTGGCAGCCGGGGAGAGGGAGACGAAGGGAAGGCAGCGGGAGGGAGGTGTTGCGGAAACGTACGGAGGCAAAGTGGTCAAATTCGTCTAGCACCACGACGAGGGATCTCTTGGCTTGAGAGCAGAGCCTGCAGAGCAGAGGAGGGGATGAAGTACGAGGGACATAAATGAGGGAACTGCGGAGGGAAATGAAGAGGGAAATGCGGAGGGAAATGAAGAGGAGGGCACGAGGAAGTGAGACTTCTTGGGTGGACAGGCGGCAGAAGAAGAGTGTGAAAAGGAGGATCTTTTGGCTTGAGAGCAGAGGAGGTGGAGGATGAAGGGGTGCTGCTTCTTGTGCGGATGGGGAAGCACATTCAAGCCTCACTAGGCTGAGAATCTTTCGGTTTGAAAGAGCACAGTCTGCAGAGCTGAAGACATAGATGGAAGGAGGAGGAGGAGCAGGCATGAGGAAGTGGGACTTCTTGGGTGGACAGGAGGCAGAAGAAGAGTGCGGGGTGGGGGTATGAGAGGACAGAAGATGAAAATGAAGGACCAGGTGTCTTGGCAACACAGAATGCAGAGAAGAGGAGGAAGATGAAGGGGGGGGGAAGCTGGCATGAGGGAGAGAGCAGGGCTTCTTGGGTGGACAGGATTGTGAGAGGTGACATGCTAGCAATCAAGAACAGTCCACAGTGAAGTGCGGTGCAGAGCGGTGCAGTGCAGTGCAACCTGTGATTGAGAAGGCATGAAGGAGGTGGTTGGGTGAACGAGAGAGGCAGAGTGTGGGAGGGAGGTCAAAACACCTGAGTCCTGATGCATGAAAAAGCACCTGAAGTTGCGGACGGGAACCTAAGCACCTGAAAAGGCACCTGAAGGGGCAGATGGGCACCTGATGACGTGGTGAAGCATCCTGACGTTGTCAGAGTAGGAATGCTGGCGTGTGATTGGTGGAGGGCAGGGGGAGGGGAGGCAGGGACGAGGAGAGTGACATGACAACAAGGAGACGGACGGACATGTGATTGGGAACTGCAATGCAGTGGAGAGGAAGAGGAAACAGCAGCGCAATAGTAGAGCGGAGGGCAGAGGGAGGAGGCAATGCTTGTGTGAATTCGAAACGACACAGTAGAAGGAAAAACGACTCGTGTGAATTCTCGAAGGAGTCTCAGAGTACCAGGGAGAGAGAGAGTCGAGGTGAGGTGAGGCAATGCTTGAGTCGCAGGTGAGGTGAGGCAATGCTTGAGTCGCAGGTGAGGTGAGGCAATGCTTGAGTCGCAGGTGAGGTGAGGCAATGCTTGAGTCGCAGGTGAGGTGAGGAGAAAAGGACTTCATGTTTTGTGCGACTTCTCTCAAAGGTGTCTCAGAGTACCAGGGAGAGAGAGTCGAGGTGGGGCAGAGAGGCTGACAACTGGCGAGCCATTTCCTGGAAAGGACAGGCAGGGGGCGAGAGAGGGGGGGGTGCAAGATGACAGACGGTATGTGATTGCATGGCTTGTATGGAACGGCACGTGGTTGTATGGAGTGGCATGTGGTTATGTGACGTGGCATGGCATGGCACGGTATGGAATGGCATGGCATGGCATGTTGATGAGCCCACCTTGAGAGCAGCTCGGTCGTCAGCATGCATGCGACCATCCAGATGCACCTGATGGTGTGATGCGGTGGGATGCGGTGGGATGGGGTGGGATGGGGTGGGGAGGGATGAGACGAGGTTGCATGCCATCGCATGGCATGGGAGGCAAAGATGGAGGTGGGTGGGTGGGTGGCATGGCATGGCATTGTATTCCATGCCGTGGCATAATGATATAGAGAGAATGGAGGCGAAAGAGGGTGCCACATGTCACCATCGCAAGTGTACCACGTGAACTGAAGCACATGCCAGCACACGCCAGCACACGCCAACACATGCCGGCACACGCCAGCACAGGAACTCACAGCTAGAAACGATGGGGTGTGGGGTGATGCGCGCAGGTCAGTCAACACACGCTGCAGCACCTGAAAGAGGGAGGCGTGAGTGGGGTGGGATGCGGTGGGGATGGATGGGGAGAGATGGCTTGGAGGAGCCTCAGCAGCAGGTCAGCCCGCAACCCCCTGCAGCACCTGAGGCGGGGTGAAGGGATGAAATGGGAGATGAAGGACTGGAATAGACAAGGCACACACCAGAGTCTTGCCGCATCCCCTGGGTCCCAGCAGCAGCACAGAGAGGCACGGTCCATCGCACGCCACGTCGCGCAGCATGCCGTGCAGCCGCTGGCGACTGCTCTCGTCCCCCGGCGTACCTCCCTCAGGCTTCCCTCTGTCCCTCAGTCCCTCAGTCGCTCAGTCGTGGAGTCAGAGCGCACGGCGCGGCATGACAAGGAAACCCACCAGCGTCTTGCCGCATCCTCTGGGTCCCAGCAGCAGCAGCGAGAGGCACAACCCGTCACACGCCACGTCGCGAAGCATGCCGTGCAGCCGCTCGCGATTACTCTCGTTCTCCGCCGTCAGAAGCACCTCCCGCACGCGCCTGCTGCTGTCGCTCTCCGCGCTCTCCCCACTCTCTCCCCTCTCCCCGCGCTCCCCATTCTCCCCGCGCTCTCCGCGGCTCGTCACGGCGCTCGGCTGCCACGTCAGCCGCTCCTTCAGCACGCGAATCGCCACGGCCGCGTCGTCCTCCTCCATGGCTGCAGCGTTCGGCGGCGCGTTTTGCGGCAGGACCACTGCTGCTGGCGCCGCTCTAGTGGCGATATATCGAGGTCAAGGTGGCTCTAGACGCTTCCAAACTGTTTCCGGGTCGCTTCGAGCCGGTCTGATGTGGTCAATTTCAGTCTAATGCGGTCTGAAGGGCTACTTGCATCGCCAGCTGCAGCGGGTGCTAGACTGCTAGTCTAGGATTTAGGGGAGGGGAAATTGAGAAACCCTAATTTGAGTTGAACCAGAATTTGGAAGATTTATGCGAATTTGAGACTTGCACTTGCAAACCCGAAACCCTAATTTCTAACCTCGCGACGAAATCACCAGCCCCGTTATCGATCGCTATCAACCATCAACCGTAACAGTCCTATCAGCGTTCAGACGACCGATCGTTCGCCGTGCGACGGCGTGTGCGACGTTGCCGGGCGATGAGCATGGACGCGGCGAATCTGAAGCTCGCGGAGGGGCTGGTGTCACCGTCGTACGTGCGACAGGGCGCGCAGTCGCTCGCGCAGCGACACAACATGGTGCGACTGCCACGTGGCATTCATTCATAGCTAGTCGGCTTAGCCGTTTAGACTACCTTACTGAACCTGCATATCCTCGAACATAATACTTGGTCAAACGCATCCGGTCGTAGCTACTTGGTGAAGCCATTTATGCCACCTCACTAAACCCTTGGAAGCTTAACTTTAAGTAAAAACCTTGCAAGCCTGCCCGCCACGTGGCACATCACATGGCAGGTGAAGAGCCTGTTATCGCAAAGGAAGCTCCCAAGGGACGGCTGGGATGATGACACGATCGAGCTGCTGCTCAAGGTGAGGATCGACATACAGAACTGCAGACGGCACTGGGTTGATTCTCAAGGTGAGAAGCATGAGACAGCAATGAAATGCTGCTCCAAGTGAAATCCTTTGAGACGAATCAAATGACGACTTTTGAGACGCCTCAAAAGACAGCACTGGGTTGATTCTCAGGGTGAGAAGCACGAGACAGGAATGAAATGCTGCTGAAAGTGAAATCCTTCTGCTCCTTGTGCAATCCATTAGAGAATTCTCAACAGTGACTGGAATCCGACTGTTTGCAACAACCACCTTATCATGAGATAAGGATGGTCACAAGGATGGTCCCAAGGATGGTCCCAAGGATGGTCCCAAGGATGGTCCCAAGGATGGTCCCAAGGAGAAAAGGACACCCTTCCACATTCTATCCCATCCCCACCTCCACATTTGCACCAGGGCCTGTCACTGATGGACAGCAGTGGGTTCAAGGGAAATGTGGGCATGGGGGAGAGGGAGGCGCGGAATAACCTCAGAACCCATCTCCATCCCACCCCATCATCATCACACCACACCAGGACCTGTCACTGATGGACAGCAGTGGGTTCAAGGGGGGGGTGGGCATGGGGGAGAGGGAGGCGCGGTGTGCAAGCGGGCTGGTGAGGCGGCGGCACTACGGGATGACGCATGGCATGGGGCGGTCGGGGAACATTGCAGACGAGCAGCCTAAGGTGGGTTGGGGGAGGAATTATGGCACATGGCACATGGCACATGGCACATGGCTTGACGCCTTTCAACATTAGTGCCCCATCTGACATCTGCTCCGCCCTTCCACAATGTCACATGCATGTCCCATGCCCCATGCCCCATGCCCCATGCCCCATGCCCCATGCCCCATGTCACGTGCGCCATCTACCATGCACCCCCACCATTCCACCAGGCAGCGGGGTCAACACTGGCATGCCGCCTCACCAATCTACTTGTCAGGGACGCCCTCTGCCTCGCAGGCCTCAAAGCAGCTCCCTCAAAGCTGCTCCCTTATATGCCGTCTGTTCAACCTTTCCACCATGCCCCATGTCCCATGCACCATCTAACATCCAACCCCACCCATCCACCAGGCAGCGGGGTCAACACTGGCATGTCGCCTCACGAATCTACTTGTCAGGGACGCCCTCTCCCTTGCAGGTCTCAAAGGTAACTCTTCTTTAATCAGAGAAAACTCTTAGGTAACTCTTTAGGCATGTAATTTAACGTGTTGCTGCACTAGGATTGGCTGTCATTCTACCGATCATGCTCCATGTGTATGCCCGTGCATGCATGTATGCTCCCATGACATCCATGCGTGCACGCACGCCACCCATCAGACATATCAGCAGTGACGGTGCTGCCAGTGGCAACAGGCATGGCTCTCACTCTCTCGCTCCTCGCTCTCAAAGCCAGCAGACCCGCCGCACAGTGAGTGAGTGCGTGATGGAGGGAGGGAGGGAGGTAGTGAGGGAAGGAGTGAGTGTGAATGAGGGAGGGAGGGAGGTAGTGAGGGAAGGAGTGAGTGATGGAGGGAGTAAGTGAGGGAGTGAGTGAGTGAAGGAGTGTGTGAGGGAGTGAGTGAAGGATGGAGCAAGGGAGAAGTTGATTGAGCAATTAGGTATGTGGCATGTGCCGTTTGCCATATGCAACCCCAAAACCTGCTTTCAATGTGCCGTGCCGAGTCGTTGCATGGCATGCACGTGGTATGTCATGGCATGGCATGGCGTGGTATGGCATGTGTCCCATGGCATGTATGTACCCCATGGCATGTATGTACCCCATGGCATGTATGTACCCCATGGCATGTATGTACCCCATGGCATGTATGTACACCATGGCAGGTACGTGCTATGGTCTCGCATCGACCAGAAGACATGCCTCAAGTGCATCCTCACTGCGGGCCTCACACCCGTGGTAGGTAGAGTAATGCAAGCATAGGTATGCTTTAAGTTAGAAAGTTAATACAGACACGTGCTGTGGTCCTTGCTGCTATGGTTCCAGCCACGTTAACAAGCCTCAAGTGCACCCTAGTTTCGAGACGTCTCAAAAAGATTTTAAGTTTCGAGAGGTCTCAAATCCAACCACATTAAAATGCCGGCCTCAAGTGCATCCTCACTGCCGGCCTCACTCCCCTGGTGGGTGTTCGCAGCTATACCAGTGTTGATGAACTCAATGTATAATATGCGCTTGTCAAATATGATTGGGCAGATAAACATGGTTTATGGACGCTTTTCCCTCCTCCACCACCTCCTCCTCCTCCTCCTGCCTTCCTCCCGCTCCTCCTCCCAGGTGGTTCCTCGTCCCAAGGAGGGGGACCAACTGTGCACGGAACTCGCAGCCATGGCAGTGGAGGTGCACTCCCGAGGGGCCGACAGCATCCTCTGCGTCCTCTCCACCACGTTCCTCCTGCTTCTGTCACGCTCGTTGCCAACCATACAACCCGACCCCAACCCTCCCTACATTCCCCCGCCCACACTTTCCTCAGGTGCTTCCTGTGCGTCGGGAGGGCGACCAGCTGTGCACGGACCTCATGCCGTGGAAGGGGAGGTGCACTCCCGAGGGGCATATGGCATTCTCTCTGCTGAGTATCCACCAGCTCCCGTGGGTCGCCCACCTTTCCCCACATGCAATCCCCACCCGTCCCAGGTGCTTCCTGTGCGTCGGGAGGGCGACCAACTGTGCACGGATCTTGCAGCCATGGAAAGGGAGGTGCAATCCCGAGGGGCCCACAGCATCCTCTGTGTGCTCTCCACCACCTCGTGCTTCGCTCCCAGGTGATTTCCCAGGTGATTTCCCAGGTGCCTGCCTTTCTTACCACCTTCACTCCCATGGTTTGCTGTCCCCTTGCTACGCCCTCCGTCACTCCCACCTCACTCAGAGCCCGTGATAGCGTTGAATCAACCGCCCGCATCTGCTCCCGTCTCTCCATCCCGCACGTCATCAGTAGCGCATATGCGTGCAGAGCGCCGCCATCAGGACTGCTGTCACGAGTGCAATGGCATCCCATTCTCCACTCACTCCCTCCTTCACCTCCACACACCCCTTCCAGAGCCCCAGATAGTGTGAAGCCTGTTGCCCGTCTGTGCCACCGTCTCTCCATCCCGCACGTCATCAACAACGCGTACGGCGTGCAGAGCGCCGCTATCACCGCTGCCATCACCCACGCTCTGCAATCCTCTCCCTTCTCCACTCACTCCCTCTTTCCCTCCCACACTCCCCTCCCAGAGCCCCGGACAGCGTTGAATCAATGGCTCGCCTGTGCCACCGCCTCTCCATCCCGCATGTCATCAACAGCGCGTACGGCGTGCAGAGCGCTGCCATCAGCGCTCACATGGGGTGCTGCCCGTTGCTGCCCCCCCCCTTCACTCCCACCCACCCAGAGCCCCAGATAGTGTGGAATCTATTGCCCGCCTCTGTGCTCGTCTCTCCATCCCCCATGTCATCAACAACGCATACGGTGTGCAGAGCGCTGCAATCAGCATTGCCGTGAGGTTTTGCCCCTTGCTGTTGCCTGCTCCCCCCTGACTGCCCCCTGCGCCCTCCCAACCAGAGCCCCAGATACTGTCGAGCCCATCGCTCGCCTCTGCTCCCGTCTCTCCATCCCCCATGTCATCAACAACGCATACGGTGTGCAGAGCGCTGCAATCAGCGCTGCTATCACGCGCGCATGGAGGAGGGGGCGGGTGGACGCTATTGTGCAGAGCACCGATAAGAACTTCCTTGTGCCCGTTGGGGGTGCTGTTGTTGCTGCTGGTCCCGGGGGGTCAACGCTGGTCAACGCAGTCAACGCCTCGTATCCAGGTGGGTGGGATTGGGGGGTAAGGGGCGGGTGGATGCGGTGGTTCAGAGCACAGGTAAAAATCTGCTCGGTCTGGTGAGTGGGGCTGTTGTTACTCTTCCCCATGCAGTGGGCCATACCCTTCCCCATGCAGTGGGCCATACCCTTCCCCATGCAGTGGGCCATACCCTTCCCCATGCAGTGGGCCATACCCTTCCCCATGCAGTGGGCCATACCCTTCCCCATGCAGTGGGCCATACCCTTCCCCATGCAGTGGGCCATACCCTTCCCCATGCAGTGGGCCATACCCTTCCCCATGCAGTGGGCCATACCCTTCCCCATGCAGTGGGCCATACCCTTCCCCATGCAGTGGGCCATACCCTTCCCCATGCAGTGGGCCATACCCTTCCCCATGCAGTGGGCCATACCCTTCCCCATGCAGTGGGCCATACCCTTCCCCATGCAGTGGGCCATACCCTTCCCCATGCAGTGGGCCATACCCTTCCCCATGCAGTGGGCCATACCCTTCCCCATGCAGTGGGCCATACCCTTCCCCATGCAGTGGGCCATACCCTTCCCCATGCAGTGGGCCATACCCTTCCCCATGCAGTGGGCCATACCCTTCCCCATGCAGTGGGCCATACCCTTCCCCATGCAGTGGGCCATACCCTTCCCCATGCAGTGGGCCATACCCTTCCCCATGCAGTGGGCCATACCCTTCCCCATGCAGTGGGCCATACCCTTCCCCATGCAGTGGGCCATACCCTTCCCCATGCAGTGGGCCATACCCTTCCCCATGCAGTGGGCCATACCCTTCCCCATGCAGTGGGCCATACTCTTCCCCATGCAGTGGGCCATACCTTCCCCATGCAGTGGGCCATACCCTTCCCCATGCAGTGGGCCATACCCTTCCCCATGCAGTGGGCCATACCCTTCCCCATGCAGTGGGCCATACCCTTCCCCATGCAGTGGGCCATACCCTTCCCCATGCAGTGGGCCATACCCTTCCCTTCCCCATGCAGTGGGCCATACCCTTCCCCATGCAGTGGGCCATACCCTTCCCCATGCAGTGGGCCATACCCTTCCCCATGCAGTGGGCCATACCCTTCCCTTCCCCATGCAGTGGGCCATACCCTTCCCCATGCAGTGGGCCATACCCTTCCCCATGCAGTGGGCCATACCCTTCCCCATGCAGTGGGCCATACCCTTCCCCATGCAGTGGGCCATACCCTTCCCCATGCAGTGGGCCATACCCTTCCCTTCCCCATGCAGTGGGCCATACCCTTCCCCATGCAGTGGGCCATACCCTTCCCCATGCAGTGGGCCATACCCTTCCCCATGCAGTGGGCCATACCCTTCCCCATGCAGTGGGCCATACCCTTCCCCATGCAGTGGGCCATACCCTTCCCCATGCAGTGGGCCATACCCTTCCCCATCCTGCACCCCATCCCACCCCACGTCGTGCGGCCATCTCGCCCATCCCAGACGTCCTCATAACCCTCCTGTCTCTGCTCCCACTTACTGGGAAAATCACCCATTCACACGCTACAACAAACTTGCCCCATCACACCCATCCACATGCCACACCCTTCCTCCATGCATCCACGTGGCAGGCCGTGCGTCCACATTCCCCATCCTAGACGTCCTGGTTTTTGAGAATTCTAGCTGGTTTTTTAGAATTCTAGCTGGTTTTTGAGAATTCTAGCTGGTTTTTGAGAATTCTAGCTGGTTTTTTAGAATTCTCAAAAGCCAGCTCCTCCATGCATCCACATGGCAGGCCGTGCGTCCACCTTCTCCATCCTAGACGTCCTCATAACCCTCCTCTCTCTGGGGTGGGGGCTAGCGGGTGGCAGGCACTGCTGCAGCTGATGGAGCAACTCATACCTTCACCCACCACACCATCCCACCCCATCCCACACCTTTCCACCGCACCCCACCCCATCCCACCCCATCCCACCCCAGTACGGGCGTCCATCTCGCCCATCCTAGACGTCCTCATAACCCTCCTCTGCCTACCGGTTGGCAGGCGCTGCTGCCGCTGAAGGAGCAACTCACTCCTTTACGCCCCACCCTACCCCACCCCACCCCACCCCACCACACCCCACCCCACCCCATCCCACCCCACCCCACCCCACCCCACCCCATCCCACCCCAGGCCGGGCGTCCATCTCGCCCATCCTAGACGTCCTCATAACCCTCCTCTCCCTGGGGGCGAGCGGGTGGCAGGCGCTGCTGCAGGAGAGGGAGCAACTCTTTCCTTACCTGCGCGAGCAGATGCAAGGAGTGGCAGAGAGGCATGGTGAGTGGTATTAGGTCTGGCAATGGCAGTCGCTGCTGCAGGGGCGGGAGCAGCTCTTTCCTTACCTGAGGGAGAAGATGCGAGGAGTGGCAGAGACGCATGGTGAGTGGTGTAAGGAACGAGAGAGGCATGGTGAGTGGTGTAAGGAACGAGAGAGGCATGGTGAGTGGTGTAAGGAACGAGAGAGGCATGGTGAGTGGTGTAAGGAACGAGAGAAGCATGGTGAGTGGTGTAAGGAACGAGAGAAGCATGGTGAGTGGTGTAAGGAACGAGAGAAGCATGGTGAGTGGTGTAAGGAACGAGAGAAGCATGGTGAGTGGTGTAAGGAACGAGAGAGGCATGGTGAGTGGTGTAAGGAACGAGAGAAGCATGGTGAGTGGTGTAAGGAACGAGAGAAGCATGGTGAGTGGTGTAAGGAACGAGAGAAGCATGTGCATGGGAAGGGGCAGCGTGCGGGGGAGGGGCAGGCAGGCGCTGCTGCAGGAGAGGGAGCAGCTTTTTCTGTTCCTGCCTCCTCTCCCGTGTGTCACCTCTCCCGTGTATCACCTCCCTGTGTGCTACTTCGTGTCCCTAGAGGAGAGAGGCTGCTGCAGTCGCCAGACAACCCCATTTCCCTAGCCATCTCCCTCTCTCCCCTCATCGAATGTCACCTTCCCAACCTATCACCTTCCCAACCTATCACCTTTCCCACCTTATCTCTACAGGAGAGCGGCTCATCACTTCAGCCATCGCCCTTTCCTCCTTCATTGAATGTCACCTTCCTCACATATCACCTCCCCCTTCCCCTTGTGCCTTCCTTGACATATACAGGAGAGCGTTTGCTGCAGTCGCCAGACAACCCCATCTCCCTCTCCTCCCTCATTGAAGGTCACCTTTCCCAAATATCACCTCCCCCTCCCCTGGCAGGAGAGAGGCTGCTGCAGTCGCCAGACAACCCCATCTCCCTAGCCATATCCCTCTCCTCCCTCGTCCCCGCTCATGCGCCTGCTGACGTGGCCTGCGCTGCTGCTGACTCAGCACCACCAGCCGAGTCATCACCAACTGCCGCTGCTGATGTTGCTGACTCTGGGCCCTCGTTGGCCACTACAGTGGGAACAACAGAGACGCTAGCAGCTACTGTGTCGTCGGCACCATCAGCAGCAGTAGCAGCAGCACCACCACCAGTAGCGTTACCAGCAGCAGCAGCAGCAGCAGCAGCAACAGCAGCAGCAGCAGGTGTGGAGCAGAGGGAGACATTCGACTCGAGAGAACAAACCAGCTCACCAGGAGCAGCCGCCCCACCTGCCACTGCCGCTTCTCTCGCCTCTCCTCTCTCCATCCCACCAACCCAAGCACCTGCATTCCTGTGTGGTCCCTCTATAAAGCCCTCGGCTGCTTTCTTGATTCCGCCCTCCACTCCCCCACCGCACGCATCCCCCATCCCCTCTGCTGATGTCACCTCTACCACGATCACAAAAGTGGAGACCACAAAAGCGCCCCTCAAGTCACCACCACAAGCTCCCCCCATCACGTTCCTCGGGTCAATGCTCTTCTCACGGTGCGTTTTGCCCCTGTCTGTCCCCTCCCATTTCCTGGCGAGTTTTTCGTCAGAAAAACGATGATATATTGGGCCAAATGGTATGTGCATCAAGTTTGCATCGAGTTATTCTGGAACCAATCATTCTCCAGCAAGTCAAATCAAATCAAATCATTGCACATCTTGCTATTGCTCACTCCCTCTTTCTCGGCCCCTCTTTCTCGCACCCTTTCTTGCACCTCTTTGTCTTACCCTCTTTCTCGCACCCTTTCTTGCACCTCTTTGTCTTACCCTCTTTCTCGCACCCTTTCTCTCTCCTCCCATCGTCCATGTCAGCTTTGTGTCAGGTTGCCGAGTCGTGCCGCAAGGAGTGACGCAAACCATAGGAAGCGTGGCACTGCAAGGATTCGGATCATCTTATGATAGGTACACATTCTGATCGTAACACCTGGTCATCTGTGTTACGTATGTATCAAGTCAAACCTTCATTACCTTGTGCTGAGTGTGCATGGCTCAGTTTACCAGCTATTTTGTTCTCGGAGCAGGGAGTGTTGCTGTGGTAGGTACCCTGCAATCTATGTCACTGGAACGGCATTAGCTGCTACAGAACGGTTTTCATTGACGACTCAAAACACTTTTACCTTTCCTTTTCTGTTATCTTTGCTGCCTATCGCCTTCTGTGTGTGAGCAGCTACCCTGTACCCTATCTCACGGCAGCTGCTGCTATAGGAGGTTCAAAGGAAGAGGTGGACGACTTTATTGCCCGACTTAATACCTGCCTTGTTGATTTCAAAAAGAAGTTGCGGAGTTCCCAAGGGCTGGAAAAACCGAAACCCTAGACCCGGATTTGGTACTCTAAACCCAAAACTCGGTTTAGACAGGCCAAGTCACAGTCAAGTTGAGGTAAGAACAATATACGGTAATAATGGTGTAGTGCATTTATCAAGTGTTGCACAATGTCTGTCAGCTATTTAACATAGTTTTACAAACAATGCCTCGAATCGAATGGGGGTCCACTTAACTATCAGATGGGTAGGGGGGGGAGGGGAGGAGGAGGACCTAACCTAACATGCCATAGAAACCTCCTAGTTGTACCAACACTAGCAAGTCACCACCTCCTCCATCCCCCTTTTGAATTTGTACGTCCCTTCTTTAGGATCGTATCCACTAGACCCATCTACTAGCATCACCGCTACCGGTATGCCAGATACTTCATGCAGTGCCCATTGACCATACCACAAGCCTTTGTTTGTCTTGGTCTTATGTATGTTCTATTTGTATCAGTGTAATTTATTTGAGTCTATGACTGGTAACGAGTCATAGAGGATTCTCGAACATCGAGGATTCTTGAACATCGAGGTCTTGGGTCACAGTCGCTTTTCTGTGTTGGCTAGTTTATTGTTTGCGACTCAGGGAGCTTTACCTGAAATACCCTTTATTGTCGGGTGATGTTCCTCCATCTTCCTGCTATGACAAACTGTGGTAGTAACCGCCCTTGTCGGCGGGTCTTTGGATCTCTCTCGCAAGTTCTGAGAGGAGCAAACATGGGACTGAATTGCACTGACACTCTTGCCTTGACACCGTTCCACGACCTTCCATTGTCATTTTGCTTGAGCGTTCACGAAATCTACATAACCATGCAAGCTATTGCTTGTTTCAGACAATAATCGAAAGACATTTGCCGTTTTTCTAGTACACTTCTTAGGGCACATTTCTCAGGCAGGGTGAACCTTGTTCGCAAATTCGACCTGTCAGGGCCGCCCACGACACCTCAATCGAGAGAACCCCAAGTGCGTGATTAGGTCTTGCTTGCTTTCTGTAGTTGACGTTGGACGGTTCTGACTTCCGTTCTCGTCGAAACGTCCAACGAGCACTCTGCACCACAGTCGTTGACATTTTCACATGGTGGAGAGGATTGAGCCACCCCAATACAACACCACCACCACAACGTCAACCCTCAAAACAACTGGAAGGTGGCACCCTTAAACGAACCCCATGGTGAGTGGTGGGAGAACAGGCTGTTCCACAACTAAAGCATTCGTAAAGAACGCACCTGAAACGCCAGGTACCGAGAACCTCAACCAGCTAGAAATGGAAGATATACAAGCGTAGACTTAACCGTTTTCGGGCCCCAACGTAATCGATGGTGTTGTCAATGCCAGAGGCACCCAGAGGTATTATACGTGTAGGAGTGTTTTTTAGAATCGGAATGAAAGAGTTGACCTTTTACAGTATATGTTGCGTGTCTCAACGTCAGGACAAAAATGCCACACGTGAATGAACTGCAGGTGAAACAGTGGTTGTGCGCATGCTTCTGTTCAACCAAAGCTCAAGCAGCATTGTTGCGACGTGGGATCTTTGCGAGTAACGTTGGGCTTGCGAGCCCCACACTGCCAATCACAGCCTCTCGTGAAGCACCCTCATCGCAGCCCGTAACCAATCACATCACAAGGCCCACTGAGCTGCTTCGCAGCGCATTGTGAAATCACAACAGCGCCGCGGCACGCGGGTGGGGTAGGGCAAGTGAGTCCACACTCGCCTCAGGTGAAAAACGGGAGCCCTGGTCTTTCCCTTTCAATCAACCCTTGCTTTCTCCCCCACCCGAATGCACATTTCTTGAGAGAATTGCTCCAGGGCCTTGTTTGGTGATTCGCGCTTGCCCACGTGTCCCCGAATTGCTCGCGTGGCCATCAAATTCAGTGATAATTGCTCGAGTGGCCACGCCAGGGGATTTTCGAGGTGTTTGTTTTCCCGGCACATTACCCTACAAGCAATTTAGCCCCGAAAGTCCTCTCACGTACTCGTCTCATCCCGCGCAAGCGTTGCGTACTATTCCCCTGTTCCTTCGGAGTCTCCAGAAATGTTCTCGTCCTTTTCCCAAAACACAATTTTGCCTCCGGCACATCAGCGCCGCCTACGCAACAGAATAACCCAAACCCGTCGGCACTCAGTCGCAACTGTTTTAGTCATCCTTTTTCCTTTTTCTATTACCAAGCTAGCAGCAGCGGCTTTCTCATCCTCCCTCCGCAGTTTGAAGGATAATGAACGCGGTGGAAGCTATGTCGCTCCCCGTCCGCGAGTGCGGCGTTGGCCCCACATCAGCGGAGAACGCTTCCCCCTGGCTTCCGCCATCAGCTTCCGCCGTACGCAGCCTGCACGCGGAAGTCGTTCGGCGGAAGGCATCCTCGTCGAACAACATGGACAAGGAGTGGGGCGATGACCCCGCGCTCGCGGACGGTGCATGCGCGCACGCCGGGGAAGGCGCAAGCACCACGGGAGAGACCGACGGGTCCCGCGTCAGCCGCAGAAGCGCGTTTCTCCGCCTCTTGCGCGGGCGGACCGGAAGTACCCCCCCCGAACCAGGTAACGCCACGAGCGCCCCCCCTGCGCGCACTTCCGCCGACCTCTTCCGCTTCCGCCGCTCGCGGGGCGAAGGGCGGTCGACGGCATCGCGGGAAAAAACCCCTCCCAAGATCGGCGGCGACGCCACCGCCACCAGTTCCGCAGGAGCAGGGGGAGGAGCGGAAGGAGGGCGGTTGACGACATCGCGGGAAAAAAACCTTCCCAAGATCGGCGCGGACGCCACTAGTTCCGCAGCAGCAGGGGGCGCAGCGGAAGGAGTGCGGGAGGGAGGAGGACGCGGAGGGGGCGGGGGCGGGGCCGGGGGCGAAGAGGGAGCAGCGGGAGCAGGTGGAGCGGGGGAGCGCGCCTTGCCCCTCGCCACAACCCCCGGCTCCAATGAGGCCGCCCCGCCGCCTGGATCTAAAGTAGCTTCTAAGGCGCCTCGAAAATCAGGAACTGCGGTACCAACCTTGCCGTCTGATGCGGGAAAGGGATCCTCTTCGACTGACGGGCTCCCGGCGGCCGCAGATGGACACGTGGATGGCGGTGACGGTGATGACGTGTCAAGCTTTGCGGGGTTCCACGTGGCAGCTGGTACTTCCTCATCGAGGGGTAAAGCGCCAACCCTGAAAGAGGAATTGGCCTTGGAAGGCGTTTCTCCACGTTCCCCCGCCCTCCCCTCTCCTTCCGCCTTCCCCGCTTCTTCCGCGTCCCCCACTTCTTCCGCCATCCCCGCCGCTCCTTCCCCGTCTTCAGCCTCGGCGCATTCGCCCGCCCCCCGGCCTCGAATCGCGCGATCCGCCTCCGTCAATGCGCAGACCCGCCGTTATCCCCCTCCCATGAGCGGATATTCCGGCCACATCCTTCCGCGTCGGCGGAATCACACGGCTTCTACCACTGACACTAACCGTAACGTTAACGTTAATATTGACGGTGACGACGAGGATGATGACGAAGACGGAGTGGTGATGGCGCGGCCCGTGCTGCGGAGAGGCGCAAATCGCGGAGGTTCCGCGGACCTTGCGCCGTCCGCAGAGCGGCAGTTGGTGGCCGCGGCGGCGGATATGCTCCGCGGATTGGGCGGCGGGGCGCAGCAGACCGGGGGAGTCGGAGGCGCGGGCAACTTACACCGCGCAGCTTCGCCACGTGGAATCCCTCCTGCTGGAAAGTTTTCTCCTCGCGAGAGTCGAGACGGCTTACAACGAGGCAGCTTACAGCGAGGCGGTGTCCGCAGCGGCAGCAGCAGCAACAGCAGCAGCGCGAACAGCAGCTATAGGGAGAGACCTCATGCTAAGAACGGCGGGGGAGGTCCCGAGGGTGCATCCGCGATAAGAAGGCTCTCGATAGAGGTGCAAGAGAAGCTGAAGCATCTGCAAGTGTCGTTTGATGATCCCGCGCCCGAAGCCGACTCGGACGTCGCGAGCCCTTATGACGAGGGTGCTTACAACGAGACTGCTTATAACGAGGGTGCTTATGGCGGAGGGGAAGGGCTTGATCCTGCTGCGGGAACTAAAGCTTCAGCGATTAATGCGGGTCCAATGGGGAACGCGCCGCTGCCTTCACCATCACCCGCCTCCTCCGCTTCTCAAGAGCGCTCCCCCCAGTCCCCCTCCCCATTCTCCCCCCACGCGCCCCACCCTCCACTCTCCTCCTCCCCTCTCGGCGCACCCGCTTCTTCCCCTTTCCGCCGTCGTCGCGCCCGGTTTCCTTCTCCTTCCGCCTCCCCCCACGCCGGCATGCCTTCCCCCTCCGCTTCCCCCCACGGACGTATGCCTTCCCCCTCCGCCTCCCTTCACGCGCCCCCCGCTTCCCCCCGCACCTTTGCCCCACCAGCCTCTCCCAACACTCTTCCCCGGTCGTCCTCCCCCCACGCTCCCCCATCCGCCTCCCCCCGCGCCCCAGTGTCGTCTCCTTCCGCTTCCCCCTCACGCCAGCGCAAGCCTGTCCCCGCCATATTCTCCCGCCCCCCTCCCCTTATCACTCCCGCCGCTCAGCCCAATGCCCCCTTCCCCCTGCTCGCCTCCTCCCCAGCCCAATCCCCTACCTTCCCCTGCCCCGTCCCCTCCGCCCCCTTCCCCTCCCGCCCCTTCCCCCACACGCCCCCACATGTCCCCCTCCAAGCCCCCGCGCTCCCCCACCCGTTCCCCCGCGCTCTCCCCCTCCTCGTCCCGCCGCTCCCCCTGCGCCTCCCCCATCCCCCGGTCGCAGTCTTCTTTCCAGAACGCCTTTCCTTCCCCCAAGCCCTCCCACGGCCGCCGCCAATCTCTCGACTTCAGCCAATACTCTCCCTCCCTGCCCCACCAAGGGTTTGCCTCACATACCGATGGTATTGGTATGGGGACAGGTATGGGGGCTGGTATGGGGGCAGGTATGGGAGGTATGGGGGCAGGAACGGGTGCGGCAATGGGTATGGGTAGTGGTGTGGGTACTGGTATGGCTGCTGGTGTGGGTACTGGAATGTTCCAAGGTCTAGGTCAGGGGCATCAGAGGTCTGCCTCTGACTCAACTCCTGAAAGTGACTCCACCGATCTCTACCCCCCCGCACACAACCTCATCCCTCCGTACCTTCCCAACTCTACCATCCCGTTCGCCGCCACCACCACCCCAGAAAACAACCCCCGAGAGAATGCGCCGTTCCACGCTCCCTACCTCCCTTCCTCACCGTCCCACCCTCTCATCGCTCCACCGGGACAGAGCGTGGCGGGAATGGGTATGGGTATGGAGCAGACCGAAGGGGTGTTCGAACGGTCCCAGAGTGCGGACTTCGAGGGAAGAGTGGCTGTGAATGTGACGGGCGAAAGGGTGCGGGCGGGGAGCGGACGGCGTGTCACGCGGAGAAACTCGGTCGATGTGGGGACGCTGGGAGGCCGATCGAGCTTGGGGAGTGCTGCTGAGATGGGAATGCGGATGGGGGGGATGCAGGAGATGGGAGGGCAGGAGATGGGAGGGCAGGAGAGGGGTTCAAAGAGTCCTATCAAGTCGTGCTTGTCCCCGGCGAATGGAGTGGGAGGCACGAAGCTGAAGAAGCAGGTGTCGTTTAACCGTGTGGTTCGCGTGCGGAGGTTCCCGTCATGTGATGCTAGCATTGGTCAATGAGGTGACATGACCACTAGCATGGGATGGGAGGCACGAAGCTGAAGAAGCAGGTGTTGTTCAACCGTGTGGTGGGCGTGAGGAGGTTCCCATCCTGCGATGCCAGCATTGGTCAATGAGGATGAGATACGAAGTACACAGCCTACCGGCATGGGAGGCTTAAATTTGATGGCGGACCGGCATGGGAGGGGTGGGCTAGTGGCGGCCGAGTAACCTGGGATAGGAGCTGTGCTGATGGAGGTGGGGCTGTTCAATCGTGTGGTGCGTGTGAGGAGCTTTCCCTCTTGCGATGCCAGCATTGGGTGATGACGTGGCATGAGATAGACAGTGTACCGGCATGGGAGGCTGGGCTGTTAAAGCCTGACTGAAATGGGATGGGAGGGAGGAACGAAGCTGAGGAAGCAGGTGTCGTTTAATCTTGTGGTTCAAGTTAGGAGGTTCCCGTCATGTGATGCCAGCATTGGGTGATGACGTGGCATAAGGATCATGACATGGCACGGCATGACATTGGCCGGGCTGATGATCATGAGACAAGTTACTGGCATGGCAGCTAGGCTGCTGATGGGTGAGCACCATGAGATGCGAGCAGCGGAGGTAGCAAGTGGAGTTCCACCTGGGTGGTGCGAGCAGAAATGTTTTCCACTAGTGTGGTGATGACCTTGGTTGGTGGGAGGAGACAAGTTTCTGGTGAAGCAGCAGTTAGCCTGCTGATGGGTGAGCAGCATGAGATGCGAGCAGCTGAAGGAGCAGGTGGAGGCCTGCTGGGTGGTGCGAGTGGAAAGGGGCAGTGATAGCGTTGGTGGTGGGGGGGGGGGGGGAAGATCGTCAAACAGGCGTGACATGTGGACAAGACGTAACATGACATGACATGACAAGACGTGACATCAAGGCGTGACTTAACATGACATGACATGACAAGGCATGACATGACAAGACGTGACATGACATGACATGCATGGCATCATCTGACGAAGCATAATGGTGGTACTTTTTCTGTTGTTTGTTTGTTTGTTTTTAGCGTGTGCGCTCACACGTTCGCGCGCGCGTGTGTGGGGGGAGGGGCCTGGGGATAGGAGGGGAAAGGGAGGAAGGAGGGGGGGAGGGGGGGGGGGGGGGGGGGGGGGGGGGAGGGGGGGGCAAGGGAAAGATGGTGTGAGCGTCTGTGTGTGAGCACGAGTCCGAGTGCGTGTGTGCGTGGTTTATTAACCCCCTTATTTTTTGTTTTTGTTTTTACTGGTTAGGTGGCAACATCCCCTTTGTACCAGTCTGCTACTTCCCTTTCCCCCTCACTCATCCAGCTGCAAGTGAACACCGCTAAACTAATGCTGAAACGTGGTTACCATACGTTAAGACCAGGGCCTGTTGTACTATGCTAGTTCAGTATTTTCTACTTTCTTCTGTGAAAATTGCATTGTAATGTGAATTACATTGCAAGCGCATATTCATCCATCACACCGAATGTTTTGTTCTCTACTTCAAAAGGAAACTAAAGAAGGAAATGTATTATTGCAACTCTATGCATGGGCTGGTAGCAACCATAGAGGTCATATATGTGTGCATATGTATTTCATTTCGCGTCTGATTATGTTTTGCGTTGTTGCGGGACGACCTGTATCGAGCGTAATGTGACATTCACTGTTTGTTTGTCGGCTTGTAAAACCTTGAGTGCGTTGACCAGTCCACTTTGTTTCTGCCGAGCAGCGACCAGTCCACGCACCACAGTTGTTGTTGACCTTTCACTTGACCGAGGTAAACCACAAAACATTCATCGTTGAAGATTTGTTGTAATGTTCGTGCATTTGGGCGACCCTTGTGGAATGGTGCTGGGACGCGGTAAAAGTGTTGGATCGATCGCCACAGGCTCTTTTCTAACGCGGTTGTAAATGTTTGTGTACGTTTTGTATGCGAAACGCGGAATTTCAGTACGGTGTCCGTTTCGATATTCCCCCCATCGAGCCCTTGATTTGCGTTATTCACAAACTCCGCCCATCCCTTTCCCCCTTCCACAAATCTGGCCCACGAGACGAAGTCGTGTAGCACTGTAGTTAGGCAATGAAACCTGGGCAGCGAACTATTGGATGCATAGTTGACTTCGTCAGGACTCGCTCCTCCCTCTCCTCGGCAGGTGACATAGAGATGATGCTCGTTTGAGTAGACAACTGTAGCCTTGTGAAGGGGGCTTATAAGTGTTTCGGTCTATTTCGCCAGCTTCGTCAACGTCGCAGCTAGAAAAAAAGTGCTTATAAATTCCTCAAATGTTACACGTTGACAGTTGACGTCGGTCTCTTCGTTACCATTGGTTCATCACAATTTCATTGACAGTTGACTTCGGTCGTTACCATTGGTTAATCGTCACAGCAACTTGCTCGAGGGGCTTGTAAACTGGGTGCAACTGGGTGCCCCAAAAACACGCGTGCAGGAGTTGAGCATCATTTGTATTTGCCAAATTGCCAACTTGTGGATCACAGTCGACCAACAAAGTGAGCTCAACAAATTTGCGACATGGGATTTTCGTTCTGTCGCCTCGGGCTGGCGAAACCTAGATTGTCGTTCGCTAGCAGTCGTGATGCAGCTTTTATCGCACCGCGTAACCATTCACACGATGCCCCAAGTCCAGCTGCATCGAAGCGCATTGTGAAATTGGACCTTCTTGTCTCTTCTTCTCTCACATCATATCTCCACCGATGTGTGGACACGATTTTACCCGGCTTTTTACCCGGCTTTTTTAGCGCGTCACTCGGCCCGGCCGAGTGGCGCACGTGCTCTCAAACGGAAAATGAGCCCTCGCGACAGCCAATTTATTACTCGGAGATCTCCGTCACCGTCCTTCACTAGTACCGAACTTGCTGTTTTCTCATTCTCCTTTCACAGTTACGAGAATAATGTCACGATACGCGGCAGAAGATACATCCGAGTCGCTCCCCAACCGCGAGGGCGGCGTTGGGCCCACATCAGCGGAAATCACTTCCGCATGGCTTCCGCCATCGCCATCCGCCGTGCGCAGCCCGCACGCGGAAGTGGTTCGGCGGAAGGCTACCTCGTCGAAGGACATGGACAAGGAGTGGGGCGATGACCCCGCGCACATCGCTGACGAGTGCGCGGAAGGGGAAGGCGCAATCACCGCCGACGAATGCGCGGAATCACCGCGCACGCTAACGAATGCGCGGACGGGGAAGGCGCAATGTGCGGGCGGGTTATTCCGCCTCTTGCGCGGGGGGGGAAATGCAGCCCGCGAACCAGGCGCTTCCGCGAATGCCCCTTCTGCGCGCTCTTCCGGCGACCTTTTCCGCTTCCGCCGCGCGCGGGGCGAGAGGCGGTCGATGTCGTGGGAGAAAGCTCCCGCCGATATCCGCGGAGATGATGAAAGCGCCAGAAACGCACCAGAAAAGAGAGGAGCCGCGGAAAGCACGCGGGAAGAAGCAAGACGCGGCGGAGGGCGAACTTCCCCGGCGGGGAACGCAGCAGGATCCGGGGAAACCCGCGGCTCACGCGCCATCCGTGTACCAGAATCGCCGTCGAATGCGGAGAGGGGATTCTTGTCAACTGACGGAGCGTCAGCGGCCGCTGGTGGACACGTGGATGATGACGTGTCCAACTTTGCGGGCTTTTCCTCGTCCTTCGAGTCTGGTATAGGGCGCGGCGCGGAAGCATCCGTTTCTACCTCGCCGAAGCCATTACCAGCCCCGAAGGACAAACCGCCGCCTTCAGATACAGCTTCTCTTGCTTCCGCCTTCCCCCGTTCTCCCGCCTCCTCTACCTCTTCCGCGGCTCGTCCTCGTTCCGCATCCACCACCTCTTCCGCGGCGTTCCCCGCCTCTTCCGCCTCGCCGCATTCGCCCGCGCCCGCCGGGCGGCGTATGGCGCGCTCCGCGTCCGTCAATGAGCGTTCCCCCGACATGAGTGGGTATTCCGGACACATCCTTCCGCCTCGGCGGAGTCTCACTGCGCAAAGAACTTCCGCCAATGGGGACGACATTTCCCCTTGGTCCGCCGCTTCCCCGCAATTCGACGCTTCCCCTTCCGCAGCAACGAGATCTCCGCGTAACGCCGCGCATAGAGCCGGTAATCTTAACGTGAGCGTCAACATTGACGGTTCCGGCAACGTTGACGGTTGCGCTAACACTTCTAACGCTGACGATAACCGCCGTAACGGTAATGTTAATAATGAGGGCGACGACAACGACAACGACGAAGGCGCGGTGATGGCGCGGCCCGTGCAGCAGAAAGGCGCAAAACGAGGAGGTTCCGCGGATCTTGCGCCGTCCGCGGAGGCGCAGCTGGTGGCAGCGGCGGCGAATATGCTCCGTGGATTGGGCAGCCGGGCGCAGCCGACCGGGGGGAGCGGAGGCGCGGAAAATCGGAGTTTACACCGCGTCGCTTCCCCCACTGGAAGCGCTGCTGCTGGAAGGGTTTTTCCTCACGAGCGGCAAGGCAGCTTACAACGAGGCTGCTTACAGCGAAGCGGTGCTCGCAGCGGCAGCAGTAACAGCAGCAGCGCGAACAGCAGCTTTAAAGAGAGATCCAGCTCTAAGAATGGCGGCGGCGGCGAAGGTGGTCCTGGGGGTGCATCCGCGATAAGGAGGTTCTCGTTAGAGGTGCGGGAGCGGCTGAAGCAGCTGCAGGTGTCGTTTGATGATTCCGCGCCCGGGACTCACTCCGATCATGCGAGTCCTTTTGACGAGGGTGCTTATAACGAGAGTGCTTGTACCGAAGGTACTGATGGCGAATGGGGGCGGCTGAATCCTACGGGGCAGGTTGAAGCTGCAGCGGCGCATGCGGCTTCAATGAACGCTCATGTGTTGGAAAACGCTCCTATGCTCTCCCCGCCACCCTCCCCCTCCGCCGCCTCCCACAAACCCTCCCCCCAATCCCACTCCTCATTCTCCCCCCATGCGTCCCCCCACTCTCCCGCCTCCTCCTTCCCCATCCACGCCCGAATTCCTTCACCATCCTCCTCCCCTTCAAGCCAACACAAGCCAATCCCTGCCATATTCTCCCGCCCTTCCCCTATTACCACCCCCCCGCTTCACCCTCCTGCCCCTTTCGCCCTGCTCGCCTCCTCCCCCACTCACTCCCCCACCTGCGCCTCCCCCTTCCCCTCCGCCCCCTCCCCCACCTGTCCCCCCGTATCCCCCTCCAAGCCTCCGCGCTCCCCCACCTCTTCCCCCGGGCTCTCCCCCTCTTCGTCCCACCACTTTCACCGCGCCTCCTCTATCCGCCTCCCCATCCCCCTCCCCCCGTCCTCTTTCCAGGACCCCCTTCCTTCTCCAAATCTCCCTCACTCAGTCGCTTCCTGCCCTGATTGCACCCACCGCTACCCCTCCTTTGGCCTTAGCCATATCTCCCCTTCTTCCCTGCCCCGCCACGAGTCGCCCTCAAGTATCAGTGGTATGGGAATGGGAACAGGCATGGGGGGAGGTATGGGGGCAGGTACGGGTATGGGCACAGGTGTGGGCAGTGGTATAGAAATGGGTATGGTTACAGGTATGGTTCGGGGACAGAATCAGAGGCACCAACGAAGTGTTTCCGAATTGACTCCCAACAGTAACCCAACCGACCTCTGCCCTCCCTCACACCACCTCACCCCTCCCAACCTGCCCAATACTGCCACCCCAGGCGCCAACGCCATCACCAACCGAAGAAATAACCCCCAAGCAAGAGGAACTCTCCACACTCCTTCTCCCCCTTTCTCACCTTTCCACCCTCTCATTGCTTCTCCTGAAGAGAGTGTGGCGGGAACGGGTACAAACCAGACCCTACGGGCGTTTACACGGTCCCAGAGTGCGGATTGCGTGGAGGGATCGACAGCTTTGGAGGAGACAGGAGTGAGGGTGCAGGCAGGGAATGAACGGCGGTTCGTGCGGAGAAATTCGGTCGATGGAGGCTCCTTTGGGGGCCCTTTGGGGGCACGGATGGGTTATGCTGCGCTGGCATCGCACGGGAGGGGTGCTAGGAGCCCTATCAAGTCGTGCATATCCCCGGCGAACGGGTCTGGAGGAGCGAAGCTGAGGAAACAGGTGTCGTTCAACAAGGTCGTGCAGGTGCGGAGGTTCACGTCTTGCGACGCCAGCCCTGAATACTACTGAGTGGTGTTGTGGCGAGCGAACGGAGCGGGAGGGAGGAGGGACGCTGAAGAAGCATGTGTCGTTTAATTAGGTCGTGCAGGTGTGGAGGTTCACATCTTGCGACGCCAGCCCTGAATACTGAGTCGACTTTGAAAGGACGGGTGCGAAGAGCAGCCGCCCCGTATCAAGTCCTGAGCTGATTGCGACGCCAGCCCTGAATACTGAGTGGTGCTTGTTGCGAGCCAACGGAGCGGGAGGAGCGAAGCTGAAGAAGCAGGTGTCGTTTCATAGGGTGGTGCGGTGCGTGTGAGGAGATTCTCCTTTACGATGGCAGCATTGGGTGATGAAGAGACTTGGGAAATACATGACATGACAAGACGTGACATGACATGACATGACATGGCATGGCAGGGGTGATAATGGCTTCATGGGGCATTTGTTTTCCGTAATTGCATGTATGGCTTCTGATGGATGACCAGGATGAGAAGTAGGGTGAGCTGAAGAAGCAGGAGTGATTCTGCTGGGTTGTGTGAGCGCACATTTTAACCTTGTTCGGTGCTAGGATAGGCGGGTGGAGTGGACGACAATAATATGAAAGACACACCACAATATGCATGGCAGGCCTGACCAGAACTGACGTTCCATAGATTGGCAGTCTTTAACGGCTTCTGAAAACAAATTGCAATACTCTGAAGGCACTTGGGCCAAAAAAAGAGGAGCTCTGACTGACTGCAGAGCGTGTGGCTACAATCTGCCAGACCAGCCTCTTGTCAGACTCGCCTCAAAAACACCAATTTGCGGACTTGAACCAAGATTCAATTTGACCACTTTGCTGCGAAGTGCGCGCCAAAAAGCGTAGGGTGGCGTGATAGTGCGCGGCGTTAGAAGTATTTCGCCCACCGGGTAATTAATTTTACACACAAGATGTTATCACACAAGGAGACGAAGTCTGGGTGAAGGTGGATGAAGTTGCGATGAATACGGTAGTGTTCCCGTTCCTTTTGTTTCTACACTGCCTTGTCCTTGACCTGTGCCTTGGTGAAGGTGATAGCGACTGGTGAAGGTGGATGAATGGGTGGAGATGGTTGGAGAAGGGTACTCCTCGTTCAGAACTTGAAGTCCTTTTGTTTCTTCACTGCCTTGTCCTTGTCCTGTGCCTTGCGCTTGCGCTTCTTCTCCATCTGAACACCGTCTAGTATTGACGCGCCTAAAAAACAGACTCCAGTAGTGCTCGTTTAGAACTTGAAGTCCTTTTGTTTCTTGACTGCCTTGTCCTTGTCCTGTGCCTTGCGCTTGCGCTTCTTCTCCATCTGTACAGCATACACACAGGACAAGCATCAACCGCAACAATAAACAGAAACAAGAAAACAGTAAACAGTAAACATCCACTTCCAAGTGATTTGATAAACTATATACGCACGAGCACTATCTATGTAGCAGTTCCCTCTCTTCTCCGTCGCCTTTCCCCCTTTTCCCTCCGCTCGCCTCCCCCCCCTTTCCCTCCACTCCCTTCTCTCCCCCCCCACCCCCCAAACTCACCTCTGCCACCATATCACTGAAGTCCTCCCTCTCCTCAGGCTGCTTCTCTGCATCCTTAGCCTCCTTGAACCTGTGGGACGGAGCAGAGCAGAGCAGAGAAGAGCAGAGCAGAAGGCAGGGTGAGAGCACATGAGAGAGGCAAAGAAACATTCATTCTTTCATCCAGTTCACTCAATGTCCTCTCTTGTCCGTTACTCAAGTCCTCCCTCTCCTCCGGCCGCTTCTCTGCATCCTTGGCCTCCTTGAACCTGCGGGAAAGAGCAGAGCAGAGCAGATGAAATGGCAGAGTGGGGAAAATCAAGGAGGCAGCAAAATCATGCATTTGTTTTGCTGTAACCCGGGACAACATATGAAGGGAAAGTGAGAGGTGGAAGGGGAAGTGACAGGTGGAAGGGGAAGCGAGAGGTGGAAGGGGAAGCGAGAGGAGGAAGGGGAAGTGAGAGGAGGAAGGGGAAGTGAAACTGGTTTTTCTTTGGAAGTTGGGACTCACTTGGCAGCAAGAGCAGCGTCGTCCAGCTCCTCCAGCTCCTCTGGTGCCAGTGTCACCTCCACACGGTCGCCCTTCTTCACATCCTGGGCGCAGTGAGGGAGCAGGGGATGGGGCGCGGGGGAGTGGGTGGATGAGCAGATAAGTGGGTGGTTACAAGATGCAGCGAGGGCAGCATCGTCCAGCTCCTCCAGCTCCTCTGGTGCCAGCGTCACCTCCACACGGTCTCCCTTCTTCACATCCTGAGAGCAAAGCACACATGGAAGAGAGCGGTGGACGGATGGGTGACCGAGTGTGTGAGTGAGCTAGGCTTCAGGATTTCCGAGGTTCGGGTTTTAGGGATTGTGATCTGGACAAGATGCATGCAATGCAAGGTGAAGGGAAATTGCGGATAGTGTTGCAGCATATCGAAGACACACGGGGCAGAAGCGAAACAATATCACATGATTATGTTCTCCATAAAAATCATATAAGTATTATGTGATCACATAATGGTGTGGAGCACGGTAACTGACCTTCTTAGGGGCCCCTGGCTTATCCACCGGAGGAACCACATAACTGCAGTGAGAAAGTGGAGGGTAGGGAGGAAGTCGAAGGGAGAGAGAGGGGAAAGCAGGCAGACAGGCATTCAGGACACGCATGGAAGGAAGAGGGGGAGTATGGAGCAAAGGGGAGGCAAGGAGCGAAGGCACAAGGACGGCAAAATTAGGACCGGCGAGAGAGGCAGGGGAAAGGGGGGGTTGGGAGCATAGAAAGGGGAACTTGCGATGGACATTAGGATCGACTATGGCACAGAGAGGAGTAAAGAAAAAGCAGTAAAGCACTTGGCATTGTGAATGGAAACATGAGGTAAGGAGGGAGCAAGGGGGCAAGGGGGCAAGGGGGCAAGGGGGCAAGGGGGCAAGGGGGCAAGGGGGCAAGGGAGCAGGGGAGCAAGGGAGCAGGGGAGCAGGGGAGCAGGGGAGCAGGGGAGCAAGAGAGTAAGGGGGCAAGGGAGCAAGAGAGCAAGAGAGCAAGGGAGCAAGCGAGCAAGGGAGCAAGAGAGCAAGGGAGAAAGCGAACAAGGGAGCAAGAGAGCAAGGGAGAAAGCGGGCAAGGGGGCAAAAGAACAAGGGAGAAAGCGAGCAAGGGAGCAAGAGAGCAAGGGAGAAAGCGGGCAAGGGAGCAAGAGAGCAAGGGAGCAAGCGGGCAAGGGAGCAAGCGGGCAAGGGAGCAAGCGAGCAAGGGAGCAAGCGGGCAAGGGAGCAAGCGGGCAAGGGAGCAAGCGGGCAAGGGAGCAAGCGGGCAAGGGAGCAAGCGGGCAAGGGAGCAAGCGGGCAAGGGAGCAAGCGGGCAAGGGAGCAAGCGGGCAAGGGAGCAGGGAGCAAGCGAGCAAGGGAGCAAGCGGGCAAGGGAGCAAGCGGGCAAGGGAGCAAGCGGGCAAGGGAGCAAGCGGGCAAGGGAGCAAGCGGGCAAGGGAGCAAGCGGGCAAGGGAGCAAGCGGGCAAGGGAGCAAGCGGGCAAGGGAGAAAGCGGGCAAGGGAGCAGTGGAGCAGGGGAGCAGTGGAGCAGGGGAGCAAGGGGGAAGAAGGGCACGCACGTGTGTGTTGTGCCCATGAGGGTAGTGGGTGCCACTCGCTCCTCCTTCTCCTCCAGCACCTGCCATGGCAAGCAAGAGAACATGGACAGAACAGGGCAGGACAGGACGGGAGAGCTTAGGAGATAGAGTGGTGAGTGGTGGGTACCACTCACTCCTCCTTATCCTCCAGCACCTACCATGGCAAGCAAGAGAACAAGGACACTAGAGACACTATACGGACAGTTCTGCCATTTTGAGATTATTCCGATCGAACTGGTTCAAATCAAACGCTGAGCAGGCCTTCTTTTAAGTCGACTCAAAGAAAGACCTGTTATTTTTAGAATCATTCTGGTCGAACTGCTTCTAATCAAACGCAGAGCATGCCCAGCTGATTGGTGCTCTTCCAACGGTCTACATCTGCATCTGCAATGCAAAGCACTCACCGTGTAGAGGGGCTTTTCAGGGGCGTCTTTGCGCTGTGCCTTGCGCAGGTCGATGACGTCTGGCGTCTCCACTCCTGCTGGCGTGCTGTAAGTGTGGGGTGGGGGATGAGGTGATGGGGATAGGGATGGTGATGTTAAGTGTGTTTCCTGCTTGCTGAGCCCCGTGCTGCGCTGTGCCTTGCGCAGGTCGATGACGTCTGGTGTCTCCACTCCTGCTGGCGTGCTGCAGAAGGGACCAAAGGAAGGGGAGTGGTTGGGAGGCTGAGGGCACAGGGGATGGGAATGTTACACCTGTTTAAGCTAACCCAATATTTCACACTTGTTTTCAGGGAAGGAGATGCGTACGTGGAGAGAGAGTCGATAGATGTGATGCCAGCTTGCAGCTCCTCCTCTCCCACTTCCTTCTCCTCTCCCCCTTCCTGGGAAAACGAAAACAATCTTTCTGAACCCAATCTACCCTTATGTAGGTACAAGAGGACTTACGTGGAGAGCGAGTCGATAGACGTGATGCCGGCTTGCAACTCCTCCTCTCCTACTTCCTTCTCCTCTCCCTCCTCCTCCTCTTCCTCCTCCTCCTCTTCCTCTTCCTCCTCCTCTTCCTCTTCCTCCAGATCGCCCCAGTGCTTTGACCGATCAATTGGTTCCTCCTGAAAAGGAAGAGGGGAAAACCGGGAAAAGAGAGAATCTAAGAATGTTAGAGGTTTCGTTGCAGGGAACAAAGAGGACCGTAAACAAGTGAATAAGCAGACGAGTGCGTGCAGTTACCTTACCAGAACACGAAATTGCTGCCAAACCGCGTAAGACCACACAAAAGTTGACACGCACGCACCTCAAACTGGTCTTCCTCGGGTGCTGGTTGCGACCCAAACACGTCTCCATACAATGGCCGACCGTACTGCCAGGCACGATAAAAGAGGGCGAGGCGAGACAGCTTAGGCCTTATGCCTCAACTTTTGCTTCAAAGCATTTTTGAGAGAAAAATTATCAAAGTAACAGCCAAGGAGGCATGAGACTGCAAGCATGAGCATGAGACTGAGACTGCAAGCAAATGCTAGAAAACTCACTCGAATCTGAATAACCACCCCCCACCTCGCCCCACCGCAACTTTAGGCTGGCTTGTCAGCTGAGTAACAGAGTCATTGTTTGCAGTCACATACCCCCAGAGTCATCTGCTGCTGGCAGAAGCGGCTTGCCCTGCCCACCCCACCGCAATCATTACAAAAGTAATGTGTTTGAGAGCTAACTCACCTCGTCCACAGGCGGCTTGCCCCATCCTCCAGGCTGGTAGCCAAAGGAGGCGCCTGCAGGGATGGGGGCGTTGAGTCCCGGGATCTTCATGTGCGGGTAGGAGGGTGGTGGGCCATAGCGCTGTGAAGGGCGGATGAACGGGGGGGATGGAGGAAGGGAGGCAAGAGGTTGGATATGGGAGCATATAAGCAGGTATGTATGACAGGGGTGGGGCATAGCACTGCGAGTGAGGATTGAGAAGGGGCGGTCGAAGGTGTGTAAGAGGTCGAGGAGGTGGGGGTCACTGGGATCGGAACACGGGGCATGGGTCAGGAGGCATGAAGGCATGAAGGCAGAAGGAGGGAACCTTGCGATGGGGGCAATGCAAACACAGATGAAGTCCAGCAACCACTCACTAGAGCAACAGATCACACTAGGAAACCCATCACACTAGGCCATTACGACAGGCACCCTACCTGCATGTTGATGAGCCACGGAGGAGGCGAGTTGCTGTCGGTCATCCCCAGTGCGTTCTTCAGTGCACTCGACAGGTGGCCTGGCTTGAAATCCCGAGCCTTGTTCTGCGGTGGGGATGGGGTGCGAGAGACACAGGGGACAGGGTCAGAGGGAGCGGAGGGCGAGAAGTAAGTGGGGTATAGCGGAAGCAACAAGACGGCGGGGATAGGGTGAGAGGAGGGGGTAGGAGAACACACGGGGGATAGGGTGAGAGGAGGGGGTAGGGGAACACACGGGGGATAGGGTGAGAGGAGGGGGTAGGGGAACACACGGGGGATAGGGTGAGAGGAGGGGGTAGGGGAACACACGGGGGATTGGGTGAGAGGAGGGGGTAGGGGAACACACGGGGGATAGGGTGAGAGGAGGGGGTAGGGGAACACACGGGGGATAGGGTGAGAGGAGGGGGTAGGGGAACACACGGGGGATTGGGTGAGAGGAGGGGGTAGGGGAACACACGGGGGATTGGGTGAGAGGAGGGGGTAGGGGAACACACGGGGGATAGGGTGAGAGGAGGGGGTAGGGGAACACACGGGGGATAGGGTGAGAGGAGGGGGTAGGGGAACACACGGGGGATTGGGTGAGAGGAGGGGGTAGGGGAACACACGGGGGATTGGGTGAGAGGAGGGGGTAGGGGAACACACGGGGGATAGGGTGAGAGGAGGGGGTAGGGGAACACACGGGGGATAGGGTGAGAGGAGGGGGTAGGGGAACACACGGGGGATAGGGTGAGAGGAGGGGGTAGGGGAACACACGGGGGATAGGGTGAGAGGAGGGGGTAGGGGAACACACGGGGGATTGGGTGAGAGGAGGGGGTAGGGGAACACACGGGGGATAGGGTGAGAGGAGGGGGTAGGGGAACACACGGGGGATAGGGTGAGAGGAGGGGGTAGGGGAACACACGGGGGATTGGGTGAGTGAGAAGGTGGTGCTAAAACGACTTGTAATGATACCCACGTTTGTGAGCTTGGGGGAGAGGCGGAAAGTCCCAAGCTCACAAGAGGCGAAGCTTGGGACTTTCCTTGTCCTCCGCCTCTCCCCGAAGCACCCTGATAAGCCCCCCGCTTCCCCCCCCACCTCACATCTTGAATCCTTCCCCCACGCACATCTCTTCTCCCGCCCCCCTTTCCCCCACCGCCCCAGCGCACCTCAACCTGCTTGCCCTCGGAGTAGAGATCGCCCACATACGTGAGCTTCAAGGCGCATGATCGAAGCCCCTAGACTCCCTTTTCCCGTACGCACCCAGCCCCCTCTCCCCCTCCCCTTCTCCCCCCCCCCCCCCCCGCGCACCTCAAGCTGCTTGCCCTCGAGGTAGAGATCGCCCACATACGTGAGCTTGAACGTGCATGATCGGAGCCCCTAGACTCCCTTTTCCCGTACACACCCAGCCCCCTCTCCCCCACCCCTTCTCCCCCCTCCCAGCGCACCTCAAACTCCTTGCCCTCGTAGTACAGGTCGCCCACATATGTGAGCTTGGGGACTTGCCTTCCCCCAACCCCCCAACACCCTAAACACCCTATCGCGCCCTTCCCCCACACGATTCCCCTTCCTCGTCCCCCAACATCCACCCAGCGCACCTCAAACTCCTTGCCCTCGTAGTACAGGTCGCCCACATATGTGAGCTTGGGGACTTGCCTTCCCCCGTCCCCCCAACACCCTAAATACCCTATCGCGCCCTTCCCCCACACGATTCCCCTTCCTCGTCCCCCAACATCCACCCAGCGCACCTCAAACTCCTTGCCCTCGTAGTACAGGTCGCCCACATATGTGAGCTTGGGGACTTGCCTTCCCCCGTCCCCCCAACACCCTAAATACCCTATCGCGCCCTTCCCCCACACGATTCCCCTTCTCGTCCCCCAACATCCACCCAGCGCACCTCAAACTCCTTGCCCTCGTAGTACAGGTCGCCCACATATGTGAGCTTGGGGACTTGCCTTCCCCCGTCCCCCCAACACCCTAAACACCCTGTCGTGCCCTTCCCCCACACGATTCCCCTTCCTCGTCCCCCAACATCCACCCAGCGCACCTCAAACTCCTTGCCCTCGTAGTACAGGTCGCCCACATATGTGAGCTTGGGGACTTGCCTTCCCCCGTCCCCCCAACACCCTAAACACCCTGTCGTGCCCTTCCCCCACACAGTTCCCCCTTCTCGTCCCCCAACATCCACCCAGCGCACCTCAAACTCCTTGCCCTCGTAGTACAGGTCGCCCACATATGTGAGCTTCGGGACTTGCCTTCCCCCGTCCCCCCAACACCCTAAACACCCTGTCGTGCCCTTCCCCCACACAGTTCCCCCTTCTCGTCCCCCAACATCCACCCAGCGCACCTCAAACTCCTTGCCCTCGTAGTACAGGTCGCCCACGTATGTGAGCTTGGGCTTCGTCTGGTACTTGAAGAACGCATCGTGCAGCACCTGGAAGAGGGGAGAAGGGAGGGAACGCGATTAGTGTGGGAGGGACGGTGAGAAACCACCACATGCTTGGGCTTCGTCTGGTACTTGAAGAAGGCATCGTGCAGCACCTGGAAAGGAAGGGGGGATAAGAAGAGGGATGCGAACGCCATGTAATGTAAGTGCAATGCCGTTACGAGGAAGTGCCTTCGTAGTAGAGAAGAGATCGCCCACATACGTGAGCTTGGGCTTTGTCTGGTACTTGAAGAACGCATCGTGCAACACCTGGAAGAGGGGAGGGACAGAACGTGACAAAACGAGAAAACGCACAGGCGAAGCACAGGCGGAGTGAACAAGAAATTGGGGGCGACAGTGAGTTGAGGCTACTTAAAAGCAGACTCAGATTTGGGAGACAAAACATTGAGGAAGAGGTAGCAGCAAGTAGTGTGGGGAAGGACAGGGTACCTCAGGGTAGAATCTCCACCACAATCACCTCAGGGTAGAATCTCCACCACAATCACCTCAGGGTAGAATCTCCACCACAATCACCTCAGGGTAGAATCTCCACCACAATCACCTCAGGGTAGAATCTCCACCACAATCACCTCAGGGTAGAATCTCCACCACAATCACCTCAGGGTAGAATCTCCACCACAATCACCTCAGGGTAGAATCTCCACCACAATCACCTCAGGGTAGAATCTCCACCACAATCACCTCAGGGTAGAATCTCCACCACAATCACCTCAGGGTAGAATCTCCACCACAATCACCTCAGGGTAGAATCTCCACCACAATCACCTCAGGGTAGAATCTCCACCACAATCACCTCAGGGTAGAATCTCCACCACAATCACCTCAGGGTAGAATCTCCACCACAATCACCTCAGGGTAGAATCTCCACCACAATCACCTCAGGGTAGAATCTCCACCACAATCACCTCAGGGTAGAATCTCCACCACAATCACCTCAGGTTAGAATCTCCACCACAATCACCTCAGGGTAGAATCTCCACCACAATCACCTCAGGGTAGAATCTCCACCACAATCACCTCAGGGTAGAATCTCCACCACAATCACCTCACGCACAGCAACTCGGAAGGGACGGCACGGCACCTGATAGTCGATATCCATCTTCCCCATCTTGGGCTGCATGTGGTCTCATGAGGAGACGGCAGCTAGGTAGACCAGGACCAGGACCAGCACATCACCCCCCCACAACACCTGGCAGGGCAGGGCACGGCACCTGGTGGTGCAAGGCATGGCACCTGGTAGTCGATGTCCATCTTCCCCATCTTGGGCTGCATGCGGTGCAGCAAGGGAGTAGGCAGCTAGGCAGACCAGGACCAGCACACCATCCCCCCACACCACCAGGGAAGAGACGGCACGGCACCTGGTAGTCGATGCCCATCTTCCCCATCTTGGGCTGCATGCGGTGTCACGAGGGAACAGCAGCAAGCCACTCCCCCCACCCCACCCACCACAGCACCTAGTCGAGCAAAAGCCATTACCCCACACCACCAGGGAAGAGACGGCACGGCACCTGGTAGTCGATGTCCATCTTCCCCATCTTGGGCTGCATGCGGTCTCGCTGCTTCTGCTTCATCTTCTTGCTGTCTTCCTTCTCTGCATACGCCTGACAGACAGGGGAGAAAGAGGGGAGTGGCAGGAAGAAGGGCGGACAGGTCGTTTCAGGTGTTGCATAATCACGATCAAGGGCGTGCCTGCTTCTGCTTCATCTTCTTGCTGTCTTCCTTCTCTGCATACGCCTGACAGACAGGGGAGAAAGAGGGGAGTGGCAGGAAGAAGAGCGGAAAGGTCGTTTCAGGTGTTGCATAATCACGATCAAGGGCGTGCCTGCTTCTGCTTCATCTTCTTGCTGCCCTCCTTCCCTGCATATGCCTGACACGGGGGTGGAGACCGGCAGAGAGGCACACATATAGGCAGGTATTGCAGGCACGCGAAAGGGTAGAGATAGGACAAATATGAGTAGAGAAAGTAACAGAAACGAAAGCGGGAAGACAGAAGGTGCCCACCTGTCGGAGTTTCTCAATGCCTGTCGCAGCGATGAAGTCCGGGAGTTGCCACACAGGCTTCTCGATACCCCTCTTGCCCTGCAAATGAGACCACATGAGAGCAGAAGAGTGGTGGGCGGGGGATCGAGAGAGGATAAGAGAAGCACGGGACGGACGAGGATGCGAGGAAGAGAGGGGGAGTGCAGAGAAGGTAGGAAGGGTGGTGGAGGAGAGAGTAGATGGGGCGAGGCCAGGATGGGAGGTGACGGGAGAAAGGTGTGGGACGGAACGGAAGTAGCGGCAGGTGAGCCATAAGAGGAGGAGGGATGGGCGATGCGAGGGGGGGGTAGGAGGAGGAGGAAGAGAGAGGGAGGGGAAGATGGGAGAGGAAAGGAGGAAACAAGGAAGAAAAGGAAAACGTTAGTATTTGCTTGATTCAAAACAAGGGGCAGTGGCCATGTCAAAATGCGCCCAAAACAAATATAAGGGTGGGTGACGAAATGCGAAATGGAGGGGAGGAAATGGGTGTCTTGTTTCTCAGCATCCCAAACATGAGCCTTCCCAGCCAATTTCTCTGCTTGAAGGGTTCACGGAGAATCTGCCAAGTGAAAGAGGAAATACACATTCCAATGCCGATCAGTGGAACCTAACCTACGCTACTGCTGAGGTGAAAAAACTACAGCAAACAAGAGACGTGAGGACAAGAGAAACTTTGCTAGTTTGGGATACACGACCACACTGGGGGTGCGAGAAATATGTGGAGATAGACGTGATGAAGGAACGGACACACTAGACTGTCTCGCGTCAAAGCTCTCTCTCCCCATGCTCACCGTCCGATCCCATCAGATTCCCTAAACCACCACACTGAGGGATCGCAGCAGAAAGTAACTGTCGGTCCAAGTCAGCAGCGCGCAGCATGAAGGGAAGGGAAGACCCTGCAGCAGCCGAAGGAATAAATAAGACCCACGAGGCAGGACCGCAGAGTGCATGCGCTCGAGCTAGCTAGCTAGCTAGCACGTACCGCTAGCATGCATATGGCACCGCCTGAAGAGTGGCTGGCACGGCACCACCCAAAGGGTGGGCTGGCGGGCGGCACCGTCTAACGGGCAGGCGGCATGACATGACCTTAAGGGTGGGTGGCATCACCTGGAGGTATTTGCGTTTCTGCGACCAGTGGCGAGGCACGGGCACGGTGTTGCGATACGCCTTGAGGAACACAAGCAGGCGAGGGTCCGATGCTGTGGGGTCCCACACCTGGGAGGAATGGGGTGAAAGGGAGGGGGGAGGAGGGGGGGGGGAATGTGGTGGGTGAGGGGAAGTGGAGGAGATGAGGGGCGGCGGCACATGCACGGTGTTGCGATATGCCTTGAGGAACACGAGCAGGCGAGGGTCCGATGCTGTGGGGTCCCACACCTGTGGAAAACGCAATCTAGATGTGACATGTTGACATATGACGTGGAATCATCATGACAGCACAACAAGGGATGTGGGTGGCTGGCTGGCAGCAGGCATACCTCCCTACACAACTTCTGAGCACGCGATTTTCTTAGCACTTAATAAATCATGGTGACATCGTGACATAGTAACGTGGTAACATCATGACACACTGACACGGTGACATCGCATCATGACATGGGATGAGCAACAGGCATTGACATACCTCCACGACTTCTGGGCGCGCGCAGATCTGCTTCAGCTCGCCCACCTTCATTCTGTTCTTCATCTAATGGGATGGGGTGTGCACGGCATGGGATGGGTGGGACGTACGTGACGTCGCATGGCATGAGCTGGCATGAATTTGCATGATTTAGCATGAAATGGCGTGGGACGCATTTCTGCTTCAGCCCTCCCAGCTTCATGTTAAGCTTCATCCAATGGCGTGTGCAGGGTATGAGACGCATGGCATAGGGTAGCAAGTGGCATGGAAACCCACACAATGGAATGGGACGAGAACGACAAACATCATGACTGGAAGTCACAGACACTTGAACGCATCCCAATAGGGGCAAGCATCAGCATCAGGTAAGCATGAGCATGAGCATCCCACCTTCCTCTCCTTGTTGCTGACGCCCTTCTCCTTGTCCTCCTCCTCCTCATCATCGTCCTCATCATCCGAATCTGCCTTTTTCTTCTCTGCCTTCTCCTCATCCTCCTTCTCCTCCTCCTGTTCAGCAAACAGTTCAGGAACAAGTTTACTCATCAAAGAAAGATGATGCAACTGAGAATTCAGAGAGCGAAGCAGCCTGCCATTGAGAGACACGAAAAAAACCCTAATCCGGATGCATGCCTTGGGCTCTTCCACAGTAACAAACTTAGAAGTAGTTTAAGAAAATCTTAAGCTGCATGCATACCTTGGGCTCTTCTACAGTAACAAACTTGAAAGTCGTGTAAGATATCCTGTAGGTGCATGCATACCTTAGGCTCTTCCACAGTGGCAAACTTCTCAAAGATCTTCAGAAAATCCTCAAATCCTTCTCCCTCAATCTCCGGCTTCTCTGTGACATACTCCACCAGCACCCCCGCCAGCAACTGGAAGGGCAAACGGAGATCCCAAGGGATGAACAACGGAAAGGCAGGATCTTTTCTGTAACATACTCCACCTCCACCCTCGCCAGCACCTGAAACGCAGGGAAGATCCCTAGGAGAGAAAACGTATGCCGTAGCACATCGAAAGTCGAAAGAATGTGTTTCAAGGCGCATCCACAAGGGAACCCTAGATAAGAACTTTGAATGGTTTCCTAGACGGAATCCCGAGATGGGAACCCTAGACAGAATTCCAAAATTGGAAACCTTAGATGGGAAATACATGGACACCCGGTAAGAGCCTACCGCCGTGGGCTTCTCGTCCTCGGCGTCTTCCTCCTCCTCCTTCACCGCTCCCTTGTTCGCTGCCTTGGATTTCTTCTTCTGCTTCTTTCGCCGCCTTCGCTTCTCCGCTTCCTTCTCCTTTTTCGTCATCGCGACACCGTTGACCCCGTTGACCCCGTCAACCCCGTTGACTGCGTTGACCGCTGCTTCAGCACCCGCTTCCGTCCCTTCAGCATCCGTGCCCTTCGCTTCACCCTCTGGTTCCTTGTCTGAATCTTCTTGCTTCACCTTAGGCTCAGCTCCATCCGTTACAAGCCCGTTCATCTGGTTGTCAGCTGCTTCACTGTGCTTCTCCGCCTCGATATCCGATCCAGTTTCGGTATTAGCTGCTCCGTTTCCGGCTTCCGCTTCCGCTGACCTAGCATCGACTTCATCACCTTCAGCCGCACCGTCGACACCGTTATTAACATTTTCGTTATCAGCTCCCCTGGTATCAACTCCACCAGCATCATCATCGTTGTCTGCACTGGCATCTGTTATATTGTTAGTGTCTTTCCCTTCAAAACCTTCTCCAGAAAGCTCCGCATCTGAATTTCCCGCTTCAGTTCCGGACGGATCGCCACTCGCGTCACGATCTTGCACGCCTTCCGCGCCGGGTTCTGCTTGAGTCGGAACGCTCTCGCGTTCATTATGCTCATCCATGACGTCATCCTCTGGAGCCATGATCCTCTGCTGCTAACGCTGGCGGTATGAGACAAGAGGTTACGCCCAACAAGAGATAACGACCTCCAGCCAGTACCGTTGCTCCTGATAGTGGTGTAAACGCTGCGCGTTACGGGGAAAACGCTGCGATGATGGAAGCTGAAAGAAAGGGTTGTGACTCGTGAAGTCATAAGTCATAATCAGCTTCGTTCCAAGCTGCTACTATTCTCACATGGGAAGGTGTGCAGTACTTAGATTCAACATTAGAGTATTTTTATACAACCAGCACCAATATAATTGGAACAGAAACATTATGGACTGTTGGATCAGTAGTCGGTGACATTTGATGCCTTCTATCATTGAAAATAAAAAACCATCTGGATCTAAGATTTGAGGAAATGCATAGATTGAATGTCTACTGCGAGACATATTCGTTCTTTCAGAAGTATTAAAGCAAGGGTGCACATTCCTAGGGGTGGGTTTCGGGTGTATTTGTTTGGTACACCCTCTAGGGTGCTATGAATGGTTGGCGAAGAGTCCAACCATACGAACCACTGGAGCTAGGGTTGGAGAATGTGCTGGCGAACAGAATCAAATTCGTCGGCCAGTTGGGTTGGGGAAACAGACGGGGGAAGGGGAGGCAAGTGATAAACCTTTGAGACAACCCCCCCCAAAGTGCACCCTTGCTTTAACCAATGATTTTTACAGGAAATTAGCGCTCTTATGTAATCATTGCCTCCAGTGGGAAATACAGCATCAAATGTGCCTCTAATCTGAAATTCTCATAGTTGATTCCGTTTAATTTTGTCTTGAGATCGTCCTACATGGGAGTCTTCATACGGAGGATGGTTTGGGGCTGGGTGTGATTTGCCCCAAGCTTGGTGGGGACGGGGTTCTGCCTGGGGGGGTTCATTCCCTGGTACAGGTCGGGTTCATGCTGATCTGCCGTGTCCCAGGCGGTTCTGGTGTGGTTCCAGTCCAGTCCAGGTCCAGGCACTCGGAACGTATGGAAGTTGAAGGATACATCGGTTACCACCACGCAGTCGCAATTCTGAAAGCAGCGGCATTCGCCAACCCTAGAATGCAGCGAGCAACTGGCACCATTAGCTGTAGCCACGTGGAATCGCCACCAATAAATCGCACTTAAGCATCGTTACTTGGAGCGTGTGCGCCATCGCAACCACTCGGAGGTCTGCTTACAAGTCGTTAAAGCTCGCGTCTCATATTTCTGCCATCCAACCAAGTGTTAAACGGTTGGAATCCGGTAACAGCAGAGTTTGTCGCGAAGCACACCAAAGCAAGGGGTGGTTGGGAAAGTTGGCTGTCGCACACTTCCCCGTGCACACCAAGTGTTTACAACTGCCGAAAATGAGACTCTGAACTGAACGTTGACAGAACCCAGGACCAAACCTGTCACCCTTGCCTCGGTTTCCCCCCAAACCAATCCACCCTGGTTTGTTTTGGCCTCGATCTTTTGGAGTTCGCTGTGTTTTTTTCGCCCACTCGTCAGATATTTCGACTTTCGTTACCCAATCAAACCCTTGCAAACCCAACCAAGTGTTAAACGGTTGGAAATTAGAGACGCGAGCTTTAACATTTCGCAGCCACTCACCTTGTGGGATCACGAATCTTCCGTGCTATGACCGCCAGTTTCAGCGGCGTCTTCCTTCGTGGCCTGTCTGTTTCCTATTTTCTTTTCTGCGTCACCCAAACCGCTGTTACTGCATTGATTGGCAAATTTCCTGGCAAAGTTACGAAAGACACGGAGGCAAGGGACAGAAGAATTGACCTAGGGGACTCCATTTGGCTGAAGAAAGCATATTTGGCTCACCAGAGATAAACGACCTTGGGATTACAGCTTGGACAAACGACTGCACTTGCGATTGTACTTCGAGATGATCCCCCATCACCTTTGTTCTCGGTCAAGTTCACACAGATTCCATCAGCAGGCACAGCTTTTTGCTAGTAATCCGTCCGTTTGTCACCTCCACCGATGCCAGGATAGGTCAAGGCGAGTCGCTCGTTGCTCACGTCGAGTCAAAAGCATATTGTGGTGGATAAAGGAGCGCTCCATTTGCCATCTTTAGTTCCATGCTGGACAAGAGAATCATTCGCTTGTTTGACTAAGGGTACAGTGCATGTGGCATTTCACTCCCTAAGATTCGGCATGCTTCCAGCAAATACGAGCGATGATTAAACTACTTGAGTCCCTTTGCCTTCAAGGCTATTAAATTATTTATTTATTTGATAGCGGAACACTCATCAAGACGTGATGAAATCAGCTAAAGTTTACGGAGCACCTCGCTTCGCAGACACCACAATGCGTCCTGTATCAGACAGGGAGACTGAACAGGTCAGCGGCGCAGTAAAAACGACGGATACAGGCTGTTTGCCTCCGTCTTCTATTGAGCACTTCTTGTATGTCATGAGAAATGGAAGCCTTACAATCAGACCGGTTGTCTCCCAACCTACGCGCAGGCAATTATCGTTATGAAAAAAGGGAGTCGGCTGTTGAAATACTCCCGGCTTGGCAGGCCGCGTGCCTGCTACCTTCGGGTCACAACGGTAACATTCGCTCCGCTCACATGTATCATAGCTCGTTTTTCCTCCTGGAGACTCGCTTCTTGAAGGTTTGCCTGACATGGCCTCGCTATTCCCGCCAACGCAGGACGAGTGCGATCTCGTATACATTTCCGGCGACCGTGAGAAAACGTTCCCTCTGGCCAACGTCAGTCAGATTCTCTGGGGCCAGCGAACGGTATGGATTTCACATTATAATTAAGCTTTACGGACGTTATAGCTTCGTCACGCGCGGTTTTGTCGTGTTAGGCTCCTCGAACCTGCCGCGCGCTCACGCGTTTGCCTGTGGATGCTGGTTCCGTGATTCCATCCCTGTGGGCTCTTTGTGCTCCAGGGCAGCTTCGCTCGGTCGTCCAGAAGCGACAAGGACAACCAATCCTTCTCCCTCATCTTCGGCGAGGGAGAGCGACCACTCGACGTGGTACGTACTACGCAAGCACAGTGAATCTCATACTTGCCTCTGCGCTTGCCTTACGATTCTGTCCATGTTCATTTTGTCTGAAACGTTCTGCCTCTCAAGGGATGTGGTGCGCTGGCCTGCATGTTCTGGTGGGGAGGCTTGTAAGGTTTCCTGCAGGTTTGGAAGGACAAGGAGGAGGCGGAGAGGAAATGACAACACCAATCATTTGTTTGAGACTCGTAAATCCTCTATGCGTTTCCCCTGCAGGTGTGGAAGGACACGGAGGAGGCGGAGATGTGGTACACGGGCCTGTGTGCTCTGGTGGACAGGAAATGACAACTTACAGATTAGACCTTTGAAGCATGTTTGGTCCTCTCTCCGTTTTGGTCCTCTCTCTGTTCCCCTGCAGGTATGGAAGGACACGGAGGAGGCAGAGATGTGGTATACGGGCCTGTGTGCTCTGGTGGAGAGGAAATGACAACTTACAGATTAGACCTTTGAAGCATGTTTGGTCCTCTCTCTGTTCCCCTGCAGGTATGGAAGGACACGGAGGAGGCGGAGATGTGGTACACGGGCCTGTGTGCTCTGGTGGAGAGGAACCGGCGGCCCAAATCAGAGCGCCTAGGGCTGAGCCACCGGCGATCCGCGTCCATGACCCTGGATGAGCTTCGAGAGTGGTCTCCCGACATGTCCCCCTTCCGACAGAGAGTAGAGGTAGGCTTCCGTCAGGGGCTCCGATTTTCCTTCAATCGTCCTGCCCCTGTCCTGCAACCCGTCTTTATTCTCTTCATCCCATTACGCACTCTCCCCCTCTCGTTCTCATGTTCCGTTACTTCGTTCCTCAATCTACCGCCCGCCCATTTGTCCCGTCCCCCCTCCCGCCCCCCCCCCCCCCCCGTCCTCAGTCATCCCCGCCTGTGGAACCCAATGAAAGCGGCAGCCTTGCCGACTTTCGAAGCCCCCCTGAGAGCAGAGGCACAGGGGGTGGCGTGGGCATGGGCATGGACACAGGCACAGGAGCAGAAGCAGGAGCAGCAGGAGGAACAGGCATGAATTTCTCAAGGTCGGCGCATGACATGTCATCTCTGCACGAGAGCATTCTTGGTAGAGGTTCGCTGTTTCCCGGGAGCACAAACAATGGAGCAGGGGGGTCTACAGCTTCTGGTTCTTCCCGGACGTTTCCTGGAAGCTGCAGCACGAACCAGCCGTGCAGCGAAGCAGGGACGGATGTCAGTGACTTGGACGATTTCTCAGACACGCTGTCTATCGGGGGGGTTTCTGTGCAGTCCCTACCTCCTTCCACCACCATCACCACCACCGTCACCACCACCATTGCTACCAATTCGCCCTCCATCCCCTCCTCTACCTCTGCCACAGCCACCACCGCTACTGCAGGAAATACCAGTGCTGCTGCCAATGCTAGTACTTCTTCTAGCCCTGCCGGGACCAACTTTCCGTATGTAGCAGCACCGCCCCCCGGTCACAGCACCATCATTCCCTCTACTCGGTCAGCCGATCGGGCTGAACTACTCCCCGGGCTGCCCGTGAAAAGTTTTTACAGTGCGTCGAGCGACGGGTCTGGGTATTTACCCAGTGCCACGAGCAGCAGTACAGGGGATGATGGGAGTGAGGTTCTGGGGGATTTGTTTATGTGGGGAGAAGGGTTGGGGGATGGGGCGTTAGGAGGGGGTGGATTGAGGAAACGTGGGACGAGCAGCGCGATTCCGATACCTGGATTTGATTCGGTGGCGCCGAAACCGTTGGATGCTGGAGTGGTGCTGGATGTGTGCCACGTGGCATGTGGGGAGGGGCATGCAGCGCTGGTGACAAGGCGAGGGGAGGTGTTCTGCTGGGGGGAGGAGGGAGGGGGGAGGCTGGGGCAGGGGCGTGAGAGAGACTTGGAACACCCGAAGCTGGTGGAGGGTTTGGATGGTATCCCTATGGATGAGGTGAGTGTACTGGGGGAAGTGAGTGGATGGGTGAGATGGGTGAATGGGGGTGGGGCTGGGACAGGTCAGGGGCGTGAGAGGGACTTGGAACACTTGAAGCTGGTGGAGGGGCTAGATGGGATTTCCATGGATGAAGTGACGTGAGGTGGGTGAATGGGGTGAGGCGAGTGAATGGGGTGAATACTCCCCCGGCCCTCTTTTTCATCCTCCCTCCCGTCTTCCCCCCAACCTCCCCTCATCCTCCCCTCATCTTCCCCCCCGTCTTCCTCCCCTCGTCCTCCGCCCATCCCGCAGGTCGCCTGTGGCAGTTTCGTCACACTCGCTCTCTCCAGAGCAGGGGAGGCATTTCTCTGGGGGGACGGCCGCAAGGGCAGGGGCCTTCTGGGGGAGGGCGGATACGAGGACATGCCCCAGTGGGTGCCCAGGCGTGTGGGTGGAGCCCTGGACGGGGTGTATCTGGTGCAGGTGGCATGTGGGCCATGGCACGTGGCAGCTGTAGCAGCTACAGGCCACCTGTTCACGTTTGGAGATGGGACGTTTGGAGCCCTTGGGCATGGAAACTGCGAGTAAGCACTTGTTTGGTGACGCTTCTTAGGACAAATTATCCCCACAGGAAACTTCAACAGTCCTTCTTGCAATCGCTTTGCACAAGAACGACGTCTCCCCGCCCCCATTTCCACCCCACCCCCTCCCCTCGCCTGCCTCCCTCCTCTCCCACCCCTCCCATTCCCTCCTCCCGCCCTCTTATACCCATCCCGCCCCAACACCTCCCTGTTGTCTCTCCCCCTCTCTATCCCTGCTGCATCCACCCCCATTCGTTCCGCACATCCATCTACACTTATTCTCCCCACAAACACCTCCCTCCCTCTCCCCCCCACCACACCATTCTCCCTCACCCCCAATGCAGCATTATCTCATCGCCCAAGGAGGTGGAGTCGCTTCGAGGCATGCGGGTCTCCCGCGTTGCCTGCGGCGTGTGGCACACAGCAGCAGTCGTGCACGCCCCCACCACTGCAAGCAACCCTTTCCCCCTTACCTCCTGTTGCCCCCCTCAAACACTCCAATGCAGCATTGTCTCATCGCCCAAGGAGGTGGAGTCGCTTCGGGACATGCGGGTGTCACGAGTTGCCTGCGGCGTGTGGCACACAGCAGCAGTCGTGCACGCTCCCGCCACTGCAAGCACCCTTCCCAGCACTGCAAGCTCAGGCGTCACTACAGCAAGCGACGGTGCAGCAACATCCTCAGCAGTAACGAGTGAAGGCGATTCCGCAGCAGCAGGCGCAGCAGTAGTAGCAGGAGGAACAGGAGCGGGAGCAGGGGGGGCAGTGGGAGTAGGGGGAGCGGCAGGAGCAGGGGGATTAGCTGGGGTAGGCTCGGCAGGGGGCGTGACAGCAGGGGGGGTAGCCGGGCCGTTTGAAGGCGGGAGGCTGTACACATGGGGTGATGGAGATAGGTACAAGCTGGGTCATGGCAACAAGCAGCAGCAGCTGCTGCCCAAAGCGGTAGACGCTCTCAGCCAAGTTGACATCTCCCAGGTATAATTTTCCTGCCATCCCTCCCCATCATGCCATCCCTCCCCCAGCCATGATGCCATCCCTCCCATGATGCCATCCCTCCCCCAGCCATGATGCCATCCCTCCCATGATGCCATCCCTCCCCCAGCCATGATGCCATCCCTCCCATGATGCCATCTCCCCCCCTGCCATCCATACCTCCCCTTGCTCCCCACACCCTGCACCCCATTCCCTTCTCCCCTGGCAGTCTGCATGCGGGCAGGACATCACAATAGCACTCACGCCATCAGGCCATGTGTTCGCCATGGGGTCAACTCACCTGCTCCCCATGCCCTGTCATCCCTTTCCCTCCGCCCCACACCCTGCCATCCCTCACCCTGCTCCCTATGCCCTGCCCCACCCTGGCAGGTAGCATGCGGGCAGGAGATCACAGTAGCGCTCACGCCATCAGGCCATGTGTACGCCATGGGGTCAACTCACCTGATGCCCATACCCTACTATCCCTGCCCCTTCTCCCCATGCCCTGCCATCCAACTCCCTGCTTCCCGTACCCTCCCATCCCTGGCAGGTGGCATGCGGGCAGGACATCACAGTAGCGCTCACACCATCAGGCCATGTGTATGCCATGGGGTCAGCAGCTCATGGACAGCTGGGTAACCCCCAGGCAGACGGCCACACCCCAGGTAGGTAGCATGTGTTGGTGGCATGCGTACTTGTATGGGCAAAGCTTCACCTGACTAGGCCATGTGTACGCCATGGGGTCAGCAGCTCATGGGCAGCCGGGGAACCCGCAAGCAGATGGCCACACCCCCGGTAGGTAGCATGTGGGAGGGAGAAGGTATGCATGCATGCATGTATGGGCAAGGCATCACACCATCAGGCCAAGTGTACGCCATGGGGTCATCAGCTCATGGGCAGCTGGGGAACCCCCAAGCGGACGGCCACACTCTCCAGGTACGTAGCAGTATGTGATGGCAGCACACATTCATGCGAAGGCATCGCATGAGCAGGCAATGTGTGTGCGTTGGCCTCAGAAGCTCTGGGCAGCTGACCCATGTAGTAATTTCTTAGGCACCTAAAAGATCGTGCCAGCTGGCTTGTGCAGTCACATAAGCGCCTCTTTTCCCGTCTTCCCCTCTCCCCTCGCTCCCGTTCCCAGCCCTTGTGTCTGGGCCCCCACTATTTAAGCAGATTGAGCAGATAGCATGTGGCACACACCACACAGTAGCCCTCACTGCAGCCACAACCACTTATAAACGCCTCATTTCCACTCCCTGTTGATTTCTCCCCCTTTCCCAGCCCTTGTGTCTGGGCCCCCACTATTTAAGCAGGTCGAGCAGATAGCATGCGGCACACACCACACAGCAGCCCTAACGGCCGCATCGGATCTCTTCACATGGGGCCAGGGCAGTCACGGGCAGTTGGGGCATGGGGACGTGAGGGACAAGGAGACCCCCACGAGGGTTGAAGCCGTTAAAGACCAGCGCGTGCTGTCGGTGAGTCAGTGGGGCGTGGAGATGGGGTGGGTGGTTGATGGGGCAGTTGGGGCATGGGGACGTGAGGGACAGGGAGGTCCCCACCAGGGTTGAAGCCATCAAAGACCAGCGCGTGCTGTCGGTGAGTCAGTGGGGCGTGGAGATGGGGTGGGTGGTTGATGGGGCAGTTGGGGCATGGGGACGTGAGGGACAGGGAGGTCCCCACCAGGGTTGAAGCCATCAAAGACCAGCGCGTGCTGTCGGTGAGTCAGTGGGGCGTGGAGATGGGGTGGGTGGTTGATGGGGCAGTTGGGGCATGGGGACGTGAGGGACAGGGAGGTCCCCACCAGGGTTGAAGCCATCAAAGACCAGCGCGTGCTGTCGGTGAGTCAGGAAGGCGTGGAGGGTGGGGCATGGAGGATGGGGCATGGAGGGTGGGGCATGGAGGATGGGGCATGGAGGGTGGGGCATGGAGGGTGGGTCATGAAGGATGGGGCACGAGGATAGGGTGGGTGGAGGATGGAGTGCGTGGTTGATGGGGCAGTCACGGGCTGTTGGGACATGGGGACGTGCGGGACAGAGAGGTCCCCACAATAGTTGAAGCCATCAAAGACCAGCGCGTGCTGCCGGTGAGTCTGTTCTGTAGGGCGTGGATGGTGGGGCATGGAAAGTAGGGCATGGCGGATGGGGCAGGGAGGGTGGGGCAGGTAGGGTGTTCCTCTATAGACTCACAATCACTCGCTTTCTCTATTCACCTCAGGTTTCCTGTGGGCCAGCCAGCGTGTCAGCACTGGCATGCACAGGGCTCAGACCACCACACCACCACTGCACAATATCCGTTCCTTGCTCGGATTTTCTCCCTCTACTCACTCTTTCAATCACCCCCTTCACCTCAGGTGTCCTGTGGGCCAGCCAGCACGGCAGTGGTGTGTCAGCATCGGCACGCACAGGGCTCAGACCACCACCACTGCACGCTCTGCCGCCAGGCTTTCTCCTTTGCCCGCATCCGCCACCACTGCTACAACTGCTCCCTCCCCGTCTGCCACGCCTGCAGCCCCCGCAAGCTACTCGGGGCAGCCATGGCCCCCACCCCTACCCGTCCCTACCGTGTGTGTGACACGTGCTTTAACAAGATGAGTAAGGCTTCAGCCAGCAGCGGCGGCAGTACTAGCAGTAACACCAGCAGCAGCAGCGGCAGCAGGATGGGCAAGGGTTCTAGCAGCAGTATCAATACCAGCAGCAGCAACAATATGAGAAGCAGTGGCAGCACCGGCAGCAGCAGCAGCAGCAGTAGCAGCAGCAGCAGCAGCAGCAGCATGAAGGGACAAGGTGGGGGTAGCAGCATTGGCAAGGTGAGCGGCAGCAGCGTGAGTGCTCTGACCAGCAGCGGCAGTGGAATCAGTATAGTCTCCAGCATTGTTAGCGTCAGCAGCAGCGGCAGTCTGGGAGGGATAGGGAGCGGAGGAGGAGGAGGAGGAAGAGGAGGAGGAGGGGGTAAGCCTGGGCTGTTCACTAGCAGCAGTGCCAGTGGCAGCAATGGCAGCAGTGGTGCTGGGGGCAATCGTGGTTCGGGTGGTACTGGTGCTGGCAGTGGGAACTTTCTTGCTCTCAGCAGCAGCAACGCTTCATTTGGAAACTCTATAGGCCTGGGAGCAGCAGGGATGAGGAGCAGCACTAGTAGGGCCAAAGCAGGGTCATTCTCAGGAACACCTGGGATTTCTCCTGGGACTTCTCCTGGGAACACCACAGAGATCGCGCATGTGCATGCACGCAGCCATGACGGGGGGTCAGCACTGCCCCTCCCCATGTGGGGCCCTGTCTCTCCTCCTCCTCTATTCGCCTTTCTCGTTTCAAGTCAAGCCTTCGCCCCCATGAGTTACCAGCAGTACCCCCATACACAGGCACAACAGCAGCAGCAGCAACAACATTCACAGCAGCAGCAGGCAGGGCAGCAGACCAGCCTGCGCAAATCCCCGCCCCCTCAGCCCCAACATGCCGTCTCTTCCTCTAACAGCTCCGTCTCCTCCTCCCTCCCGATCCTCCCCTCCGGCTTCCTCTCTCAAGCTTCCTCCTCCTCCTCTTCTTCCCCCTCTTCTTGGCTCTTCTCCCAAGCCAATGCCTCTGTCTCAACGAGTATAGCCAGCCCTGGACCATCATCCACTCTTGCTCCCAACACCACTACCACCACCACCCCTCCCACGCTCCCTTCCCGCCATTCCTCCCACTCCCTCTCCCCGAACCTCCCGGATGACTCCGGGCCTCCTCCTCGGGCCTCCCGAACCATCTCCCTCCGAGGCTCGGTGGCAGGTTTGGTGATAGGCTCGGGGAGGCGGCCGTCGAGTCCTCTCATGTGGCAATCGAGTAATAGTCCCTTGGGGGCGGGGAGAGCGGCAAGTCCTACTGGGGCTCAGGTTGCTGCTGCTGCTGCTGCGGCCGCTGCAGCTATGATAGCTGGTAGCAGTGCTGGTGGTGGTGGGGGTAGGGGTGCTGCTTCTGGTGGGTTCCCTGTGATTGGTGGAGTGGCAGTGGAGCCTTGGGATTGGAGGCAGCAGGGGGGTGCGGTGGGGAGCGGTGAGGCGCGGTGGAGGAAGGCGAAGGAGGAAGCAGACAAGGAGATTCAGAGACTGAGAGAAGAGGTGCGGAATAGCATGGTAGAACCCTGGATCATTAACCCTAGAAGGGGGGAATAATGTTGCAGATAGCAGCACAAGCTGAGTAAGAGGCATGGGCATTCGACGTGTGCATATCACATGTGCTGTGCATGTGATGTGTGCATGTGCATATGCGTGTGATTTGGGCCTGTAATCTGACTTTTTTACTTTTCCGTAACCATTTGTTTCCATCTCCTTTCTGCTCTCTAGAACCACCAGCTACGAGCGTCACAAGCAAGGAGTGCGGAGGTGGAGAGGGAGCGACAGGCAGAGAGGCGTCTAGCGAGCAAGCAGGTGGAGGCAGCACTTGGTGCTGCCAGCAGGACCACTGCTCGTACTGCTGGCTCTTACAAGCCCTTTCTTCCCCGTTGCCTCCTTCCTTCCCCCTTTGCCTCCCTCCAGCTACGAGCGGTGCAAGCAAGGAGTGCGGAGGTGGAGAGGGAGCGGCAGGCGGAGAGACGGCTGGCGGGCAAGCAGGTGGAGGCAGCCTTCTCAGCTGCCAGCAGGGCTGCTGCTCGTGCTGGTTACTCTCACGAACCCTTCTTCCTTCCCCATTGCCCCCCTTCTTCCCCTTGCCTCCCTCTTTTTCCTTTGCTTCCCTCCAGCTACGAGCAGTGCAAACGAGAAGTGCGGAGGTGGAGAGGGAACGGCAGGCAGAGAGGCGGCTGGCGGGCAAGCAGGTGGAGGCAGCCTTCTCAGCTGCCAGCAGGGCTGCTGCTCGTGCTGGTTACTCTCACGAATCCTTCTTCCTTCCCCATTGCCCCCCTTCTTCCCCTTGCCTCCCTCTTTTTCCTTTGCTTCCCTCCAGCTACGAGCAGTGCAAACGAGGAGTGCGGAGGTGGAGAGGGAACGGCAGGCAGAGAGGCGGCTGGCGGGCAAGCAGGTGGAGGCAGCCTTCTCAGCTGCCAGCAGGGCTGCTGCTCGTGCTGCTGGCGCTCGTGACGTCATCCAACTGCTCTCTCAGCAGGTATGTCCCCTTAGTCCTCTCTGCCCTCAGTCCTATATATTCCTGTACCTGATTCTGCACCTTATAAGTCTGGTTCTACATATTCCTGTACCTGATTCTGCACCTTATAAGTCTGGTTCTACATATTCCTGTACCTGATTCTGCACCTTATTCTCGTGCTCCTGGCACCGTTCGCGCACATGCAGGTGGCCAGTGTCCCTTGCGTCTCCTCCTCATCACCATCATCTTGTTCCGTTGACTTCTTCTGCCCTCCCCCCTCCTCTCACTCTCTTTCATCCCCCCTCCCTCTTCTTTCCACTCCCTCTTCCACCCCTCCCTCTGTTTCCACCCCCTCCCCCCACCCACACACCACCCATACACAGCTCACCACTCTCTCTCAAGCTCTCCCTCAGGGCAGCACCAAGCAAGTCAGCCTCGCAGTGACCTCCCTGCCAGCTGCTGTGGTTTACACAGGCCCGCTCCTCTCCTCCACCTCCATCCCTCCAACCCTAACGGAGCTCCCACCTCAGCAAGTCACCAGCACTGCCGCTGGGTTGGCTTCAGGACAGGCAGTAGCTGAAGGGGGGGCATGTGGGGAGGGGCCACGTGGGGAGGAGACATGTGGGGAGGGGTTATGTGGGGAAGAGGCACGCGGGGAGGCAGCTGGTGGGGGTGATTGGGTGGGTGCTACTAGTGGCTCTGCTCCATCCACTGATATGGCAGGTGCCAATGGCAGCAGCATAGGGACTGTATTGAATCCCGATAAGAGCACACCCGTTTCAAGCACAAGTACAGATACAAGCACGAGCACAGGTGTGGGTACAGATAGTTCGTGTGCCGGTAGCAGCAGTACAGGCAGTGGCAGCTTCGAGGGGAGGGTAAGCGGGGGCAGCAGCAGCAGCAGCAGCGGCGGCGGCAGCAGCAGAATGAACGGCGGCAGTGGTGGCGGTGGCGGCGGCGGTAGCAAGAACTCCAGACTGTTGAAACGCATGGTCACTCCCCGCACAGCAGCAGCAGCAGCCGCTGCAGCAGCAGGGCTACAGCCACTAACAACCAATTTCTCCTTCAACTCCTGGAGTTCCCTAGACTGGACTAGATCCAAATCGCCTCCTGGTGCCGCTGCTGCCGCCGCAGCTGCAGCTGCTGCAGCAGGGATAGCTGGGAGGGACGGTGAGTCGGTTGCTGCAGCTGCGGCTGCGTTGGCTGCGCTGCGAGTGGAAGAAGAGTTGCGGGAATGTTCTGAGGGATGGGAAGGTGCACCAGACGTGGCAGAAGCAGCAGTAGAAGTAGAGGTGCCAGACGAAGTAGTGGCAAAAAGGGCAGAAGCAGCAGAAGCAGCAGAAGCGGCAGTACCACCAGCAGATGCAGCAGAAGCATCCGGCAAACTGGAAGGCAGTATGCTGAAGGGTTTAGCCGCAGATGTTGAAGGGAATCACATTAATCGTCTCGTGTTGGAAGGGGCAATTCAGGAGGAGATGATACGGAAAGATGAAGCACAAAAGCAGCGAGGAGACGGGGATGGGGAGAGCGAGAACGAGAACACTTCAGACTCTTCATACCTCTCATCTCAGTCAGTGCCTCCTCCCTCGGACTCCTCAAACATCTCTAAACCCACCAGAAAATCCACCAAGTCTTGGTCATTCCGAAGCGCTGTGGGCATGCCTTGGAGCCCTGCAAGCGGATCAGATGAAAACATTGACTCTCCCAGATCTCAGTGGTTCGGGCAGGTGAATAGAGGCACTGGTAAATCAGGCTTGGGGGGTCCTTCTGAGGCAGCTGTGGGGGGTACAGGGCAGAGGCCTGCTGATTGGGTTGCAGCAGGAGAGGAGGATTTACATGGCGATGCTTTAGCTGATGTGGCTGAAGGGGAGGATGAGGAGGCAGAGGAGAGGTATGGTGGTAGTAGAGAAGGTTCGGAGGGAGAAAGGGAGACAGGAATGGGAGAGGTGGGTGAGGAGGAGGGTCGGGAGGAAGCAGGTGGAGGAGAGGAGGAGGAACGGACGGATGGGATGGATGGGTTGGGAGCTGCGAGCAAGCAGGTGGGCTCTGATGCTACTTCCGGGAAAGGGGCTGCTGAAAGGGGAACTGTTGTTGTTCCTAAGAAGGTGACTAGCATTGGCATTCCGCCTGTGTGGAACGGGATTTGTGAAATGACCCCAAGACCACAGCGGTCTGCTAGCAGGTTTGCAGTGAGTAGAGGGGACAGTGGGGTTGCTGCCGCTGCTGTGGTGGGTGGTGAGGGGAGGGGGAACGGGCAACTGCGTGCCGATGGGTTGGAAGGGAATGGGCCGATGCGAGAAGGAGGTGGGGGGTTGGGGGAAGCTTTGTTTGGAAGGGACGCAGAGGATGGTTATGATACGCTACTTGCGGGATCGGATTTGGAAGGGATTGCTGCAGACGCGAAGCCAGAGGAGATTGCTTCTGTGGGTTATTTAGAGGAGGGTTGTACGGTTTATGCCGGACATGGGGGTTATGTGCTAGGCCAGCAGCAGTATGGAGAGGCAGTGATGGGTGGGGAGGGTATGGAGGACCGTGTGGGGACAGGTGAGGAGGAGGGTAGCTGTGGCTGGCAGTATGTGCCGCGTGGGATGAGCCGGGGCGAGACGGGGAGTGGTGACTGGGACGAGAATGCTGGGGTTGAGGAGAATGCTGGGGGGGAGGAGAATGCTGGGGGGGAGGAGAATGTGACAGGGGAAGAGAGAGCGTACATGGAGGGGAGTGCTCCGGGGGAAGAGAATTGTGGGAGGGAAGCGGGTGCAAGCAGGGAAGAGAGTGCAAGCAGGGAGGAGAGACATGACAGGAAGCACAGGAGCAGGAAGCTGGGGGATGGGGAGTGGGTGGAGCAGCCAGAGCCTGGGGTGTACATGACTCTGGCAAAGCTGCCTGGGGAAGGGACTGAGCTGCGTCGAATCCGGTTCAGGTAAGCCGCTGCTTTAGTTGTGTCGTTGGTGCTTCCCTTTTCTGAGTTTTGGTCCTGTACAGGGTGAGAACTCTCTCATCCCTGCTTCCTCCATCCCGTCTGTAGTCCAGGTTATGCCCTGCATTCTGTGTTTTTTTCTTTCAACACTTTTTGCCCTCCAGCGAGCCCCCACCCCGCATCATCCTTGCCCATCTTCTCAATCTTCTTTCCCATGCACCTGCAGTTTCCACTTGAAGCATTTTTTCTCATCCTTTCCCATGCACGAACGGTCATTCCCGGCTTACCGTACCTTTTTCCCGAATGAACCATCCCATGTTTTGTGTGTGTGGACGCTCATTTGTAGCCGCAAGGTTTTTATGGAGAAGCAAGCAGAAACGTGGTGGGCAGAGAATAAGGCGGCAGTAACTGCCATGTACAATATTATCAGCACGGCAAAGAAAACTGGCGTTGATCCAGGTGAGGTTGAAGCTCGCCAATAACGCTAATTGTTAGCCACCTAAATGGTTTGTACTGGTTGATATAATGCTAATTTACGGTACCTGGTAGGTTAATTCCAATACAGGCTGTCACTTTACAGGTTGCACTCATTGTGGGAGATGGTGGTCAAACCTTAGGCGTTAAAGTAACGTATCATGAATTAGTGGATTGTCTGAACCATATATGGTGTACAATCCACCTGCCAGGATTTGTCTTTGTAAACTTCATATTGGGGAAGTTGTTAAATCATTCTGGCAAGGTGCGAAAGGTACGAGTGTAGCTTCCGCTTCTAGCGAGGACATATTGAATTTCAAACCAGCGCAGCAGCAGCACGAAATGTCAAAATCTCCAGAGCCTACATATTCGAGTTCGTGACTTGTGTCTGGAGACTGGAGCTTGTCTGGTTTCGGACCATAGCATTGACAATCATGGCCCCTCTTGCTACTCAGGTGTGACTGAGCTCCATTGTAACGACGTTTTTTCCTTCTAGGAGTACCCTAACGAGTTACTGCTGCTTGCAGAGCCGTCGTGGGGAGACACGCACTCGTCCAGTATCTTCCCAGAATGAAAACGCCGTACCTGTTTCAGGGAAGGGTAGTATTATGAAAACTTTTGCACTGACTAATTTCCTATGCTATACGATTCTTAACCGTACACCGTATATGTAATCCAGCCACGAAGTCGAACGTCGTACGGAGTAAGATCGAAAGTTCTCGTCCTTCGCTGCGTCATGTCATGAATACCACCAAAGCCGTGGTCTCCGAGCGGTAAGACAAAGAAATGCGTCAACAGCAAAGTTCGTCGAGATACATCACTGACTCCGCGTTTCATGTTTCAGTGACAAAGCTCCTGTAAAAGTAGGGGATGTTCCGAAAGCAGCATTAAAGAAGCCGGCTCCTCAGGTTTGCTCGGAACGTGATTAAAGCGGCATGAGGAATGCCATTTCTGATCGTTACTGATACTAGCGACAAATGTACAGGCTCGGCCAACAAAACCACCTACTCCGGCATGGCGTCCGGCTGGAATTTCTAAAGGCCTCTTCGAGAAGCCACGTCCTCCTACCACACGGAGCAATGTACTGCGACGCAGCAGCAGCTCTGCTCCTGTTGCCGCTCGTTCCAGCAACGCGACGGTCAGTCGAAGGTCTTCAACGACTGCCATCAGTGATCCTCCTGAGGTCGCTCCAGCAGCGACTACTGATGATGGAGATGTCACCGATCACCTTACTGCACTTGTTAATAAAGACAATGGACTAGCTGATCGTCTCACTGCTGCTGTTCATGACAAAGACGGCGCTGATCACGTCGCTGCAGCTATCCATGAAGTGAAGGTCGCTGATCATCTCACAGCTGCTGTTCATGATAAAGGTGTCGCTGATGACGTTGCTGCGGCTATCCACGAGGAGAATGTCGCTGATCATTCGACTGCTGCTGTTCACGACGAAGAACTCCTGGATCACCTTACAGCACCGGTTCATGAGGACAATGTCGCTGATCATCTTATTGCTACTGATTCTAGCAGCGTGAAGGCAACTGATTTGGACACTCAGACGGTGACACAACTCCCATCCCATCATGAGAGTGCAACAAACGAAGTGACGCAATATGTTTTTCAGCGAAGGGATAGTGCTGGTCATTGCGCAGGGAGCAACGCTGGTCCAGGGAGGCACATCTTGACCATGACGAAGCAACTCATCGAGAAGACCCTGGAAGTAAAAGTGGAGTCCTGCTGGGTTGTGGATGCTCGAGACCGTGAGAATCCGCTTGCTGAGACAACTTACATCGCTGACATCTACAACCATTACAAGATGACGGAGGTCAGTTTCTGATATCCTTCTTCGGATGCTCAACTCGAAGATTAGCTTAATTGAGTTTCTATTTTACAGAAGGAGGGAATGGTTTGCCCCACTTACATGTCTGCTCAATCCGAAGTCGACAGTCACATTCGAGGCGTTGTGCTAGATTGGGTGGTTCAGGTAAGGCTTTGTCGTCCTCTACGCTTTTTCTTGCTTCTGGCCTTATCTTTCTGACTCCTTATAATCGCTATACAGGTCCATGAATCCTATAATCTGATGCCTGAAACTCTTTTTCTGGCTGTCAACATCTTCGACCGATATCTTGCTGCCACTCATGTGCCTAAGAAACACATTCAGCTGGTTGGCGCAACATGCATCTTGATTGCTGCGAAATACGAGGAGATTTACGCTCCTCTTGTTGCTGACTTCGAAGATATTGGAAATGGCGCCTACACGCGAGGACAAATTCGGTTGATGGAGAAGCGGATATTGAACAAGATATCTTTCAAGCTGAGCATCCCAACATGCTACATGTTCGCTGTTCGTTACCTGAATTTTGCCAAGGCTGCAGCTGATGCCGCCACGGCTTCAAATGCAGTTTCAAATGGGTGGAGCATCGAAGTGTCAAAGGGAACCAGCAGTCGCGTCCATGCCTTTGCATGGTACCTTCTGGAGCTGACCATTCCAGAGATCAGCATGGTTCAGTTCACTCCGTCCCATCTTGCTGCTGCAGCGGTATACACTGCTCTGCTTGGAGCCTATCAAAAGGGAAAGGCAGCCAAGCCAACTGATTCACAGAGCAACCAGACTATCACGCACAGGAGGCCAACCAATGAAGGTGAACTCTGGGGATCACGCATGGCTCATTTGACTGGTTTTGAAGCTCAGGAGCTTTGGCACTGTGTGGGGCTGTTGCTGGAGATATACAAGACAGCTTTGTCGAGTCGCCGTGGTGCGGTATATGAGAAGTACAAGGGGAAGAAGCTCCTGGAAGCTGCCACCTATCCAGCACCACTGTCAGAAGACATGGATGCATTAACCTCAGACCAGGGTTTGGAAGGCTGTGAGAAGTAATGAAGGAAGGAGGGTGATTGTACGGAATAAAGGGCAATGGAACCAGGCTGTTGCTCACTCACTATGTCAGCATTATTTATGTCGTACTCATGTGATTCTTCTTGCTTGTCATGGTCATACTTCATGCTCAAAGGCAAGTTATTACGGTATTGCTTAGACTGCTGTACACGTCCTAAACTAAGAACCCAAGTCCTTATTCTAGGCCGCTAGGAAAGCAAAAACAAGCTAGGAGAGCAAAAGCTCCTAAGAAGGGCAGAGGGAGCCCTCATCGAGCAGGAAAACAAAAACAGGTCGAGATGACCCCGCGCAATAAGCTCCAAGCGACCAGATACTAGCTCGGTGCGACTCCCAATGTACATCCATCCTCCTCCTTTCACTTCCTGCCTGCCGCTGGAACGGACGAGTTGGCCGTCGACAAGCAGGATGTCGACTTGGTCAGCTTATGTGCAACGGCGGCACGGGGGGGATTCTCTGGCAGGTGAGGAACAGCAGGAATATTCGCCACCTCCTCGAACTGCTTCCGCGAGTACTTCTTGTGAACCGCCGCGAGGTTTCCCGTGCCCGCCTTCCCGTGCAGAGCCACAAGCTGCTCAACGCACGGCCACAGCGTCGCCTCGTCATACCCGGTAAGCCACGCCATGCCGGGGCCCCAGACCTCACCGGCGCCTGCCGAGCCTGCTCCCGTGGCTGTCTTGTTAGCCTGGTGGGCCGTCAGCAGTGCGGCGTAGACCGAAGCGGCGGCCAGCTGCGACGGGGAGAACTTGATCATCGAGTGTTCAGGCAGGGTCAGCTCGAGAAGGAACCACGCGAGCGCGTGAACGCGCGTGTCTGCTCCAACGGTCACCGCCATGTCAGCACCCGCACCAGCGGTAGCGGGGGCGTTGGCGGCGGCGGTCGCGGCCTTGAGGAATCGCGCAGCGAAGACGTACGTGGTTGGGATGGTGAGCTTGAACTGAAGCGTGTTGAGCATATCCTTCTCCATCTTCAACACGTCCTGACGCGTGTACGCGCTGTCGCAGATATATACGAAATCGCCGACTTCGGGAGCCCAGATCTCCTCGTACTTAGACGCGATCAGCATCGCCGTGATCCCCACCAGCTGCAGGTTACGACGGGGAACCGGCGTCACCGCCAGGTACCTATCGATGACGCTTATAGCGAGGAAAAGCGTCTCCGGCATGAGCTTGAACTTGAGGTGAACCTCGATCAGCCAGTCAATGAGAATCGCGCGCATCGTGCCGTTGATGTCGCTCTGACGGTTCATGTAATCCGGAGCCACCATGCCTTCCGCTTCCGTGCGCCGGTAGAAGTTGTAGATGTCCGCGACATAAGTCGTCTCGGCAAGAGGGTTGCTCTTGTCGGCAGCGTCGATGTCCCACCACGCTTCCCTCTTAACGGACGGGGCGGCGACAGCGGCGGCGTTTATCGCGGTGATCGTGGAGAGCACGCTCGCTTCCTCGCTGACAGCTGTCAGCTCGGCGGTCATGGTGTGCACGTGGCGCGGCTCGTCGATGTCCACGTCACCCGGGATCACTTCTTCCACGTCAGGTGAGACGGTGATGACGCTGACGGCGCTGGTGGTCTGAGCGGACTTGGCGGCAGGTTGCGGCTTGGGCTGCAAACAAGAAGAACGAGATCGAGGAGTGTCAGATAACGAAATAACAAACGAAGAATGGCGAGACTGAAGACGCTAGATGCGTCAAGGTAAAATGAAGAACGGCGACGGAAACAGATCAGGTGTTCGAAAGTGAGCGGTAGTACTCACCACAACAACAGAGGCGCGACCAGGGACCTTGGCGGCGGGAGCAGCGCGTTGGCGGACGGGATCGGCCTTCTTCCTGCGATACAGAAAACAGAGGGAGGAGGCGCGTTAGAATTAACGAAACGGAGAATACAATCAACGACATAGCGATGAAGCAGCAAGGGAAAGTAGAAAGAGCGGAGCAGTTATCGTAGGAGCGTGAAGGAGTTACAAAGACTTACTCAAATTTTCCGCCAGCGGCGGCCTTGGAGGCCATGCTGTTGGTGAGCGTGCCGAAAGCCCGTCGCGGGGGAGGGAGGACATGGCCGGATCGAAGCTTCATCGCGCCGAGCTCCGGTGCGATAGCCGCGGCGGCGTTCTTGCTGCCGGCTATCCGTTTCCCATCCATCACGCGGTTCTCGTCGTTAGCTGCGTACTGGGAGGCCATTCTGGTGGCCATGGCTTGAGATAGGTCGGGCCGAAGCTCTACGACTAGGTAATACTTCTCAAACTGAACTACCTCTGAGCAGTAAAGACCGGAGCCTCTGAGCGCTAGGTACCGATATAGATACTAGATAGAGAAGATGCTGGATGTCAAGTAGACACTCGTCGTACGGCCAATATAAGCGGGAAAGCGTTTGTGTCTCGGCGCGTGTGAATACAGGAGCACGAGAGTGCACTGCGTGAGAAGGCTGGCGTTGAAAGCAGAAAGTAGATGAGGAAGAATGACGTTGGCTTTTTTTTTTGTAGGTGGAAGTGTGTGTGCTGTTGGGCAACAAGCAAATGGTGGCAGGACGACAACGAGCAACGCAGGTGCAGTAGTTTCAAGTACGGTGAGGAGTGTTATAGGGGCTTGAGATTTTGGAAAAGCCGAGCCGCGGACAATCTGTGTGGGTCGCCAACTGCGGCTGGGGGCGGCTCGGCTCGCAGGAGGACATTTTCGCTTTGCGCCAAACCGCCGCCCCTTACGGCTGGAGAGTTGGGATTCGGGCAAACGGGAAACTACATTGGCTGGGGGTGGATTGGTGCTCATGGCATTGTTCATCGCGATGAGACGCAGTGAACCGTCCGATGGCAAACTGGTCTTGTGTAAATGTTTTGCACTTGACAAATGAAAGTGACCTTAGTTCGTAACGGGGCAAAACCTAGGGAAGGAAAGTCCGAGTGTACATACAGCCGTCCGATAGAGAACCAATATCCAATGCAACCGTCGATGAGAATTTGGTGACGGACCAGGACATCGGATGATGATGGTGAGTCAAGTCTCGATTTCGAATTTGTTCTTCTGCGGAAGCAGAATACACTGCTCTGCTTGGAGCCTATCATAAGGGAAAGGCAGGTCAACTAACTCAGAGAGCAACCAGACCAGACCATCACGCACAGGAGGCCAACCAATGAAGGTGAAATTTGGGGATCGCGCATGGCTGGCTTGACTGGTTTTGAAGCTCAGGAGCTTTGGCACTGTGTGGGGCTGTTGCTGGACATGTACAAGACAGCTCTGTCGAGTCGCCGTGGTGCGGTGTATAAGAAGGGAAAGAAGCTTTGTCAGAGGGAATAGATGCATAACCCTAAGACCAGGGCTCAGAAGGCTGTGAGAAGTAGTGAAGGAAGGTGGGTGATTGGTCGGAATAAGGGGCAATGATTGAATTTAGTAGCTAGTAGCTGGAATCAGGCAGTTGCCCACTCACGATGTCAGCATTATTTATGTCAGCCAGGATTCATGCTCAAGGAAAGTTATTATTGCTTAGATCGCTGTACACGTCCTAATCTAGGACCTAAGTCCTTATTTAGTCTAGGCCGAGAAAGCCCCTCAGATAACAAGCTAGGAAAGCAAAAACAAGCTAGGAGAGCAAAAGCTCCTAAGAAGGGCAGAGGGAGCCCTCATCACGAGCAGGAAAGCAAAAACAGGGCGAGATGACCCTGCGCAATGAGCTCCAAGCGACCAGAAACTAGCTCGGTGCGACTCTTACATCCATCCTCCTCCATTCACTTCCTGCCAGCCGTTGGTACGGACGAGTTGGCTGTCGACAAGCAGGATGTCGACTTGGTCAGCTTATGTGCAACGACGGCCTGGGGGGGATTCTCTGGCAGGTGAGGAACAGCAGGAATCTTCGCCACCTCCTCGAACTGCTTCCGCGAGTACTTCTTGTGAACAGCCGCGAGGTTCCCCGTACCTGCCTTCCCGTGCAGAGCCACAAGCTGCTCCACGCACGGCCACAACGTCGCCTCGTCGTACCCGGTAAGCCACGCCATGCCGGGTCCCCAAACCTCACCGGCGCCTGCCGAGCCTGCTCCCGTGGCTGTCTTGTTGGCGTGGTGTGCCGTCAGCAGCGCCGCGTAGACCGAAGCGGCAGCCAGGTGCGACGGGGAGAACTTGATCATGGAGTGCTCAGGCAAGGTCAGCTCGAGAAGGAACCACGCGAGAGCGTGAACGCGCGTGTCAGCTCCAACGGTCACCGCCTTGTCAGCACCCGCAGCGGCAGCAGCGGCGGCGGTCGCGGCGGCGGTCGCGGCCTTGAGGAATCGCGCGGCGAAGACGTACGTGGTTGGGATGGTGAGCTTGAACTGAAGCGTGTTGAGCATATCCTTCTCCATCTTCAACACGTCCTGACGCGTGTACGCGCTGTCGCAGATATACACGAAATCGCCGACCTCGGGAGCCCATATCTCCTCGTACTTAGACGCGATCAGCATCGCCGTGATTCCCACCAGCTGCAGGTTACGACGGGGAACCGGCGTCACCGCCAGGTACCTATCGATGACGCTTATAGCGAGGAAAAGAGTCTCCGGCATGAGCTTGAACTTGAGGTGAACCTCGATCAGCCAGTCGACGAGAATCGCGCGCATCGTGCCGTTGATGTCGCTCTGACGGTTCATGTAATCCGGAGCCACCATGCCTTCCGCTTCCGTACGCCTGTAGAAGTTGTAGATATCCGCGACATAAGTTGTCTCGGCAAGAGGGTTGCTCTTGTCGGCAGCGTCGATGTCCCACCACGCTTCCCTCTTAACGGACGAGGCGGCGACAGCGGCGGCGTTTATCGCGGTGATCGTGGAGAGCACGCTCGCTTCCTCGCTGACAGATGTCAGCTCGGCGGTCATGGTGTGCACGTGGCGCGGCTCTTCGATGTCCACGTCACTCGGGATCACTTCTTCCACGTCAGGTGAGACGGTGATGACGCTGACGGCGCTCGAGGTCTGAGCGGACTTGGCGGCAGGTTGCGACTTGGGCTGCAAACAAGAAGAACGAGATCGAGGAGCGTCAGATAACTAAGTAACAGACAAAGTACGGTAAGACTGAAGACGGTACATGCGTCAAGTAAAGGCGAAGAGCGGCGACGGAAACTGATCTCATGTGTCCAAAGCGCTTCGAGAAGTAGTACTCACCACAACAACGGAAGCGCGACCAGGGACCTTGGCAGCGGGAGCAGCGCGTTGGCGGACGGGCTCGGCCTTCTTCCTGCGATACAGAAAACAGAGGGAGGCGGCGCGTTAGAATTAACGAAACGGAGAATACAATCAACGACATAGCGATGAAGCAGCAAGGAAAAGTAGAAACAGCGGAGCAGTTATCGTAGGAGCGTGAAGGAGTTACAAAGTCTTACTCGAATTTCCCGCCAGCGGCGGCCTTGGAGGCCATGCTGTTGGTGAGCGTGCCGAAAGCCCGTCGCGGGGGAGGGAGGACATGGCCGGATCGAAGCTTCATCGCGCCGAGCTCCGGTGCGATAGCCGCGGCGGCGTTCTTGCTGCCGGCTATCCGTTTCCCATCCATCACGCGGTTCTCGTCGTTAGCTGCGTACTGGGAGGCCATTCTGGTGGCCATGTCTGGAGATAGGTCGGGCAGAAACTCTTTGACTAGGTAATACTTCCCAAACAGAACTACCTCTGAGCGGCAAAGCCTGGAGCTTCTGAGCGCTAGGTACCGATTTAGTAGGAAAAAAAACTGGATGTCAAGTAGACACTCTTCGTACGGCCAATCTAAGTGGGAAAGCGTTTGAGTCTCGGCGCGTGTGGATACAGGAGCACGAGAGTGCACCGCGTGAGAAGGCTGGTGTTGAAAGCAGAAAGTGGATGAGGATGAATGAGCTAGGCGATGTGTTTTGTAGGTGGACGTGTGTGCGGTGTTGGGCAACAAGTAAATGGTGGCAGGATGACTACGAACAACGCAGGTGCAGTAGTTTCAAGTGCGGTTAGGGATGGTATATGGGCTTTTGATTTTTGAAAAACCGTGCCGCGGACAATTTGTGTGGGTCGCCAAATGCGGCTGGGTGGTGCGGCTCGGCTCGCAGGAGAACAATTTCGCTTTGCGCCAAACGGCCGCCCTTCACGGCTGGAGCGTTGGGATTCGGGCAAACGGGAAACTATGTTGGCTGCGGGAGGAGAGGTGCTAATGGCACTGTTCTTGGCAAACTGATCTTGGGAAATGTTTTGCATTTGACAAATGGAAGTGGCCTTTGGTTGTAACGGGGCAAAATCTGGGGAAGGAGAGTCCGAGTCCCCATAAGCCGTCCGATACATAATCCATACACAATACACAACCGTAGATGAGAATTTGCTGTCGGTGAAGGACATGGGCATGATGGCGATGAGCAGTATTATCTCAATTTGGAAATGAACGGCCAGCAGGCTATGAGAATAGAGCGGGAAGTTTGAATGCAAGGATTTGAACGGCTCTTCGACAGGCGAAAGCCAAAGCCGTCGAACAACCCCGCCACAATTCGAAATGGCTGTCAGATCAAATCGAAAGCCGAGATTTGAACGTGCTAGATGGTGCACTCGAAAATCTTATGACTTGTACACAACCTCCAAAAGGTATTTAAATTTACTGTAGTTGTATTCTGGTAACCTGATTATAAGTGTTGAAAACGGGTATTTGATATGTTTAGTTCTTGTAATATGGTAGCCCACTTAGGAATGATTTATGTGAAGAATTTAAACACGCGTATCTCAGAAATGAAATCCACGTGAACGACACTACGTCGACGCAGGAAGGGTCCATCCGGAAGGAACTGGACCGTAGTCCGAGATAATCTCCCGATGGCATGACCAAACCAAGCGAATAGCTTCCGGAGTTCCAATGCCTGCCCCTCGTGGATCATTAGCGGGTCCAAACCTGGAAAAGAGGCACAATGCATACAAAAACAATTAGTGGACGTCATTTGTTCCACCTATATTGTTAGCATCCACAACACACCACCTTGCAACTCATCTGTAGCACACGGTGCACACTGGGCTTAAAAAAAAACAAGTGTATGTATAATTAATTCCTTACCAGTGATTCTGTGGCGCCCCTGTGGTTCTTGCCCTCAGTCCAACATAGGTGGTCCCGTTCACTGTGTTTGCCAGCACGTGCTGACATGGACATGAGCAATGGGTAGGGAAAGAAGATGGCAATGCAGAAAACTGAACTCGAAGAGAGGTAACAAAAATCTCGGACTGCCCAAGAACAATTGTAGGAAAAGACAAGAACTATGTCTTCTACAAATTGAGACAGATGAGTCTGTGAACCTGCCGCTTTTGACACCTATTCGTTTCCATGTCAGTTAATTTTCATATACACTGCTTTCTGAACCTGTTGGCCTTCACACATGTTAACCTTCACACTAGTTTTTCACACCACTTTGTTTCTTCACACCACTTTATGTTTTCACACCAATTCTGTTTGTTCACACCAGTTAATCTCCATACCTGCAGGAAGAGAGGGTCGTTCGAGACGACTGCAGCGGTGAGATGAGCTGTCATCCTCTCATTGGCCTCCAGAACCAGGTCAATCTCGCTGTCCTCATACTCTGTGACCACCTGGGCAAGGAGGGGTAAGGGGGGAGTGTGGGGAGCGAAGGGGGTAGGTAAAGTGTGCAACGCGCAGAGATGCTGTGCTGGCCGCTGCTCCTTCCAGCACCAGGTCAATCTCGCTGTCCTCATACTCTGTCACCACCTGGGGATGAGAGGGGCAGCGCAGGGGAAGTGTGGAGCACTTGATGTTGTTGTTGATGTTGTTGTTGATGTTGTTGTTCATGTTGTTGTTGTTGATGTTGTTCTTCTGCCCTAACTTTCCGTTCCTTCCCACCAGTTCAATCTAGCACCAGGTCAATCTCGCTGTCATCATACTCTGTCACCACCTGGGGATGAAAGGGGCGGCGCAGAGAGGAGAGGAATGAAGCAAATGAGAATGCTGTGCTGCCTGCTCTCCTGATCCTTCCAGCACCAGGTCAATCTCGCTGTCCTCATACTCTGTCACCACCTGGGAACGGAGGGGGAGGTGCAGGGGACGAGCAGAAAGAAGCAAATGAGAATGCTGTGCAGCCTGCCCTCCTGATCCCTCCAGCACCAGTTCAATCTCGCTGTCATCAGAATCTGTAACCACCTGGGAATGGAGGGGGAGGTGCAGGGAAAGCGGAGTGTGAACCACTTCACAATGCAGTGCTGCCCACCCGCCTGTTCCAGGCCAGGTTGCTTCCACCTGAAGTCGCTGTCCACACATTAAAGCCCAACCGGAAAACTTGAAGTCTAAGCTACGTTGATTGTTTCTTATACATACGTACACATACGTGTGCATAGATATATAATATAATATCTGCACTCACGCAAAATTCGACATACCTGAATTGGTCCGAACACCTCCTTGGTGGCGATCTCGAAGTTTTCCCGGCTGGCAAGCATGGCAACTGGTGATATCACAGTCAAACTTCCAGACTTATTGAAACCCACCTGAATCGGTCCGAACACCTCCTTGGTGGCGATCTCAAAGTTCTCCCGGCTTGCAAGCATGGCTTTAAGCGGCACAAACACAGCGGTAGGCTCCACGGCACCGTAGCAAGCGGGGATGCTGTGCTTCCCCCCCTGCAGCTCCTTTCCGCCGAACTCCAGGCGAGCCCCGGGAATGGAGAGGAGGGCTTTCACATGGGATAGGAAGGCCTCTGTTGTCACCTGGTGGGGTTGGTTAGTGTGTGAGGTTGGTTGGTGTGGGGGGTTTGGAGGCAGAGGTTGCAGAGGTTGCAGAATGAGTTGGCGCGGGAGAATGAGGGAGGAGAGGCCGGGGAATTGGGGAAAGGAATGGAAAGAAGCGGGATGGGCGGCAGGAGTGTGACATTGAGACCTGTCATCTTCTCTGAAAGAAGACTCATTACAAGGACATTGAGATCTGTCACAAGCACTCACTGTAAGCACATTGAAACTTGTTACAGGTTATAAGCACTCACCGTGAGCACGGGACCAATGGTGAGGTCCTGCAGGTTGCGACGAGCAGCCAACGATCGCAGGCGATCCATAAGGCCGGCTTGCACCCAGTTCTGATGGCCATGGAGGGATGGGGGGGGAGAATGGATTGACTGTATTGACTGCATTCTGACGACCAGCCAATGATCGCAGGCGATCCATAAGGCCGGCTTGCACCCAGTTCTGACGATGGGCGGATGAGGGGGAAAACGCATGAGGGAATCGGGGAAGGGGAGACGACTGCATTGACTGCATTGACTGTACACTAACGAGCAGCCAATGATTGCAGGCGATCCATAAGGCCGGCTTGCACCCAGTTCTGACGATGGGCGGATGAGGGGGAACGGTCAAGAAGGAGGGACGATGACTGCGTTGACTGCATTGACTGCATGAACAGGCCTAGTGCATGAAATGGAGTGCGGAGATAGGTTTACAACTTGTACAACAGATGGTTCCGGAGGAAGTGAGATGGCTTTTACAACTTTAGAGACGTCCCGAGTGCATGAAGAGGATCAGAAGATTGGCTTATAAGGAGGATAGGAAGATTACCTATAACGAGGATAGACTTGCCTTGTGCATGAAGAGAATCGACTGCGCAGAACACTTCTGACCGCTGCAGGCATAAGCATCCTGGTCGCACACCCATGCCGCGTAGTCCAGCTGGTGCTTGTGACAGTAGGTAATGGGGGCAAGCAAGGGGGGGAAGGTGAGATGGCACTGTGTGAATCCTGCAAGAGTACGCGTCCTGATCGCACACCCATGCCGCGTAGTCCACCTGGTGTAGCAGACACACAGAGGGTGGGTACAAGCAAGCAAGGGGTAGAAGGGGGGAGTGATTGACTTCGTTGACTGTGCAGAGAACTTCTGTCTGCTGCAAGCATACGCGTCCTGGTGTAGTGAGTCGACTCAAAAATCGACTCACTACACAACTTCTGTTTGCTGCAAGCATACGCGTCCTGGTCGCACACCCATGCCGCATAGTCCAACTGGGGTTGCAGGGATGGGTGAAGAAGGTGGGGGGAAGGAAGGAAGGAGGAGGAAGCACACATGTCCTGACCGCTGCAGGCATACACGTCCTGGTCACACACCCATGCCGCATAGTCCAACTGGGGTTGCAGACATAGAGAGGGTGGCAGGGGGTAAACAAGAAGTGGAAGGGAGGTTGAACCCATAGAGCAGTGGGGGTGACAGAGGCAACCTTTATAGTGCAACTAAGGAACACATCACGCAAGCCTTCACAGATAGCACAGACTTATCATGCCACTATCCCACTCGCAGAAGCACCCACCTCCTTCACGTCTTGTCCCAGGATCTACCAGTTGAGAACGGCCTCCTCTCCAGCTTCCCCTTCCCTCTCAGGTGAGTAAAGCACCACGAGCTAGGTAGCACTACCACTCACCCTCACCTTACACTATCCGACTGACACACCATTCACACACACTCACATACCATCCACGCACCTCCTTCACATCTGGTCCCAGGATCTTCCAGTCGAACCCAGCAGCATCCTCCAGCTTCACCTTTCCCCTCAGGTGAGCAACGCACCAGGAGCAGCACAACAAAGGAGCACTACCTAGAAGGCACTGGTCACCCACAAGGCACTGGTCACCCACAAGGCACTGGTCACCCACAAGGCACTGGTCACCCACACCACCCAATAGCGCACCACCCAATAGCGCACCACCCATTCACATACCATCCACCCACCTCCTTCACATCTGGGCCCAGGATCTTCCAGTCGAACCCAGCATCCTCCAGCTTCACCTTCCCCCTCAGGTCCTTGGCCAGTATCTCTGCAATGCGAGCACTTCCTGTGAACTGCGTCACACACGGCTGGGCCTGACATGGATGGGTGGGCGAAGAAGAGAAACAGGGGGATGGGGAGGGGTGACAGGACGGTAGAGATGGGTACAGTGAGGCGGAGAGAGCGCCTGAGAGCCCCCCCCCAGCTTCACCTTTCTCCTCAGGTCCTTGGCGAGGGTCTCAGCAATGCGAGCACTGCCTGTGAACTGCGTCACACACGGCTGGGCCTGTAAAGGGGGGGAGGATGAGGGATACAAAGCGGTGGAGAGAGGTACCTGAGGATCCCCTTCCAGCTTCACGTTGCCCCTCAGGTCCTTGGCCAGAATCTCTGCAATGCGAGCACTGCCTGTGAACTGCGTCACACACGGCTGGGCCTGTGTGGAGGGGGGGGGTGTGAAGGGGAGGAGAGGGGTGTCAGGGCGGTGGAGAGCGGTACAGGGAGGGAGAGGGGCAGCAGAGAGAGGCAGTGAGGCAGGGAGAGCAGCTGCGGATCCAACATCCTCCAGCTTCACATTTCCTCTCAGGTCCTTAGCCAGAATCTCAGCAATACGAGCACTGCCTGTGAACTGCGTCACACAAGGCTGGGCCTGTTGGGAAGGGGGGGAGGAGGTGGGAGAGGTTGGAGAGGGGGGGGGGTGGTGGGAGAGGGGTTGGGGTGGACGTGGGAGACGGGGGTTGAGGAAAGAAGCTAAGAGCCCCAGGTGCATTGACGTGGCTCTACCATCAATGCACTGCCTGTGAGCTGGCTTTCACATGGATGGGCCTGTCTATGTGTTGATTTTTAGAATTATCATGCACACATCCACATGCATGTCCAGACGCACATCCACTTGCACATCCTCGTGCATACCTGCAGCAGCAGCTGGTGCATGACAGGCCCGTCACAGTTGATGTAGTCCACGTCAGTATGGGGCATGCCGCATGCGTGCAGCAGGCGCAGTGCCTGCTCCATCACCACTGCCACCTGGGGCGGGTAGGTGGAAAAGAGGGGGATGGTGAGGGGAAAAGTTGGCAAGGGGGGAGGAGGGGAAGAGAGGCGTTTCGTGGTGCATGTCATATGAGCATGGAGCATGGAGCATGGAGCATGCCGCATGCGTGCAGCAGTCGCAGTGCCTGCTCCATTACCACTGCCACCTGGTGGGGAAAGAGAGGGGGAGGGTGGGGTTGGTGGAGGGTCAAAGAGAGGTGGCTTGTGAGCATGGGGCATGCTGCATGCGTGCAGCAGTTGCAGTGCCTGCTCCATCACCACTGCCACCTGGGGGTGGGGGGAGGGGGGAGAAAGTATCGGAAGGGGAAACGAAGGGGAGGAAAGGAGGAGGAGGGGCAGTGGGGGAAGAAAAGATAAGAGAGGAGCCTTTTGGTGCCTTGACATGTGAGGATGGGGCGTGGCACATGCATGAAGCAGGAACAAACAAACAAGCTCCAACAGCGTTGCCTATATTTAGGGTGGTGGCAGAAAGGCACGAAGGTGGGAGGAAGGAAGCAAGGCCTCATGAATGGCATCACACCACATTGTACCGCGTCTTACCACAATACACCACCACTAACCCATAGCATACCACAATGAGCAGCGGCTTGTTCTCCATGTAACGCGCCCCCATGAGCTGAAGCACGGGTGCATACAACAGTACAGACCATGCCATACTGCCTTCAACCGCACTGCACCGCATCGCACCTTGGAGTCCACTTTGAGCAGCGGCTTGTTCCCCATGTAAAGCGCCCCCATGAGCTGCAGCATGGGGATCTCGAGAGGGAAGTTGAACGGCGAGATGATGGTCACCTGCAGCAGGCACCCACGGGAATGACGGGAATGAATGTAGACGTTTCTAGATAAGATTTAGAACTGGGGTGAATGTGAGTCGACTCAAAAGGTCACCACAGTGGCCCCAGGAGCTGGAGCATAGGGATCTCCAGAGAGAAGTTGAAAGGCGAGATGATGGTCAGTGGTCACCTGCAGCAGGCACCCACGGAAATATATGGGATGGGATTTTGGAAAAGCATTATTGTATCCATATTTTGTAAAACTATATCTCTGAAACCAATTCTGATTGCATGCCGTTTTTTTTACCAAGGTTTAGACAATATATTTCTTAGCAAGATATCTGTAGGTAAGCTCTTATCAGGCACTCACCGGGCCGTAGGGCCACCTGTGTCCGGAGCTGGTTTGCCCCGTGTGGTCGCCAGGTATGGCAAATGACCGAGCCAGAAACCGAACCTGGCGAGGACAGGGGCAGGGGTTGGGAAACAAGAAAGAGGAATGAGGAAGCGCGCGACAAGGAGTAAAGAAAAAAGAAGAATATGGCTCTGGTCTGGACTGGTGAAGAATGAATGCTTGTCGACTGAAAGGCAGTTGCTTATAGCCTCCAGTTGAATCCCGCCTCCAAACAAGGCCCACGCTATGTGATCCCTCATACCTGATCAACCCCCTGCCGCCCACCTGACTTCCTGATGCCGCCCACCTGACCTCCCTGCCGCCCACCTGATCGCCTGAGAAGTTCTCCAGAAACTTCTGAGTCACTGAGACCTCCGCCCGCGCCTGAAAGAGGCTCTTGGGGGAGACCCTCTGGATGAGACGAGCGAAGAAGTCAGAGACCTGGAGGGAGGAGGGGAAGGGAAGAGAGCAAGGGAGGAGATGAGGCTCTTGGGTTGGAAGGGGTTTCTCTCCATCAGGGAAGGAGTTGCCTGGAAGAGGCTCTTGGGAGAGACCCTCTGGATGAGACGAGCAAAGAAGTCAGAGACCTGGGGAGGGGAGGATGCAACAAGAAGGTGAGGAATCCGGGGGATTTGCAAGGGGTGTCTCTCCATCGGAGAAGGAGTCGCCTGGAAGGGGCTCTTGGGGGAGACCCTCTGGTCTGGATGAGACGAGCAAAGAAGTCAGAGACCTGAAAAAGAAGGGGAAGGGGATGAGAAATGGGAGACGAGGAATTTGAGAATTTAGAGGGGGTTGTTTTCTGATCAAAGCGACTCCGGGTGAGACGAGCGACAACTCCACATCTCAACTTCAGAAATTGAGGTCTTTTTTTTTTTAGGCGCCTTAAAACAAGCAACTCCGTATGAGATTAGAGACAACTCCACATTTCAACTACGGATTGTCCGCATCTCACCTCGGGATTCTTGAGGGCGTTGGCAGCAGCAGCAGAGACAGAGCCATACAACAGGTACCTGGGAGGACAGCGAGTTTATGGTGGGGTGATTGTATGGGGGAGAACAAGGATTGATGAGAAGAGGAGGCAAGAACGAGAAGAAATCACAGGACGACAGAATGGCACAAAGAATCTGCTTGGAGTAGCTTCTGATTGAGTGAGCTCACCTGCTTTCATTTTCTTTGACGCGCCTAAAGAATGGGAGCGTAATCTTGGGATTAAGTTCATTCTTACCTGCTTGGGTTCTTGAATGGGTTGTGCAAACCGGACTTGGGGCAGCTAGAAAGGCTCTCCACGAATGGCTGTGGGGTAATACGGGGATGAAAAACAGGGATCGGGCAGGAAAAGGAAAACGAATCGTGAGGTTGACCAGATTCGAAGCAGTGGGTGCGAGAGGGTGTTGGCAAATGGGTGAGTGGTAGAACCACAGAATGATTGTTTAACATTTTGTTCGTTTACCATCTCATAAATTACACATTATATCTCAAGATCTTAACTCTGGGACTGAAATCATGTCCTCTCCTTCATCAGACTCAGACAAATTCTTCTTATAGACTCACCCACTCATATCCCCCTCTCCCCTGAATCTCATGCGCTTGTGCATCAGGCACTGAAACCATCTCCTTCCCATCACATCACACCCTCAACAGACACACACACCCACACTGTCAGACTCAAACTCACCCATGCATAGGCTCACACACTGCACAGCACATTATCACTCACATCCCTATCACCTGAATCTCATGCACCTGTGCATCAGGCACTGAAATCTTACCCTTCCCATCACACTCACACTCATTCACTCACTCACTCTCTCCATTACACTCGTACAAATCTCACCCTCACTCACATCCCCCTCACCTGAATCTCATGCGCCTGTGCATTCGGCACTGAAATAATGTCCTTCTCATCACACTCACACTCACTCACTCACTCGCTCACTCACTCACTCACTCACTCACTCCATTGCACACCCACACCCACATTCACATCCCTCTCACCTGAATCTCATGCGCTTGTGCATCAGGCACTGAAACCATCTCCTTCCCATCACATCACACCCTCAACAGACACACACACCCACACTGTCAGACTCAAACTCACCCATGCATAGGCTCACACACTGCACAGCACATTATCACTCACATCCCTATCACCTGAATCTCATGCACCTGTGCATCAGGCACTGAAATCTTACCCTTCCCATCACACTCACACTCATTCACTCACTCACTCTCTCCATTACACTCGTACAAATCTCACCCTCACTCACATCCCCCTCACCTGAATCTCATGCGCCTGTGCATTCGGCACTGAAATAATGTCCTTCTCATCACACTCACACTCACTCACTCACTCGCTCACTCACTCACTCACTCACTCACTCCATTGCACACCCACACCCACATTCACATCCCTCTCACCTGAATCTCATGTGCCTGTGCATCAGGCACTGAAAGCATGTCCTTCCCATCACATCACACCCTCAACAGACACACACACCCACACTGTCAGACTCAAACTCACCCATGCATAGGCTCACACACTGCACAGCACATTATCACTCACATCCCTATCACCTGAATCTCATGCACCTGTGCATCAGGCACTGAAATCTTACCCTTCCCATCACACTCACACTCATTCACTCACTCACTCTCTCCATTACACTCGTACAAATCTCACCCTCACTCACATCCCCCTCACCTGAATCTCATGCGCCTGTGCATTCGGCACTGAAATAATGTCCTTCTCATCACACTCACACTCACTCACTCACTCGCTCACTCACTCACTCACTCACTCACTCCATTGCACACCCACACCCACATTCACATCCCTCTCACCTGAATCTCATGTGCCTGTGCATCAGGCACTGAAAGCATGTCCTTCCCATTCAACGGGTCAACCACCACTGCACTCCTCTCGCTGCCCCTCCACTCCCCACCCACTGAAAAGAGCGGAGAAGGGGGAGAGGGGAGGGAAATGGGGAAGGGGGAAGGAGGAGGGGAAGGGGGAGTGATTGAATGCGCGGCATATGACAACATGTCATTTCCATGCAACAATCAAACCACCAATCATTCTTTTTTTTTGTTTTTTTTTTTTTTTCCTTTACATGTCTAGACAGGTTTGAAGGCAGGTTACTGTACCGAGGTTGAAAATCTTGGAGTCGGAGGCTTGTAGCGAAGTGGGGTCGACTGTAGCGAAGTCCAGCCCGGCCAGGGAGGAGAGAAGCCTGCTAGGCGGAGGAGGTGGGGCGGATCGGGAAACGGCGGAAGCGGAATGGGGGGAGAGGAGAAACAGAACAGGGGGGGAAACACACTGGAAGGGGGAATAGGGGGAAACTAGCGAGGAAGATGCGGGATGGTAGTCGATGAAAGCCAGCCAAAAAAGGAACTCGGCTCTTGAGACGTTTCATCTCCAGCATTACACGACGTCTATAGCTTCCAGGGGACCTTGGCTCCTGGGATCGCAAAGAAGAGTGAATGCCTAGCTCGATTTATTTCTTTATTCGCATTTGGATCCTAGCTACTGTGAGAAAAAAAAAAACCGTCGTCCTTCTCTACCCTTTTCTGAGATACGCTAAAGTGTACCTCGAAGAGGTGAAAGCCCACGTCACCCCGTGCCGCGCGCGACCCGCAAGGGCCATCGCTTGGCGGCGAGACGCCGTCGCCGTCGCGAGCATCGTGGGACGCTCTGTCTACCGAACGATGAGGCCGAGACGGCTGACAGACCAGCTGACCAGCTGGTTTGAAGGCCGACGGGACAATGCAAGAATCTAGGAATTTAGAAATTCAAGCCACATTCAAACCTAGACAGAATGTCTTGGCGCGAATTTTAGCCTCCAACAAATCTAGAATGGACTAACTTGGAATGTGCGGAATATTGAAAACGCAATATATCAGGGGGTACACTTTCGAGAAATTCTGCACCAGAGTGGGCTTGAAACGCGTATTTTTGCTTGCTGATTTTCTTCTGCGACAGCATTCGTTTCACCAGGTGGGCCTCTCTACACTTCCAGGTTGACAGCCTATTTCTGCGACGCCTCTGAACCACCTGGCGCCCCCCTGCGAACGTAACTTCCAGCCTTGGCGACTGTTAGCGAAGCACTGCTGGTGGAAGGTCCTCGCGCCTCGCCACAACTACCCATACGTTATTTTGGCCAATCAAGGACCAACCTGGATATAAGTGATTTCCATTTCAGAATACCCTGGTAAAAAGTGACCTTCCTACTAAATCCTTCATATCAAGCAAGTAGATCTCGAAAGTCGGAATTATTTCCTCCTTTTACCTTGCGTGAATGGCAAATCTAGTGCGCTGCTGTCAATTTTCACTCCTCTACTTGGTCCCTCACTGTAGTCCCATAATGAACAGTAAAAGGAGGGAGGGGGTGTCTAGTGCGTTATTCCGCTTGTCCTCCAGTGTGGGTATCATCAGAAGGTTTCCACAGGGTTTGCAGCGTTTCTCGATCATTACCGCATATTACCGTAACAGACCAAACATTACCGTGGTTCGTGATTCGGAAACAAGAGTTGCAGCGTGTGTGCTGCACACCCACCTACCTCTTCCTAAATGCTTGCTATGGGTGGAGAGAGCAATAATGTCCGTTCTCTCTCATCCTTCCAGCCAAGCATTTTGTTGGAGTCGCGTCGCACACAAAATCCAGCTCGATTGATTAGTTGAACGGCTGGGAAAAGAAGGCAGGGACGGCAGGAGTCTCGAGACGAAGACCGAGGTTCTATCACAACTTCTTATCGTAAGACAACCAGAACCAGAAGCAGAGGCAGCAGTAGATGCGGGAGCAGGAGACGCACAAGGACAAGCCTGTACTCCAGCCGCGAGCCGGCGCCATGACAGCGTCTCACCGCCACCACAGCTCGCGGATCTTCCGGCCCTCGCGATCGAGTAAAACCGTTTTAGGAAGGAATCCCGCCTCTTGTTCGCATGCGATTCGCCTGTTCCTTCTCCCCCTCGTCACCCTCCTCCTCGTCACCTGCGCGCACTGCCTCTCCTTCACGACGTCGTGCGACGAAGCCTTCGCCGCTCGCAAAAACGCCTCGACCAATCGCCATGGCGGAAGGAGGCGGTTACAGGAGGACGACGCGGACTATCCTCCCGCTGACGACAGCTCGGAACAGTTAAGGGATGCGGAGGAGGATGAAGAAGCGTCAGGAGGGTTAGGATTAGGTCGTAGACGATCCAGCTCGTTGCTTGACCTCGTGCGAAACGCAGATCTCGGCGACAGCCTCGGCGACGGTCACGGCGACGGTTTCGGCGACGGGTCATTGGGCGGGCGATACCATCAGCGACAGGAGCGAGTGTCGCCGGACGACGCTAGTGACGGCGTTGCGAATGAGGCTGGCGACGAGTGGAGTCCGGATGACGGCGTGGCGTCGGGTGACGGCGATGCGGCGAAGGTTTCAAAACCGGTTGCGAAACATCACCGACAGAAGTTACCATTTTCGATACACTCGAGCAACCTCAAGTTTTACAGGCTGACGCAGTTACACCCCCCCGGGACTAAATACCCGCCGGGCAAGCCAAAAAATGGCAAGAAGGAAAAGGTTCCTTCCTGGCACATCTGCAAGGGAGCGGGTAAATGCCCCGATTTAAGACCTTGCGGCGGCTACCAACCAGAAATCGACGCCTGTTGGCACGAGGAGTATATGGGCGAAACGAAATCTCTGATTGGTCAACAGGAAGACCTAGTGTACCAACTCTTCCGCAAGAAGAAAGATCCGGGTGCGACCACTTATCCCCCAACAGTGTTACGGGCAAGACGGTACAAAGTCGCAAACAACCCTCTAGAAGCCTGTGTAGCGAACGCGAGTGGGAAGTTACCTGGGGAATTGCTGCGTTCCGGATGCTGGGCGCTGGAGGGGGAGGGCGCGGAGGGGGTAATGCGGAGGGCAAGAGGGGGAGGCGCGGAGGAGGAGCGCGCGGAGTGGGCCGGGCAGGTTTTCGTTTTGCGGGACGTGTTTGTGAATCATTTCGGGCAGGTGTTTAACAAGACGCACCTGTTCGACACAGGCGGCTGCAACTGGAAAGCCAAGGTATGCTTGTAACGGGGATGGGATGAGGCGAATGTGTTCCCACATAAAACAGTCGTGAATCTGATGGTAGCAACGAGCGATCAGCGCTCGTACCACCAGGTCATTCAGAGGCTGACCCCACTTGCCGTTCCTTGCTTCCTCTCTTGCACCTCCTCCCTCCCTCCCTCTTGCCAGTTCGCCTACCCCAAAGACGCCCCAGTCGTCTCACACCAAACAGTGGTGAATCTGATGGTGGCGCGCAGTGATCAACGCTCGTACCACCAGGTCATCGAGAGGCTCCCGCTGCTGCACGTCCTGCGCAAGATGACAAAGAACGCCGCCCTCAAGGACGCACACGTGGCTCTGCCGTCCTCCAGGGTGAGTGGGTGGGTGGGGATCACTAGGGGGCGGCAGCAGCAGACTCCTGAGTCGAATTCTCTCGAATTCTCTGCGTCGAATGCTCTGTGGCATTTTAACCTCAACCTGCCTTGGACCCCCTTCCCTCCCCGCACTCCCATCACCCTCCCTTCTCCCCCTTCCCTCCTCACCCCCTCTCTACTCCCGCTCACAACCTCCCCTTCAACAGGGGCTGCATCGAATGCTCACGAGCATTCTCGATTTCGACCTGCCATGCACGCCCTTCCCCTTCCACACACTCCTCCTTAATGCTGCAGGGTGTTTTTGAGAATTCTCGACCTTCCACACTCCTCCTCCTTCCACCCTGCAGCATCATCGATTTCGACCTCCCATGCACGCCCTTCCCCTTCCACACACTCCTCCTTAACCCCCCTTGCGTCCCCTTTGTATTCCCTCCTTTAATTCCCCTCTTCCCCTTTCTATCCCGTCCTCTTATCTCCCTCCTCACCCCAGGGGCTGCGTCGAATGATAACGAGCATTCTCGATTTCGACCTCCCATGGGCGCCCTTCCCCTTCCACACGCCCAACACGCTTCTCTTTGCCGAGTCCCTCATCCAACCCCTCTCCGAGCACTGTGACGAGCCTCAACACTCGGTTTGGCGAGACATCCGAACCTCGCTCTTCGACCCTAACCACCCGTACCACCCCCGAGCCTCCTCCATTGCCCCACGAGCCTCCCTCTCCCTCCCCTCCGTTATCCAATCTCACCACCTCTTCCTCCAAGCCTCCTCCCAAGCAATCCAAGACGCGAAAGCTGCCCAGAACCCGGGCAGCAAGGAAAAACTTTCCGTGAGCTACCCGACGCCGTTTTTGGCCGGCGTGCTGCCCATGCTTGACGTGGATTTGGAGGAGGCTGAGGTGGCATGGGCGGCGCTACCTTCTGATTGGATGGTGGTGGTGGGATTGCAAGGGATGCACAATCGGGCCGATGCGGAGGCGATCAGGAATGTTGTGCTTCAGCATTTCCCGGCCCACCGCGTTGCTAGCTACTGCCCAAGCATGTCTGTGGAAGAATGTGAGTATGGGGAGAGTGAGTGAGGGAGTGACTGTAGAGGGATGTGAGTATGGGGAGTGGGATTGAGTGAGTGAGACTGTTGAGAGATGTGAGAGTGGAGTGAGTGAGTGAGCTAGTGCCAAAGCATTTTAGTCAAGGCTAGCAGGTGTTTTTTCATTGCAGTGCGATACCTCTTTTTGCATTACAGCACTCGTCCTCACAGTCACCAACCGACAGCACCCTAACCCCAATTACTTACCTTCTCTCCCATCTTCCTTCCCCTGCCCGCCCCGCTCCCTCCCCTTAATACTGCAGTGCGAAACCTGTTCTCGCGTACGGCACTATTCATTACAGTCACCGACAGCACTCTCATGCACACCATTTTCATGCGGCCGGCAACTTTTGTCCTGGAGCTGCGCCATCCCTCCGCCCTCCGCTTCCCCTCCTACTCCCTCTCCTCGGTTTTGAGACTCCAGCATTACACCTCCGTTTGCAGCACTAGCCCCTCTTTTGGAGGGGAAGAACCGGATGTAGACCCTGCAATGGCAGCCGTGTCAGGGGGAGGGGCCGAAGGCGAAAACTCCCCTTTATTTTGCGACCTAGACCATGTGAAAGAGGTGGTGGATCGGGCAGCGCAATTCGTTTACTTAAGCGAGGCTGCTTATACAGAGTCAATCAAGAGGCTCGGTAAAGGGAAGTCGCGAGGAGGGGAATTACGGGCGGCAGCCAAATCTAATCTTGCGGTGCCTATGCTACCCGCGGCTACATCCGAGGGGGTAGACTGGGGGTTGTCCGTTCCAGATCTCACAAGGGTCATTCCAGGATCAGTTCTCCGAACGTCCGGGCAGGTTGAAAGTTTTCGGTTGTGGGCAGCGTGCGTCGGGCAGGCGGGGCGGTGGAAATTTGACGGGCGGCCGAGATTCTTACCCTGGCCTTATAAGGGTGCAGGCACGTGTGACGTTAGAGCAATGGAGACAACGAAGGGGGTGATAGCTGTGAATGAAGCAGATGATGTTGTGAGGAGGGGGGGTGCGCCTAGTGAATGGAGGATTCGGGGGGAATTGAAGTACGTTTGGGATGTTCCTAAAGGCAAGTGTGATTATAAGGAGGACGCGGCGAGTGTGGGGATGGGAGAGGAGCGGTATGAGGAGGAAGGAAGAGGAGGAGGTACGGGAGAGGAGGGAGAGGAGGGGGAGGAGGAAAGTGATTTGCTCGAGGAGGATAACGGGGATGAAGGCGAGGGGGAAGGGGAAGGTGAAGGGTTCGATTCTCAGCGCCGGCGTCTTTTTGGTTCTGGTGGCAGGGGAAATAGATTCAGCCACAGCAGCAGCAGAAGCAGAAGCAGAGGCAGCAGGGAGCTCGCAGATTTCAGTTCAGGAACAGCAGGCAGGAGTAACAACAACAAGCAGCAGCCGTGGAAACCTTTCGACCCGCGCCGATTCTGCGACCGAGTGGGCCGGGATCGAACCCTGGTCTTTGTGGGAGACTCGCTCCAACACCAACTCTTCCAAGTCTTGATCGATTCCATGCTCCTGGGGGTCCCCAAACCCGTCACCTCCGAATTCAACGAGACAAGGGAAGAGTCACTGGAATGCAGCGGGTGGGTAATCGGGCCCGCCGCGAAAATTTTCTGCAGGGACGTGACTTTCGGTGATTCCGTCTGCCCGGGGTTGCGGATGGTTTTTCTCCGGAACGACCATTTGCAGCTGGGGAACCCTCGGGAGTATCTGCATTTTGCTTGGACCAGGGCGCCTGTGCTTCCCGCCGCCGACGCGATTATACTGAACCGTGGGCCGCACTATAGAGAGGATAACGACTTCGAGCCGCACCTGCGCACTACACTCTTATACCTCCGGAACCGGTTGCCGGATAAACTTTTAATATACCGGAACAGTGCGGGCGGGCACGCAGACTGCCCGAAATACCACAAGCCAATCGAAACCCCGCAAGACCCGTCAAAACTGCCGTTCAACTGGGACAAATTCCCGCACCAGAACAGGCTATCCAAGCCAATGGCGGAGCAGCTAGGGATGGCGATGATGGATGTGGAGAGGATGACAGCGCTGCGACCCGATGGGCACACGGGGCTGCTCACCAAGCTTGACTGCCTGCACTACTGCATGCCGGGGCCTTTGGATGTGTGGGTGCAGGTGCTCAGTAACATGCTCGAGAAGCTGCTGGCGCCCAGGAGGTTAAGGGACTGATTGGGGAACAGAGGTGGGCACACGGAGCAGCTGGCAAAGCTGGACTGCCTGCACTACTGCATGCCCGCGCCGCTCGACTCGTGGGTTCAAGTCCTTAGCAACATGCTCGAGAAGCTGCTGGCTCCGAGGAGGTTAAGGGACTGAGGGGGGACAGAGAAGGTTAGTGAGGAAAGAGACAGAGGGGAATAAGAGGGAGATACGGTACTTGGACTGCATGCCCGGGCCCATGGACTCGTGGGTGCAGGTGCTGAGTAACATGCTCGAGAAACTGCTGGCACCCAGGAGAATGAGGGACTGAGGGAGGGGGGAAGTATTGGCTTCCACGCAATAGACTATTTAGTAATATATTACCTTAGTTGGCCCGGCTCGGCTGCTAGATTGGCTGCGCTAGTGCATGGGGTGTTGGCTCTGGTGCAGATACTGAGGAACTTGCCCTGAGAAACTGCAGGCTTGGTTGGGCTGACAAATGTTGCCCAGATAGCTTTTGAAAAGAATGCAAGCGCTGCTTTCTTGTGTGTTGTCAGTAGATTTATATTCACCTACCGGACTTCCAGGTGCATTATCATTTGAGTAGCTTACCGGTATGTAATTTATTTGACACCTAAAGTACTGGTAGTACCTTGCTTTGAGAAAATGGAATTCCTTGGACACAAAAGGCATCATTTACAGGACAAAAAGAAGGGAGAGGGTGGCTACTTCTGTAAGAGACAACAAGAGGGTGGATAGCAAGGATGGGCCACCATGGGGAGATGCAGCACTAGGGGAGGAAATGATGCATCTTTGCGTCATCAAAAGTCACAAAAAGAGTGGATGGCAGAGATGGGGAACTTGGTCAATACCCATCCAACGGATCAGAACAGGGGTAACCACCCGTCAATTAAACAGATGGTCAGTACACAGGCATCACCCGTCCCGACCTGCCCCTCCCACGTCCTCTCCCCCCCCCCCCCTGCCCCTGCCCCTCACCTTCCCCATTTCGCTTGTCCTTAGTTAGGAAGAATAGCTAAATCAGCACAACAGCCATTCAATCAACATAAAAAGGGGGGGTAATTACCAGTCACCTTTGTGACTAACGGTCAATCCAACAGGTGGCTAATAGACAGGCATCACCCGTCCCGACCTGCCCCTCCCACGTCCTCTCCCCCTCCCCCTGCCCCTGCCCCTCCCCCTCCCTCTCCCCCTCACCTCCACCACATCCTCCTCCCCTCCCCCCATCTCCCCTACTCCCCTCCCCCCGCCCCCTTCCTCATCCTCCCCATCCAACGGCTGAGATAGCGCGCCGGAAATCCTCGTCATCAGATCGCCCAATCGACGGCTGGATCCTCCTCCCCTCGCCTCCTCCGCTTCCTCCTCTTCCTCCCCCCCTCCCACCATATCCTCCTCTTCCTCCTCCTCCTCCCCTTCCCCTCCTACCGCATCCCTCGGGATCCTCTGCGCCGCCCGGGCCGCCCCGAGTTTGTCTGCACCTGGGGAAGGTTCACCTGGTGCAGACTGGCCTACAGAGTACATACGGAGAATCTCTTCTGCTGGTGAAGAGGTGTGGGGTTGAGACCTCTTACCCATACCACCGCCACCAACACCACCACCAGCGGCGGCACGAGAACCAGGGCCGTAAAGACTGCTGCTACCCATCCCAACCCCACCAGACCCCATCCCACCACTTCCCATCACACCTCCCATCACACCCCCCATACCACTCCCCATACCACCCCCATACAACTGATCCTGCTGCTGTCTCTTCCATCCTCCTCCACCCCCCCACCCCCCCCGTCCTATCCCACCACCCCCACCTCCTCTCCCCTCCTCATACCCCTCCCCAAACCCCTCCTCATCCTCGTCAAAATCCTCGTCCTCATCTTCAAAATCATATCTGCCTCTCTTGAACCCAGCACCACCACTCCCAACCGCTCCACCCTTCCTCCCTCCCCCGGCGCCTGCAAACCCACCCCCTCCTGGGTTAAAACTCGGCATGCCCCGCCGGTTTGGGGCTAGATGCCCTGTAGCAGACATAGGGGACGGGTACAAACCCCACCGATCCAAACCGTATCCCCCACCGCTACCCATAACACTCGCACCCATAACATTCGAGCCCATCACATTCGCTCCCATAACATTGCCCCCCATGACCCCACCCCCCATATACCCCCCCATGCCCATCACCCCACCCCCACCACCCATCATCCCCCCTCCCATATACCCATACCCCCCCCCACTCTCCATTCCTCCACTCCCATACCTCCCGCCACCAACCGCACCGCCCCCACGCCCTTTCCTCCCAGCAGCAGCACTCTGAGACACCTTCTGAGAGCTAATCGCACCCCCACCCAACGCAGCAACGGTCCCTGCCTGTGGCCCCTCCTCTCCCTCCCTCGACCCCACCGGCCCGGCCCCACCCCCTCCTACAAGCCCCCGCGCTCCCACCGGTGACGGAGCTCTCGCTCTCTTAGACTTATGCCCCAGCTTCTCGATATTATCGAGAAAATACTTTGCCCGTTCCTTCCAATTGCAGGACTCGTCTCGAGATCGCCTCGACTGTAACAACCGGTCCAAAGCATCGTCATCTAGCGAGCGAAAGAACCTCTCGTTGGTTAGAGCTTCTGGGCCGTCGCGGTCGATCAGAGCGCGATCGTACGCTGCTGCGGCGTCCTCCTCCGTGGTGTATAATCCGATCTTCCTCACCTTTCCGTGGTCTAGTTTGATCAGCGCCGCCCACCGCTGCTTGTCCGGCATCCAGCTCACGCCCTTGAATAAGGACGAGCCACGCCGACCCTGGAAAACACTGCTGACGTTGGTGCGGCGCACGTGGGTTAGGAATTCCTCGACTGTCATTGAGTCGAGACGGGCCTTGTCCTCCTCCCCGAGAGGGTAGTTGGTGGGGGCTGTCGGCCCCTTGAGTCGATATGCCACCCTGTGGAGTGGAAAGGGAAGAAGAGCAAGCAGGAAAAGTTGCCAGACGTGTCAAATTCCCTCGACTGTCATTGAGTCGAGACGGGCTTTGTCCTCCTCTCCAAGAGGGTAGTTGGTGGGGGCTGTTGGTCCCTTGAGGCGGTATGCCACCCTGTGGAACGGGAATGGGAAGCAATCAGGAATAGGAAGAAAATGAGAGGCCTGTGAGGATTCCTCGACTGTCATTAAGTCGAGACAAGCTTCCTCCTCAAGAGGGTAGTTGGTGGGGGTTGTCGGTCCCTTCAGGCGATACGCAACCCTGTAGAAAGGGACAGGAAGCAACCAGGAATAGGAAGATACTTCACGTGGGTTAGAAATTCCTCGACTGTCATTGAGTCGAGACGAGCTTTGTCCTCCTCTCCAAGAGGGTAGTTGGTGGGGGCTGTCGGTCCCTTGAGTCGACAAGCCACCCTGCGGAATGAGAAAAGAAGCAACCGGAAATAGGAAAAGAATGTCAGGTGTGTGAAGATCCCTCGTCTGTCATTGAGTCAAGACGAGCTTTGTCCTCCTCTCCAAGAGGGTAGTTGGTGGGGGCTGTCGGTCCCTTGAGACGGTATGCCACCCTGCGTAATGGAAAGGGAAGACAGAACAAGGCAAGACGAATCAAAACCGGTAACACACACAGCATTCGACCCTACTTCTCATAAAATCACGCTGCTTCGTTCACAACCACCCTGCAACATCAGGGGTTGGAGCATAAAAGGAGCATACGACCCTGCTTGTCATGAAACCACGCTGCTTAGTTCACAGTACACCGCTGCCCACAATTTTACCGCCTGGTGCCTGTTGAGTCTACTGAAAATAACCGCTTTGCATTCAAAACCACCCTGGAACATCAGAAAACGGAGCACACAAGGAGCACACGAGGAGCACACGAGGAGAGTAGAACCTACTTGTCATGAAGCCGTGCTGCTTCTTCTTCCGTATATCGCTGTCCGTAGTTATACCGCCGCTGCCCCGACATCAGAAACGCCTCCCACGCAAGTGTTTTTTGAGAATTCTCAAAAAACACTCGAGAATTCTCAAAAAGAATTCTCAAAAAACACTCGAGAATTCTCAAAAAATACTTATACAGGACCACAAGAGGAGCATTCGACTTACTTGTCATGCAGACGTGCTGCTTCTTCCTCCGTATACCGCTGCCCATAGTTATACCGCCGCTGCCCTGACATCAGAAACGCCTCCCACGCCCTCGTCCTCCCCTTAAACTCCACACCCATATACTTCTCAGATAACCTATTCTTCTCCTCCTCAGGATGCTCATGTATCCTCGGCCGCCCCCGCGGCCGCTTCCCTGAGTAAGTCTGTAACCCAGAGGAATCTGGGGCACCAAAGGAGGAAGTAGGGGCGGCTAGAGTGGAAACGGTGCTGATTTGGAGCGCGGAGGGGGCGGAACCTGGAGTGAGGGGGAGGCGGGAGGGGCCTTGAGCAGGGGTTATTGCACCCGCATCGCCCTCCTGCCCTGGTCCCTTGGCTGGAGTCTTAGACCCATCTCCTCCTCCTCCTTCTCCTCCTTCTCCCCCTTCTCCTCCCTCAGTTTTGTCGTCATCCCCTTCTACAGTGTCCATCCAATCTCGCCCATGCGCGTCCCCCCCACCCTCCCCACTGCCTCCATTCCCCCCACCCTCCCCCCCTTCATTCCCCTCCTCATCTGCATTCAGCTCAAGCATCACATCATCCTCCTCATCCTCCTCTCCCTCGCCCTCCCCCTCTCCCGCGCCTCCTGCGCCGCCCCCCGCAGCCCCCGCCCCGCCCCCAGGCCCAGCCTCCGCAGCAGCCAATAGCTGCTCCACAGATGCATGCGCGTTCCCCAGCTCATCCGCCCCTACTTCCCCGCCCTTCCCCCCCGCGCCCTTCTTCCCCGCCCCGCCGTCCCCACCAGCGCCTTCCCCGTCGATGTTCCCTGCTCCCTCCGCCACCTCCCTTGCTGTCGTCTTGCAAAACTCGTCCCAGTCCCCCTCAGCATCTCCCCCTCCCTCCCCACCGCCAGCAGCATCATCCCCATCGTCTAACCCAGCCATTTCCAAGTCTATCGCTAGAGACCCTTCCTCCTCGCCCTCCCCCTTCTCCTTCCCACCAGCTTCCCCCCCACCACCAGCACCACCAGCACCACCAGCAGCACCAGCAGCGCCACCACCAGCAGCAGCACCGGCAGGAACAAGCGTGCTCACCCCCTTCGCCTCTTCCCCAGGAACAACCCCCTCCATCCACCCCACGATCTCCCCTTGCTCCCACTCATTCGCCATCCATTCCTCTATCTGCTCCAACTCCTCTGCTCTTGGCGCCGGCACCCACTCCTCCTTCCCCTCCTCCTTACCCCCTCCGCTACACGCATCCCCAGCTGCTCCCCCTCCTTCTCCCTCTCCTCCTCCCCCTTCCCCTTCTGCTGCTCCTGCCCCTAGCTCTGCAACAACACCAATAACACCATCACCAGCAGAACCAATACCATCACCACCCGATATACCCAGCTTAGCTGCTTCGACAGACCCACCCAACGACGCCACCAGCCTGTTCCTCCGCTCCTCCCGCGCCAGATGGGTAATCGGGGGCCGCCCCCTCCCCCGCCCGCGCCCGCGGCCCCCCCGCGCTCCCCCTCTCCCCCCATCCGCGCCAATCCCTCCGCCCGCGGCACGTATAAACGCCTCCTCCTGCCCCTTTATAGGAATCTCCGTTACTGTCACCTGCGCGTGGTTCAACCCATCCACAAACTTCGCATTAGTCATCACATGCACCCCCCGGACCTCCACAATCGTCCGATCATACGCAGCAGCTGCCTCCTCTTCAGCATCATACAATCCAATCTTGGAGAACCGGTTTGCCACGCGGATTGCGGCGATCCACTTCTGCTCCTGGGGGCCCCACTTGACGCCCTTGTAGATCGACGGACAGGATCGAGAGCGGAAGCTGCGGACAAAGGATTTGCGGAGGTGCAGGTGGAAATCGTCCTTGGTCATCTGCTCGAGTTCCAGCTTCTCTGCGGCGGATAGGCCGAAGTTGAGCACTGCTGATGTGCCCCGGAACTTGTAGGCCATCCTGCCGTAAAAGCATGGAGAACGGGAGGGAAAGCAAGCACACGGAAGGAGAGACGCACGAAAGGAGGCGGACGGGAGAGAGTGAGAGGAGAAAGAGTGAGAGAGGAAGCGTAAAAAGGGGGAAAGGACATGCGAGGTTCAGATGAAAATCAACAGCTCAAAAGTCACTCCCCCCTTGTCGAGACGGCTGAAAACGCACCTGTCGTAGAGGCGTGCGGCCTCGTCCCCTAACTGGGTCCTTCCTCGCAGAAACGGTTTAGGGCCGACATAGAGCACCATCTCCCACACGCCCTTGTCCTTGTTGTGCATCACTCCCCAGCGGAGCTTGCCCGCCCACCCCGCCACTAGCTCGCTGCCTGCACATAAAAAAGAAGGGGCAGGGGAAACGCATGCAGACGCAGGTGGTCATGAGGCTCCTCTGAATAAGTAGCAGGGGAAATAAAATGTGAGTAGACGAAGAAAGATGTTAGCAACTTATTACACCATGGTGACAAGGATCTACATGAACGAATGTTATTATAACGGACAAAGCGCCCAAGTCAACAAGGGTCATAGATTCGTTAAAACAGTCATAGAAACGTTACCTGGAGGCAACTGGGTTGCGGCGACGATGGAAACCGACTTGGCGGATGCTCCGCCTGGGAACCACAGAGAAAGGTGGGTGGGAATAAGCAGGGAGTAATAAACGGGTGTTAGCTTTTGAATCGACTCTAAAGTCAACTCAGATGCTCAGCCTGCGAAGGACAGAGAAATGCAGGTGAAAATAACTGGAAGTAACAAACAGGTTAACCATTAAACTTTTCTTTGGTAAACAGTAACGAGAGGAAAGGGAGGAGAAAGGTTGCGAAGGAAAACGATAAAGGACGGGGTGAAGGGGGGAGGGGGTTGGGGGGTCGGGGGGTGGTGGGAAGGGGGAAGAGGAGTGGGGAAATAGGTAATGCGATGACGTAACCAGGTGGGAGAGAGGTGGGCCGGGGGGAAAGGAGAAGTCAAACAAGAAAAGAAGTCGCAGCAGCTTCGTCGCACCTTCCATTTCAGCCACTCGCGACAGGATCACCGCGTCGCGCAGCCCCTCGAGGTCCATGAGAGTCTCGACTTTAATACACCCGCCGAAGATCATCGCGTTCGTGATCGCACGGTCGCCGTCGCGTCGCAGCAGCGCGCGATCGACGGCCGCAGCAGCCACCTCCTCCGTCTTGCTCCGCTTGATCTTGCGCGTGATCCCGCCCATGTTCACCTGCGCGACCCATCCGCCATAGTCTTCGTACCAGCTCACGCCGATGTAATTCGAGCTCCATCCTTTTCGGAAGCTTAAATTGAAGTTATCCTTTTTTATAATGGCGAGGAACTCGCGGTCGGAGAGCGCGTCGAGGGCCCGTTTCTCGGCAAGCGTGAGACCGAGATTGAGTGTCTCGGCGTTGCCGTGAACCTTGTAGGCGAACCTGCCGTGGATGGAAACGGAATAAACAAGGAAGAAAAAGGAACGAGGAGACGGAAGAGGTGAATGAGAGGGCCGGAACAGCGTTAAGCGACGGCTGGATACCGAGTGCTAGCTACGAAAAATGGTACCATTGTCGTCGCAAAATGCCAGGTTGGTAGTACAAACATTCAGACTAACATTCTCGTAATTTCGTACTAGTAACGACTAACGGCGTACTTGTCATAGAGCGACGCCGCCTCCTCTTGCGTCGGACGAACGCCCAGCACGACGGTCTTGCCGCGCGACGCGTACTTGACGAGCCAGCCGCGCACATGCTTCTGCACCCCCTTGTACTTGAGGCTCTGGTCGTCGCGGTCGAATAGCCTCTCGCGCGTGCCTTGCCGGCTGAAGGAGAAACATATGAATAATTAATAACAATAAGGAATAAAAACTGCGAACAACTGCACCGGCATATGCCAGCAAAGGAGTCGACACGAGCCGATGGAAAGGTGTAGGAATTTATAGCGCGGCAAATTACCTCCCACCGAGCTTTGGCAATGGCTCCTCGGGAAGGCTCCACCCGTATGGTCCCCCTCGCATCATATTTGGGTGAGCTCAGGTGCAGAATAAAGGGTAGAATAGAACAAGGTGGTTTGGAAGTAGGCTAACTAGTGCTCATGGGGTCTATTGGGAAGTTGGGGAATTGCTGAGAGAAGCAAGATGAAGAAAGGGGAGCTGGACGAGAGAAACCCTAGGTGAGAGGGTCTGTTGTGCAGCAGGTAGAGAGTAGAGATCAAGTGCCCCAGTGTAGTAGTTCGACTGGCCGGTGATTTGCCCTTCCTGGGGTTTCATTCTCCGGTCAGCGAAAATTACTTGCGAAGTCCTCAGAACTGGGTGTAGAAGAAGGAGGAAGACCCAACTGGCTAGATAAATATCAGTGTATCACTCGCAGAGGGTCAAGAATGATCAAATTGTTGATTACACATTCTGTTATTGCTTCCTCTGGTTAGCCCCGGAAAAACTTAGCTCTTCCTTTATTTTCCCACCCAGGTGGTTGGTGGGCAGTCCTCGAAACCCTCGAAGTGAGGAAGCGACTGTCAGGGCGAAGTCACACAGAGTTTGTTTACAGTTCATGTACGAATGTTCAGCCTGGTAAATTTCGGTTCAAAACGGTGAAGCGCGAAATCGCTCCAAGTTGCACAACATCGTACTTGACCGCTTCACTTCACAGAGATGAGCTCCTTACCCATGTGCGGAGGGCAACGAAGGAAGGAAATAAAAGCCAGTGTGGGCAATTTGTCACCCCAAGGTGCTCTGTGTCAATTGACCAATCACGAAGTCATCATGTGGCAACTTCCTATCACGGGCACACAAAACTTCTATAGCCCACGAGTTTTCCCCCTTTTTTACTGGCTGCTTTGGAGGGTTTGCTGGGCGGGGCGGGGAATGTGGTCACCTTATCCCCTGGGGTTGGAAATTCCCCAAAGTTGCGCCCAGGGGATAAGGTGGCTCGCTTGGGGCAATTCCACTTTCCACAACACAACCTCAGCTTCGGTTTCAAACGACAACCTCCCTCAGTCAGCGGGAAATGCGGCGCATATCCTCGATCCCAGAAAAGCGACTTCAACCAATCACCGATCAGACGGAACTCGAAGCCAAAGCGAGATACAATCTACATATGACTTCGTAAAGATGGATGGATGAACAACGGAATACAAGTTTGGAAGTTCTGAATTATGACTACATCAAGGCATTCACATGAATGTACATATTCGATTCCTACAAAAATCCATCTACAAGAGTACAAGGCCAACCCACTGACCGTCCACACTCCCCGCCATGCAACCTCAAGGCTGCTTGGTGGGAAATTATCAACAAAGATACACATGCAACACAACCAGCCACCCTCTCAAGCCTCCACACCATCAGCCTTATATGCAGGAAAAACCCAACCGCATCCCATACACTCACATCAACCTTTAGACACAATGCACATGTACCATACCACAACCAATCACAGCAGTCAATCCAGCTCAAGGCTCAACCAACCACAGAGGAGTTCATCATGCCGCCAGCCTGTCCTGCCGCCCCTCCTGCACCACTAGAAGCCGAGCCGCCGGACCTTGAACCCATCCCTGCAACGTTCCCTCCACCGGAAAAGCCTGCACCAGTAAAACCTCCCCCAGCTGGGCCTGAGTAGGAGGGTGCCATCACCCGCTCTCTCTCTGCCCGAGATTGCATACGGCCTGAGGGGAGGGAGTGGTGGAGGGAGTGGGGCAGAAAACGTGGGACACAGAAGCAGGATGTTGAGAATTCTCAAGAGCAGCGTACGAGATGCATGCGGTTGCACACCGACATGCACATGCTCACTTATGTGCCAGTGGAAACAGACTAACCCCGATGTTGCCAGGGTCAGCACTGCCAAGTCTGCACTCACCGTGCTCTCGATGTTACAAGTGAACACACAGTGTGTACGGCTGCTCTTCGATGTTTGTACTTGCCACCTACATCCTATCCTAGTGATCTTAGACTCACCTCCAGCGGCCAGAAGTTTCTCCAGGCGTGCAACGATGTGCTTCCCATAGGTGAACTTCTTGAGCGTGTGCAGATGCACGCGGATGCACTTGTACATGTGCCACTAGAATCAGGCTCACCTCCAGCAGCCAGCAGTTTCTCCACGCGTGCAACGATGTGCTTCCCATAGGTGAACTTCTTGAGTGTGCAGATGCAAGCAAATGGGGCACTACTCGCCCCATCCCTGCCACCACACCCTTTCAGCACTCCTGTGCTCATCTCACCTCCAGCAGCAAGCAGCTTCTCGACCCGAGCCACAATGTGCTTCCCATACGTGAACTTCTTGAGTGTATGCAGATGCACACGGATGCGCCCCAGCACCATCTCCCTCTGCCCCTCGCTGCACGTCTCCAGCACCTTCTGAACGACATAGTTGCCGAACTGGTCCTTCATCATTGCCTGGAGGGGTGGAGAGGGGTGGTGAGGGGTGGAGAGGGAGAACAAGGGAACGACAGGGCATGAGAGGAGGCCCCTCTGCCCCTCGCTGCACGTCTCGAGGACCTTCTGCACCACGTAGTTGCCAAACTGGTCCTTCATCATCGCCTGAGGAGGGAGAAAAGGAGGAGAGGGCAGGGGGGCAAGGGGGTGGGGTGGGTAGGGGCAGAGTGGGCAGGGGCATCTGAGTAGGCGAATCCGCCCCAGCACCATCTCCCTCTGCCCCTCGCTGCACATCTCGAGGACCTTTTGAACCACGTAGTTACTGAACTGGTCCTTTATCATCGCCTGAGGGGGGAGGAAACGGGGTGGAGAGGGGTGGAAAGGGATCAGGGAGCACAAGGGAAGGACAGACAGGGCATGTGAAGACGCCCCTCTGGCCCTCGCTGCACGTCTCCTCTGCACATCTCAATCACGTTTGATGCAAAGTTCACCAGATGCCCCTTGCCTGCCACTTTTCTTTTCACTACTGTGCCTTCAACCCACCTGCAGCGGCTCGTTCTCATCTGTCCTCCCCAGCTTCTCGGATAGGAACAGCTGCTTCTGAGCCGGCCCGCCATACTGCAGGCAAGTTTGTCCCTATGCGCCCCTACTGTACCCTAAACCCACCTAAAGAGGCTCGTTCTCGTCTGTCCGTCCCAGCATCTCAGACAAGAGAAGCTGCTTCTGAGCCGGCCCGCCGTACTGCAGGCAAGATTTTCCCCCACTGTCCCTTTAACCCACCTGCAGTGGCTCGTTCTCATCTGTCCTCCCCAGCATCTAAGACAAGAGAAGCTGCTTCTGGGCCGGCCCGCCATACTGCAGGCACTTCTCAATCACGTTGGATGCGAACTTCCCTACCTGCCCCTTGCATGCCTCTAGTCAATACTGTCCCCCTACTGTGCCTTTAACCCACCTGAAGAGGCTCGTTCTCGTCTGTCCGTCCCAGCATCTCGGATAAGAGCAGCTGCTTCTGTGCCGGCCCGCCATACTGCAGGCACTTCTCAATCACGTTGGACGCAAAGCTCACTACCAGCCCAGCCCCTTGCCTTCTTCTTTTTACTACCTGCCTCCTTTCACTACTGTGCCCTTACTGCGCCCTTAACCCACCTGCAGCGGCTCGTTCTCGTCTGTCCGTCCCAGCATTTCAGACAGCAGCAGCTGCTTCTGAGCCGGCCCCCCGTACTGCAGGCACTTCTCAATCACGTTGGACGCAAACTTGTGCTGGCTCATTGTGACTATCTGCCCCGCCAGCTTCGTTATAATCACGTTCCTCTCGTCCTCGCTCCCATGCTCCAACACGTGCTGGGAAAGCGGAGTGGGAGAGGCCCAAAGGGGGGGGAGGGAGGTAGAGAAAGAGCAGAGGAGAGAGGGAATTTGAAAAAGGGCAGAGGAGAGAGGGAATTTGAAAAAGGGCAGAGGCGAGAGGGAATTTGAAAAAGGGCAGAGGAGGGAGGGAATTTGAAAAAGGGCAGAGGAGAGAGGGAATTTGAGAAAGGGTAGAGGAGAGAGGGAATTTGAGAAAGGGTAGAGGAGAGAGGGAATTTGAGAAAGGGTAGAGGAGAGAGGGAATTTGAGAAAGGGTAGAGGAGAGAGTGAACTTGAAAAAGGGCAGAGGAGAGAGGGAATTTGAAAAAGGGCAGAGGAGAGAGGGAATTTGAAAAAGGGCAGAGGAGAGAGGGAATTTGAAAAAGGGCAGAGGAGGGAGAGAATTTGAAAAAGGGCAGAGGAGAGAGGGAATTTGAGAAAGGGTAGAGGAGAGAGGGAATTTGAGAAAGGGTAGAGGAGAGAGGGAATTTGAGAAAGGGTAGAGGAGAGAGGAAATTTGAGAAAGGGTAGAGGAGAGGGAATTTGAAAAAGGGCAGAGGAGAGAGGGAATTTGAAAAAGGGCAGAGGAGAGAGGGAATTTGAAAAAGGGCAGAGGAGGGAGGGAATTTGAAAAAGGGCAGAGAGAGGGAATTTGAGAAAGGGTAGAGGAGAGAGGGAATTTGAGAAAGGGTAGAGGAGAGAGGGAATTTGAGAAAGGGTAGAGGAGAAAGGGAATTTGAGAAAGGGTAGAGGAGAGAGGGAACTTGAAAAAGGGCAGAGGAGAGAGGGAATTTGAAAAAGGGCAGAGGAGAGAGGGAATTTGAAAAAGGGCAGAGGAGAGAGGGAATTTGAAAAAGGGCAGAGGAGGGAGGGAATTTGAAAAAGGGCAGAGGAGAGAGGGAATTTGAGAAAGGGTAGAGGAGAGAGGGAATTTGAGAAAGGGTAGAGGAGAGAGGGAATTTGAGAAAGGGTAGAGGACAGAGGAAATTTGAGAAAGGGTAGAGGAGAGGGAATTTGAAAAAGGGCAGAGGAGAGAGGGAATTTGAAAAAGGGCAGAGGACAGAGGGAATTTGAGAAAGGGTAGAGGAGAGAGGGAATTTGAGAAAGGGTAGAGGAGAGAGGGAATTTGAGAGGGAGAGAGGGAATTTGAGAAAGGGTAGACCGTAGACGAGAGGACATTGGAGAAAGTGCAGAGGAGAGAGGGAGGTTGAGAACGGGCAGAGGGGAGGGCATGCAAGCACAGCACAGCACCCACCTGCACCACGTAGTTGCCATATTGGTCCGTACATGGGGCATTGAATGTGGGCCAGGGCCCAGGTAGACCTCATGACCCACATTCAATGCCCCATATACGGACCAACAGACAGATACGCATTTATCACACATGTGTGCGTGTGCACATCACCCACCTGAACGACGTAGTTGCCGTACTGGTCCTGGGCCAGAGCACACGTGGAGCGCATGATTTCATCCATCACGCCCCTCTGCTTCATTCACACCCACCACCCACCCACAATCTGCCGTCATTCACGCACTTGCAAACCCAACAGCACCCACCTGCACCGCATAGTTGCCAACAGCACCCACCTGCACCGCATAGTTGCCAACAGCACCCACCTGCACGACGTAGTTGCCGTACTGGTCCTGGGCCAGAGCACAGGTAGACCGCATGATCTCGTCCATCACCCCCCTCTGCTTCTGCTCCTCCGTGCAATGCTCTAGCACTCGCTGTTGGGATATGGATGAGGGGGAGAACATGAAGACATAAGAACAGGTGGATATAAGCACATGGATATAAGCACACTACGGGCACAAGTAAACCGCATGATCTCGTCCATCACGCCCCTCTGCTTCTGCTCCTCCGTGCAGTGCTCCAACACTCGCTGTGAATTAGACAGGGGTTGAGAGAAGGATCACAGAGACACGAGAACACAGACAAGAACGCGTGTGTATAGTCGTGAGCACCCGTTGACCCGTCCAACACACCCCTCTGCTTCTGCTGCTCTGTACAATGCTCCAATACTTGCTGTGAGACCAACAGACAGGGGTTGCAGAAAGAAACACACAGACATAAGCACAAGTGGACATGTGTGAAACTGGAAATACAGAAGGACAGCCATTGGGATGGGTTGAGAGCGCCACGACTTGGCTGTAGCAGCTGTTGACGATGGAGGCGATGTGGGCGGGCGGCACACAGGCTTGCCTGTTGCTTGCTGGGGAGCGCACCTGCAGGAAAAAGCACTTTTGAGTCGACTCAAAAGTCATCTTGTTGCTTGCTGGGGAGCGCACCTGCAGGAAAAAGCACTTTTGAGTCGACTCAAAAGTCATCTTGTTGCTTGCTGGGGAGCGCACCTGCAGGAAAAAGCACGCTCTGAAAGCCTCTCTTCTCACCTGAATAACTCTGCACCCATACGGGTGGGTTGAGAGTGCAACCACTTGGCCGTAGAAGCTGTTGACGATGGAGGCGATGTGGGCGGGCGGCACACACTCGATGCACTTCTGAATCACGTGGTTGCCGTTCTGATCCCGCACACACCGCATCACACTGCCCTCCAGTTCTGCTATTATCTCCAGCTGCTGCGTCAGAGGAAGAACCTCCAGAGCCTGTTGGTATGGCGGAAGAACATGGCGGAGAGAGGAAAGTAAGAAGATCAGAAACAACCTGCTTCCCGTTCTGGTCCCGCACACACCGCATCACACTGCCCTCCAGTTCTGCTATTATCTCCAGCTGCTGCGTCAGAGGAAGAACCTCCAGTGCCTGTTGGTATGGCGGAAGAACATGGCGGAGAGAGGAAAGTAAGAAGATCAGAAACAACCTGCTTCCCGTTCTGGTCCCGCACACACCGCATCACACTGCCCTCCAGTTCTGCTATTATCTCCAGCTGCTGCGTCAGAGGAAGAACCTCCAGAGCCTGTTGGTATGGCGGAAGAACATGGCGGAGAGAGGAAAGTAAGAAGATCAGAAACAACCTGCTTCCCGTTCTGGTCCCGCACACACCGCATCACACTGCCCTCCAGTTCTGCTATTATCTCCAGCTGCTGCGTCAGAGGAAGAACCTCCAGAGCCTGTTGGTATGGCGGAAGAACATGGCGGAGAGAGGAAAGTAAGAAGATCAGAAACAACCTGCTTCCCGTTCTGGTCCCGCACACACCGCATCACACTGCCCTCCAGTTCTGCTATTATCTCCAGCTGCTGCGTCAGAGGAAGAACCTCCAGAGCCTGTTGGTATGGCGGAAGAACATGGCGGAGAGAGGAAAGTAAGAAGATCAGAAACAACCTGCTTCCCGTTCTGGTCCCGCACACACCGCATCACACTGCCCTCCAGTTCTGCTATTATCTCCAGCTGCTGCGTCAGAGGAAGAACCTCCAGAGCCTGTTGGTATGGCGGAAGAACATGGCGGAGAGAGGAAAGTAAGAAGATCAGAAACAACCTGCTTCCCGTTCTGGTCCCGCACACACCGCATCACACTGCCCTCCAGTTCTGCTATTATCTCCAGCTGCTGCGTCAGAGGAAGAACCTCCAGAGCCTGTTGGTATGGCGGAAGAACATGGCGGAGAGAGGAAAGTAAGAAGATCAGAAACAACCTGCTTCCCGTTCTGGTCCCGCACACACCGCATCACACTGCCCTCCAGTTCTGCTATTATCTCCAGCTGCTGCGTCAGAGGAAGAACCTCCAGAGCCTGTTGGTATGGCGGAAGAACATGGCGGAGAGAGGAAAGTAAGAAGATCAGAAACAACCTGCTTCCCGTTCTGGTCCCGCACACACCGCATCACACTGCCCTCCAGTTCTGCTATTATCTCCAGCTGCTGCGTCAGAGGAAGAACCTCCAGTGCCTGTTGGTATGGCGGAAGAACATGGCGGAGAGAGGAAAGTAAGAAGATCAGAAACAACCTGCTTCCCGTTCTGGTCCCGCACACACCGCATCACACTGCCCTCCAGTTCTGCTATTATCTCCAGCTGCTGCGTCAGAGGAAGAACCTCCAGAGCCTGTTGGTATGGCGGAAGAACATGGCGGAGAGAGGAAAGTAAGAAGATCAGAAACAACCTGCTTCCCGTTCTGGTCCCGCACACACCGCATCACACTGCCCTCCAGTTCTGCTATTATCTCCAGCTGCTGCGTCAGAGGAAGAACCTCCAGAGCCTGTTGGTATGGCGGAAGAACATGGCGGAGAGAGGAAAGTAAGAAGATCAGAAACAACCTGCTTCCCGTTCTGGTCCCGCACACACCGCATCACACTGCCCTCCAGTTCTGCTATTATCTCCAGCTGCTGCGTCAGAGGAAGAACCTCCAGTGCCTGTTGGTATGGCGGAAGAACATGGCGGAGAGAGGAAAGTAAGAAGATCAGAAACAACCTGCTTCCCGTTCTGGTCCCGCACACACCGCATCACACTGCCCTCCAGTTCTGCTATTATCTCCAGCTGCTGCGTCAGAGGAAGAACCTCCAGTGCCTGTTGGTATGGCGGAAGAACATGGCGGAGAGAGGAAAGTAAGAAGATCAGAAACAACCTGCTTCCCGTTCTGGTCCCGCACACACCGCATCACACTGCCCTCCAGTTCTGCTATTATCTCCAGCTGCTGCGTCAGAGGAAGAACCTCCAGTGCCTGTTGGTATGGCGGAAGAACATGGCGGAGAGAGGAAAGTAAGAAGATCAGAAACAACCTGCTTCCCGTTCTGGTCCCGCACACACCGCATCACACTGCCCTCCAGTTCTGCTATTATCTCCAGCTGCTGCGTCAGAGGAAGAACCTCCAGTGCCTGTTGGTATGGCGGAAGAACATGGCGGAGAGAGGAAAGTAAGAAGATCAGAAACAACCTGCTTCCCGTTCTGGTCCCGCACACACCGCATCACACTGCCCTCCAGTTCTGCTATTATCTCCAGCTGCTGCGTCAGAGGAAGAACCTCCAGTGCCTGTGGGTATGGCGGAAGAACATGGCGGAGAGAGGAAAGTAAGAAGATCAGAAACAACCTGCTTCCCGTTCTGGTCCCGCACACACCGCATCACACTGCCCTCCAGTTCTGCTATTATCTCCAGCTGCTGCGTCAGAGGAAGAACCTCCAGAGCCTGTTGGTATGGCGGAAGAACATGGCGGAGAGAGGAAAGTAAGAAGATCAGAAACAACCTGCTTCCCGTTCTGGTCCCGCACACACCGCATCACACTGCCCTCCAGTTCTGCTATTATCTCCAGCTGCTGCGTCAGAGGAAGAACCTCCAGAGCCTGTTGGTATGGCGGAAGAACATGGCGGAGAGAGGAAAGTAAGAAGATCAGAAACAACCTGCTTCCCGTTCTGGTCCCGCACACACCGCATCACACTGCCCTCCAGTTCTGCTATTATCTCCAGCTGCTGCGTCAGAGGAAGAACCTCCAGAGCCTGTTGGTATGGCGGAAGAACATGGCGGAGAGAGGAAAGTAAGAAGATCAGAAACAACCTGCTTCCCGTTCTGGTCCCGCACACACCGCATCACACTGCCCTCCAGTTCTGCTATTATCTCCAGCTGCTGCGTCAGAGGAAGAACCTCCAGAGCCTGTTGGTATGGCGGAAGAACATGGCGGAGAGAGGAAAGTAAGAAGATCAGAAACAACCTGCTTCCCGTTCTGGTCCCGCACACACCGCATCACACTGCCCTCCAGTTCTGCTATTATCTCCAGCTGCTGCGTCAGAGGAAGAACCTCCAGAGCCTGTTGGTATGGCGGAAGAACATGGCGGAGAGAGGAAAGTAAGAAGATCAGAAACAACCTGCTTCCCGTTCTGGTCCCGCACACACCGCATCACACTGCCCTCCAGTTCTGCTATTATCTCCAGCTGCTGCGTCAGAGGAAGAACCTCCAGAGCCTGTTGGTATGGCGGAAGAACATGGCGGAGAGAGGAAAGTAAGAAGATCAGAAACAACCTGCTTCCCGTTCTGGTCCCGCACACACCGCATCACACTGCCCTCCAGTTCTGCTATTATCTCCAGCTGCTGCGTCAGAGGAAGAACCTCCAGAGCCTGTTGGTATGGCGGAAGAACATGGCGGAGAGAGGAAAGTAAGAAGATCAGAAACAACCTGCTTCCCGTTCTGGTCCCGCACACACCGCATCACACTGCCCTCCAGTTCTGCTATTATCTCCAGCTGCTGCGTCAGAGGAAGAACCTCCAGTGCCTGTTGGTATGGCGGAAGAACATGGCGGAGAGAGGAAAGTAAGAAGATCAGAAACAACCTGCTTCCCGTTCTGGTCCCGCACACACCGCATCACACTGCCCTCCAGTTCTGCTATTATCTCCAGCTGCTGCGTCAGAGGAAGAACCTCCAGTGCCTGTTGGTATGGCGGAAGAACATGGCGGAGAGAGGAAAGTAAGAAGATCAGAAACAACCTGCTTCCCGTTCTGGTCCCGCACACACCGCATCACACTGCCCTCCAGTTCTGCTATTATCTCCAGCTGCTGCGTCAGAGGAAGAACCTCCAGAGCCTGTTGGTATGGCGGAAGAACATGGCGGAGAGAGGAAAGTAAGAAGATCAGAAACAACCTGCTTCCCGTTCTGGTCCCGCACACACCGCATCACACTGCCCTCCAGTTCTGCTATTATCTCCAGCTGCTGCGTCAGAGGAAGAACCTCCAGTGCCTGTTGGTATGGCGGAAGAACATGGCGGAGAGAGGAAAGTAAGAAGATCAGAAACAACCTGCTTCCCGTTCTGGTCCCGCACACACCGCATCACACTGCCCTCCAGTTCTGCTATTATCTCCAGCTGCTGCGTCAGAGGAAGAACCTCCAGTGCCTGTTGGTATGGCGGAAGAACATGGCGGAGAGAGGAAAGTAAGAAGATCAGAAACAACCTGCTTCCCGTTCTGGTCCCGCACACACCGCATCACACTGCCCTCCAGTTCTGCTATTATCTCCAGCTGCTGCGTCAGAGGAAGAACCTCCAGTGCCTGTTGGTATGGCGGAAGAACATGGCGGAGAGAGGAAAGTAAGAAGATCAGAAACAACCTGCTTCCCGTTCTGGTCCCGCACACACCGCATCACACTGCCCTCCAGTTCTGCTATTATCTCCAGCTGCTGCGTCAGAGGAAGAACCTCCAGTGCCTGTTGGTATGGCGGAAGAACATGGCGGAGAGAGGAAAGTAAGAAGATCAGAAACAACCTGCTTCCCGTTCTGGTCCCGCACACACCGCATCACACTGCCCTCCAGTTCTGCTATTATCTCCAGCTGCTGCGTCAGAGGAAGAACCTCCAGTGCCTGTTGGTATGGCGGAAGAACATGGCGGAGAGAGGAAAGTAAGAAGATCAGAAACAACCTGCTTCCCGTTCTGGTCCCGCACACACCGCATCACACTGCCCTCCAGTTCTGCTATTATCTCCAGCTGCTGCGTCAGAGGAAGAACCTCCAGTGCCTGTTGGTATGGCGGAAGAACATGGCGGAGAGAGGAAAGTAAGAAGATCAGAAACAACCTGCTTCCCGTTCTGGTCCCGCACACACCGCATCACACTGCCCTCCAGTTCTGCTATTATCTCCAGCTGCTGCGTCAGAGGAAGAACCTCCAGAGCCTGTTGGTATGGCGGAAGAAACAGGGCACGGGGAACAGCAAGAGGGAAGCGGAGAATCACGTGGTTGCCGTTCTGGTCGCGCACACACCGCATCACACTCCCTTCTGGCTCTGCAATGATTTCCAGCTGCTGCGGTAGAGGCAGAACCTCCAAGGCCTGTTGGGGTAGGGAGCAGTGAGAGAGAATGAGAGGGTTGAACTGACTGGTTGCAGTTGCAGTTCTGATCCCACACACACCGCATCACACTACCCTCTAGCTCTGCGATGATCTCCAGCTGCTGACGAAGAGGGAGAACCTCCAGTGCCTGTTGGTATGAGACAAGAGGAAAGCGAGGAGAGGAGAGGGGAGTAAGAGGATTGGAAACAGAGTGGTTTCCATTCAGGTCCCGCACACACCGCATCACACCGCATCACACCGCATCACACTGCCCTCCAGCTCTGCGATTGCCCGGCAGCCATACATCTGCAGCCCCAGCGCTAGCACATGCATTGAGGCTCCTCTTCATTCAGCCCCTCAGCACTGCATCAAACCGCATCGCACCACCCCTCACCTTCTGAATCACCCGGCAACCATACATCTGCAGCCCCAGCGCTAGCACATGCCCTTTCAGACTCCTCATTCAGCCCCTCAGCATCGCATCAAACCACACCGCACCATGCCCTTCCAAACAACCCCCCCCTCCCCACCACCTCTCACCTTCTGAATCACCCGACAGCCATACATCTGAAGCCCCAGCGCCAGCACATGCCCTTTCAGACTCCTCACCCAACCCCTCCACCACACCGCATCAAACCACACCGCACCACGCCCTTCCAACTCCTTGCCTCTACCACCCCTCACCTTCTGAATCACCCGACAGCCATACATCTGCAGCCCCAGCGCCAGCACATGCATTCAGGCTCCTAATTCAGCCCCTAAGCACCGCACCAAACTGCATCGCACCATCCCTCACCTTCTGAATCACCCGGCATCCATACATCTGCAGCCCCAGCGCCAGCACATGCCCCTTCAGGGTCCTCATCCAGCCTCTTTGCACCGCATCAAACCACATCGCACCATGCCCTTCCAATCCTTCCACCGCTCACCTTCTGAATGACCCGGCACCCATACATCTGAAGCCCCAGCGCCAGCACATGCCCTTTCAACTCCGCTGCCAGTGCTGCCCTGTGCGAGTCCAGCCCATGCTCGAAGAACTGCAATGAGGGAGGGAAGGGCAAGGAAATAGGAGAGAAAGGGGAAGAGAGTTATTGCATCACTACACTCGAAGCCAGCACTTGCCCCTTGAGCTCCGCTGCCAGTGCCGCCCTGTGCGAGTCCAGCCCATGCTCGAAGAACTGCGGAGAAGGGTGGGGTCGCATAGGGGGCAAGGACGAAGGGTGAGGGTAAGTGGGTGGGTGCGAAGGGGAAGGGATTACTTTCAGCGCCAGCACATGCCCCTTGAGCTCCGCTGCCAGTGCCGCCCTGTGCGAGTCCAGCCCAGCCCATGCTCGAAGAACTGCGGAGAAGGGTGGGGTCGCATAGGGGGCAAGGACGAAGGGTGAGGGTAAGTGGGTGGGTGCGAAGGGGAAGGGATTACTTTCAGCGCCAGCACATGCCCTTTCAGCTCCGCTGCCAGTGCTGCCCTGTGCGAGTCCACGCCATGCTCGAAGAACTGCAGAGAACGGAGAGGGGGAGGGTGGGGGAAAGGCGGAAGGAAAGGGGGGCGGGAAAGAGACAATTACTACACTCAGCGCCAGCACATGCCCTTTCAGCTCCGCTGCCAGTGCTGCCATGTGTGAGTCCAGCCCATGCTCGAAAAACTGAGGAGGGAGGAGGATGAACAAAGCGCGGAGAGAAGAGGGGGAAGGACGAGGGGTGGGAAGGAAGGTGCAAAAATACGGCCGTATTTTTAAAACTGGTCTACGATTTCTAACAGGAGCCTATTACACGTTACCATATTTTACGGTTGATTAAAAAAAAAACGACCGTATTTTTGCACCTTGGTGGGGAGGATGAGAGAGTGCAGACAGACATGCCCGAGCATGCCCTCTTGAGGGACGCGGCGGCACCTTTTGGGGCGCCTCAAAAAACGACTTTTGAGGCGACTTAAAAGAGGATGAGAGCGTGCAGACAGACATGCCCGAGCATGCCCTCTTGAGGGACGCAGCAGCACCTCACAGAACACAAGCTGCTTCTCTCCTGCTCTCCTTATCTGCTCCGCATTTAACCCCCTCCCCCCCCTCCCCTTCCTTCCCTTTTCCAACCTCCTCTGACCCCACACACGCACCTTCTGAATCACATAGTGACTTTTGAGTCGACTCACAAGTCACCCCCTCTGACCCCACACACGCGCCTTCTGAATCACATAGTGACTTTTGAGTCGACTCACAAGTCACCCCCTCTGACCCCACACACGCGCCTTCTGAATCACATAGTTCCCAAACACAAGCTCCTTCTCTCTTCTCTGCTCCCCTTGCCCCCCACACACGCGCCTTCTGAATCACATAGTTCCCTTCCCAAAGACGTCCGTCATAAGGGAGAGAGCGCGCGGCAGCACCTCACAGAACACCAGCTTCATCCCTCCATCTCTCCATCCCTCCTCTCCTTGTCGGCCTGCTGGTGACTCGCCTGCCCTCCTATTGAATCAATACCACGCCTCCCTCGCACACGCATGCACCCGCGCACGCACCTTCTGAATCACGTAGTTCCCAAAGACGTCCGTCATAAGGGAGAGAGCGCGCGGCAGCACCTCACAGAACACCAACTCTTTCTCTGCATCCGTGGCCATCTCGAGCTTCTGCTGGATGAAGCGCGACCCGTGCTGGTCCGCACTGCAAGCAGGCATACAAAGGAGGGAGGGAAGAAGAGAGACGCGTGGAGAAGAGAAGAGTGGGATTGGTGAAAGAGGTCATAAGGGAAGAGGGTGGTGAAGTTCTAGCAAGCTTCTGCTGAGGCAGCACCTCACAGAACACCAGCTCCTTCTCTTCTCTGCATCCGTGGCCATCTCGAGCTTCTGCTGGATGAAGCGCGACCCGTGCTGGTCCGCACTGCAAGCAGGCATACAAAGGAGGGAGGGAAGAAGAGAGACGCGTGGAGAAGAGAAGAGTGGGATTGGTGAAAGAGGTCATAAGGGAAGAGGGTGGTGAAGTTCTAGCAAGCTTCTGCTGAGGCAGCACCTCACAGAACACCAGCTCCTTCTCTTCTCTGCATCCGTGGCCATCTCGAGCTTCTGCTGGATGAAGCGCGACCCGTGCTGGTTCGCACTGCAAGTGAAGGAGATATAGAGACGAGAGAAGCGTGGGATGGAGGAAAGAGGTGGGTAACTCTCTAGCTGCTTCTGCCGAGGCAGCACCTCACAGAACACCAGCTCCTTCTCTGCATCCGGGCCATCTCGAGCTTCTGCTGAATAAACCGCGACCCGTGCTGGTTCGCACTGCAAGTGAAGGATATAAAAATACAGGCGAAGCATGGAAACAAGGGGAAAGAGATTGGTAGCTCTCTCACTAGCCCCTGCTGGGGCAGCACCTCACAGAACACCAGCTCCTTCTCTTCTCTACATCCGTGGCCATCTCAAGCTTCTGTTGGATGAACCGACTGCCGTGCTGGTCCGCACTGCAAGCAGGCACATGGAGAGGGACGGAGAAGAAACGTGTCCGAGCACCTCTGAGCACCACTGAGCAGCATGTGAGCACCACTGAGCAGCATGTGAGCACCACTGAGCAGCATGTGAGCACCACTGAGCAGCATGTGAGCACCACTGAGCAGCATGTGAGCACCACTGAGCAGCATGTGAGCACCACTGAGCAGCATGTGAGCACCACTCAGCACACCAACGCACCTGAACTCCACCACGTGCCCGGCAATGTCACACAGCTGTAGTACCAGCGAGCACAGTAACACCCATGAATCAGCAGCACCTCACACCAACGCACCTGAATTCCACCACATGCCCTGCAATATCGCACAACTCGTAGCGCCTCGTCTTGTTCGCCTTAAATTCCTCCAAGAAACTCCCCGCTCCTCCTCCCCCTCCCCCTCCACTTCCCCCTCCCCCTCCTCCGCCTCCTCCTCCTCCCCCTCCTCCCCCACCGCCGTTACCACTGCCTCTGCTCCCCCCTCCTCCTCCTCCGCCTCCCCCTCCTCCCCCCCCTCCACCACCCATCCTTTCGGATTCAGCCAGGTGGGATGAATGGTGGTGATGCTGCTGCTGCTGCTGCTGATGGTGGTGGTGCTGATGCTGATGCATTGAGTGGCCTCTTCCCCCGCCCCCTCCCCCAGGGGAACCCCTCAGTCCCCCACCTCCCCCTTTCTCCTCCCTCCTCCCGCTTCCCCCTGCCCCTGTTCCCCCGCCTGCTCCCCCCATTCCGCCCATGGCATACCCCCCGCCCTTCCCCCCTCCCCCTCCGCCTCCCCCCGCCCCTCCCCCCATCATGCTTCCCCCACCTCCCACCCCGACCGGCCCCATTCCTCCCCCTAGCCCCCCCAGCCCTCCTTCAGCCAATAACATCGATTCGTACAGATTCGCATGGTGCCCGTGCTGGTGGTGCTGACTCAGCATGCCGCCCTGCTGATGTGGCAACATGCCAGCTGGCACCAATCCTCCGCCCGCCCCGCCCCCCCCACCACCACCAGCAGGGGATAGCGGCGGGTAGGCAACAACCGGAAGGAAGCTTCCTGGAGGGCTTCCATAGTACATCGGAGGGTTGTTGTTGCCGCCGCCGTGTGGTGCGCCAGCTGGCAGGCCGGCCGCGCGAGATCGCGCCACGTCAGCAGGGATCCCCATTGGCTGGCTGCCCCCGGGGAGATAAGCAGAAGGACCCGACCCCATACCCATGCCCATCCCCATGCCCATCCCCATGTTCATGCCCATGCCCATGCCCATCCCTCCTACTGCTGCTGCAGCAGCAGCAAGCCCACTAGCACTAGTGCCCCCACCATTCCCACCACCACCACCACCACCACCACCGCCGCCACCACCGCCACTCATACCCCCCATACCTCCTCCTCCGGTAAACCCTGCACCAGATAAGCCTCCCCCTCCCCCAGACACGCCCAGCCCAGATAAACCTGCGAGAATTTGCGCTCTGTACTGTGGGTGCATGGCTAGTAGGTGCTGCACTTCTGGAGGCAACATTGCATCAACAGCACCCCCCATATTAGCACCGGTGTTACCACCACTACCTGCACCCAAACCAGCAGTTGTACCTTCCCCAGATGCTGCCGGTCCGACCCGCCTCACCCCGCCGCCCGCACTCATCGACCGCCCAATGCCACTGTTCATGCCAGCTGGACTGGCGCCCCCACCGCCAGCACCGCCAACGGCGAACTGGGCGGCTTCGCTTGGCAGGTACTGCTGCGCGTTGGCGTCTAGTGAAACAGTACCCCCACCACTATCGCCACCACCCGCTCCTGCAGCAGCAGCAGCGCCACCACCCCCACCACCACTACCCCCACCTGCTCCTCCTGACAGATAAAACCCGTTCAGAGCCCCTCCAGATAAACCTCCCCCAGGCAAGCCTCCCCCGCCAGGGAGCGCGTGGGGGAAGGCAGGCGCGCCTGTTCCGCCAGCAAGGTGCGGGGGGAGGAAGGGGGAACCGGCGGAGCTGGCGGAACCGTGCGGGAGGGGGAGAGACTCGTGTAGGAAGGCTGGGTAAGGGGGAGATCCTACCACGAACGATGCTGCGCCTGCTGCAGCGGCGGCGGCGGCGGCGGCGGAGGTGGGGGGGTTGGTTGCGGAGGAAGGGGGGAGGTATTGGAGATACGCTGGGTGGAGTGCGGTGGGGAGGTGTGACCAATGCGGGGCCCCTTGACCCATGCTCTGCTGCTGCTGCTGATGCTGCTGCAATAACTGCTGCTGCTGATCCTTTTCCTGTTGCTGCTGCTGCTGCTGCTGCTGCTGTTGCTGCTGTTGCTGCTGTTGTTGCTGCTGAAATTGCTGCTGCTGCTGCCCCATCTGCTGCTGCTGCTGATACTGCTGCTGCAATTGCTGCTGCATCTGCATCTGCTGCTGCTGCTGCTGCCCTTCCGCCAATCGCAGCCCTTCAATCGCCGATGCCAGCTCAGCAGCGGTAGCCTGTCCCATTCCCCCCTCCCCCTGCATCCCCCCCATCCCCGGACTAGCCGCCCGCGCAAACACCCCTCCTCCAGCCCCTCCCCTTCCCCCTCCGCCCGCTCCCCCCAACCCTCCCTCCCCACCGCCCAAACCCAGACCTACCCCAAAGGCTGGGGACTGCGCCCGAGGCAGACCGGCAGGTTTGGCAGCCGAAGCAGCCTGGGCCGCTGCTAGCTGCATCGCCAGCCCCGGGCTAACCCTCCCCGCGACCAATCCGGGGGGGATAAGCGGAGTTCCCGAGCGCGAACCTGCGCCAAGGAGCGGGGGGACGCTACTCGCGCCCCCTCCGCGCGTGTTCCCCGCGCCCCTTCCCCCCGCTCCCCCTGCGCCTCCGCCCGCCTGCAGCCCCGCGGTGAGCAGCGCGAGCTCGTGCCTATGCGCGTCGTCAAGCTGCAGAGACGAGCGCGGGCGCCGCGGAAGGTCATTGGCGGAAGCGGAAGCGCTGAGGAAAGACGGCACTGCGGCGGCGGCAGCAGCGGCGGCGGCGGCGGTGGCGGCGTCCGCGGAATCGTCCGCGCCTGAGCGGCTGGCTGCGCGCTGAAGCGCGAAGATGGGGGAGGGCGTGCGGGGAAAGTCCTCCTGCAGGGCCGGGAAGGGGGAAGAGGGGCGCGGAAGGTGAGGCGCGGAAGAAAGATCAAGACCTAACCACAATATATACTCACAATATATCCCCGTTTTTGTGAGGGTACACTACTTGAGAGGCTAGAGGCTAACAAGTCAGGCTAAACGTACAACTAACCTGAATAAGATCCACGAGGCTCTTAGGCCGATAGGCCAATCCCGCAAAGCTTCCGCCCCCAACCCCCGCTGCGCCCCATCTGTCCGCCACACCCTCGCCCCTCTCCGCGCCAGCTCCCCCCGCACCCCCGCCTCCGCCTCCGCCGCCACCTCCGCCGGCGCCTGCGCTTGCGCCGGTGCCCTGCGCACTCCCGTCGCCGTTGTCCTGTCCCCCCGAAGTAAGCACATCCTCTAACAGACTCTCCATCTCCTCCCGATGAGTGGGGAGAGTGGGCGGCGGAAACAACAGATTGGACGACGAGGATCTCCCCGTTCGCAGCCCATGCCCGTCATCGAACGGTCGTAGAGAGCCCATCCCCCCCCCATCCTCCCCAAACACCCCCGCGCTGCCGTCTTGACCGAGCCCCGCGCGGATCTCATACCCCCCCGCGCCCCCTTGCGCATACCCCCTTCCCCCGCTTTCCGCGCCTTCTCCGCCGCCGGGGAACTTCGGCGCACCCTCTCCGCCGAGCCCTAGCGCGGCGGAAGACTGTAACCGTTGCGCCAGGCGGTAAGTATCTCGGGAAATAAGCGGCGGCGGAAGGCGGGGGTTTAAGTGGTGGTTGCGGTAGTAGTATTCTAAATACCCCGGATCGGCTCTTAAAGCCTCCTCGTCCTGCAAACGATCTAAAAGCTTCCGCGCATCCCGCTGCTTCTGCAGCTGCTGCTGTTGCTGTTGCTGTTGAATCTGCAGCTGAAGCTGTTGCTGCTGCTGAAGCTGAATCGCAGCGGCTGCTCCGCCACCGCCGCCGCCGCCGCCGTCAGCCCCGGCACCGGGCTGATTCCCCAGGGCATCGGCGCCAAGAAACTGACGGTTGAAAGAAAACCCGGGGAAATTACCCATCGCAAAGATCGACCCTTCCACCGACGGCGGAGCGCTACCGCTCCTATGGGGGTAGTCCCGCCCGCCATATCCCCCCGCCGCAGGCGCACCGCCAAAACCCTCCGCGCCTGCCATTCCGCCTGCCATTCCGCCCCCCCCAGCCCCCTGCTGGTCTCGCATCCCATACTGCGCTGCTAGCGATGCGCCCGCTGACGTTGCTGAGCCGTCTCCCAGCCCCCCAGTCGTTCCCGATATAGACACTTGCTCGTAACGAGTCTGAGAGTAGGGCACATTTCCGTCCCCGGTGCCCCGTAGGAGGAGCCCGAGCTCCTGTGCGACTTGCCGATCGTCTTCCGAAGCCATCGGGCGATTCATTGAATCTGGACGGATCTCAGAAAGTGGGTTGCATTTAAGGGTCCCGGCTTTCGCACCGCCATTGACGGCTGGAACGGGGTTTTAACGGACGGAAGCTCGCGGCACGCGTAACAAATCACGTCAGGTTAGGAGCGATCTTTACGTTAGGTTAAGCAACGCTGTCCTTAGCAGCTTCAGTAAGGGAGCGATGCTAGAGTGATCTGATAAGCAAGACGTGGGCTCTGGTGTGAGGAAAGATCTTCAGGGAGTTAATCGTTCACGCCCACCACCAACACGCGCCTGAATAAATCCTATCCGCGAACCATCATTCCCTGTCCACGAGTCGATTAGTGCGGTTCGCGATTCGACGAATGAACAATCATGCATGGAGAACGCAGGGTAGGAAAGTGGGTGACTCCTGGTAAACTGTCATGAGACATGCGTGACTGGTGACTGGTGGGCGTAAACCAGAGCGAGAGAACCTACCAAGAGCTGTCTGTATTACCCCATGCAGGCTTATGCAGTCTCCCTATACCCTACATAACCGTACCAAGTTCTTGTTTTGACGCTCTAAAACGTAGACAACCTTGCCGAGACGAGACACAACGTGCTGAGGCTTACGCTGTCCCCACATAAGCTGTAGGCGAGAAAGATGCGGCGGAAAAGGTGTAGGCGAAAAGGTGAGGCGGAAAGGGAGTACTGTATAGGCGAACAGGTGAGGTGGGTGAGTGCAATGCCCCCCTCTTGCGAAAGAAAGGGTAAGTATATACTGGGTGGGTATTACTGGAAAATTGTTTTTTTCTACTTGTAATTATTTTCATTGAGTGGTACTTTTGACGAATTCTCACACGCGACATCCGGATTAGTGTCACGTTTCATGGATACAGGCAAAAAGTTTCGCCACGTGTCCGACGCGATTTCCCTGAAAACATTTTGACGCAGCAGACAAAAAATAAACCCCTAGGGACACGGACACATTTTGGGAAACATCAACCCTAAACACGGGAATGGCCAGGTGTTTAGGGTTTACAACCTAAAATCGTTACAATTCGGAAGGAATCAACCCTAAACACGGGAACAGGCATGGTGTTTAGGGTTGATGCATTGAAAGAAGTCCCTGGTGCCCTAGAGGTTTTAGTTTTGTTACACCCTGAAAACCCAACATTTGGTTCAGTCGCACGTAAATTTTGCAGACACATGAAATCTACACAAGCATGGACACGTGGCGAAAATAATCGCCCGTAGACATGAAACGTGACAATAATCTGTGTCTCGAAAATGAGAATCAGCAGAAATTCACACCAAATGGGTGAAATTAAGACTGGAAACAACATGTTTTTTAATGAAGCCCACCCAGTATGTACTTACCCCGAAAGAAACGCACGAGCAACGACCATCATGCACGACGGGTTCTGACGTGGAGGGGGCACATTGGGCTGCGGAATGTACACTGGGTGTATTGGTCGACGTTTGGGAACGAAGCACTTTCTGTTTTCGCGCAATGTGAGTAACACCGACCGTGAGTTCTGCCTGCGGCGCAAGGAGATAGTGAATTCTGCACGACAATGACGTTTTTTGCAGGAAATTCAAATTATATGAACACTGCAAACGTCTCAATGTACATCGTGAATTGAACATATCTCATTTATCATTATTCTCGATCACCTCGGTCCTCGAAACGGCCTCAGCGCCCATGTTGCCATCTGGACCGTACTTCCAGCAAACTCGCAACAGGCACGCCACGCACGAACCTCAGGGAAAACCGACTTCGATATAAGAACGCATCGAAGCTTGGAAAAGGCCCCACATTTCAGCCACACCGAACTCCAACAACCTTGGGCATGCCGAGAGATAGAAAGGTGGACGAGGTTCAAGAAAGGAGAGGAGAAAACCGAAAAGACTGCTGATCAGTCATGGTGGTTAGGTGACGATAGGTGGTCCGCCATGGATAGTTGTTTACTGGATTACAGACTCTGTGGTTCGGCTGGTTAACATAAGAGGCTTATCCTTAGGGTAGTGGATCGAGCACAATGGATATTGTCATTGGTGCTTTAGTGTGACTGAAACCGGTCGAAGAAGTCATTTTTGGAGTAAAAGCACTAGGTTTTATTCGCCGTTGAAGGTCATAATTAACTTAGCAGGCGTGGATCGTCCTTATTTTATATCACCGTTCTACACGACAACTGCTTCAGTCTGGTTCGCGGTGAGTAAGGCGTGAAATGTCAGCATCCATGTCATTCCGACAAGCTTTCAATATTTGGGACCCTTTTATTTCTGGTTTATCCCGGAAGCCAATGAAACTTGTTATCCAAATTGAAGTATCGTTACCTCTGGGGCTTATCTCCTTGCCAATGCATTAATGGCGACGGTAAAAACAGCGTCAACCATTGACGCTCTTAAAACCAGGGTCACATGTAGTACAAGTGTTTTGCAGTTGATGGTGAAAGTTGGGCTGTGTTTTGTCGCAACTCCGTTTCGTAACAAATTGTGTTTTCCTGTTATCGTTTTCTGCATAGTCATTGAGTACTAACTAGAGCGTTTATTATAGCTTGTTGATTTGCTCTTTTAAAACGGACGAGTTATGGTCTGGCCGTTCTTTCTTACTTGATTCGAATGTGCACGGTCTATAATGGTCCAGAAGGGAACAAGAGTGTGTCTTTATCCTGTTCCACCTGTAGAGAAACCGGAAGAACGCATTTATGTCTCTGGTGTTCTTCTGGTACTAACATTGTTGCAGCTCTCGCATTACCTTCTCGTCGCTTCGTTCAGGTTTTCCTTTATTCCGTCTCTTTCTTCGATTCTTTTTTGCCGTCTTGCCCTTTCCGTTTCCATTTGCCTTGTCTCTTTCTCTAATTCCTTATTGCGGTTGTTTATTTTACCCGTACCTTCTCTTTCTCTCTCTCATCCTCTCAGAGCGCCATGTCAGCGGCCCTCCTCGCGAGGCTACGTGGCAAGCTGTCATTGGTCGCCGATAAGCTCCTTGAGCTTGACCAAGAGGCGCTTCGCCCTTCGCCTCACAACCACCACAATGGCCACCGCACCCAAGAAGGAAGCATGGTTACTGGTGGTAACCCGACTGCCTCCAACACCAGCAGTGACACCAGCACCAGTACGAGCGCCAGGGGAGGGAGCGGCGGCAGCACGAGCTCCGCCACGAGTAACCACAGTAACATTGGTAACCACATCGACCATGGTAACCACATCGACGATGGTAACCACGTTACCACTGACAGCCACCCGAAGAGCCCGATCCTTAACTCCCAAGTCCATGGCGTGATGGCGGTGACCGTGGCTATGGCCTTAGACGTGGATCGAGAGGTAAAGAAGACTCTCGACGACGGGGAGATGCTGCGAGGCCTATTAGGTCTCGCAACGGAAGGCGGAGCGGGAGCAGGCGGAGGAGTGGGAGATGTTCAGCAATCGAAAGAAGGATCGTTGGAGTTGAACGAGAAGGGAGCGCTTGCGCCGGAGATTCACGCGTGCTTGGGTCGCCTTGAAGCGAGGTTTGGCGGAGGGAGGACGGCGGTTGAGGCGATTGAACAATGGGTGAATTCTCAGGTGGACAGTAAGGTGTCAGGATCTGTGACAAGTGGTGGGGAACGGTTGGACAAGATGAGCGCCCCGACAGCTGTTGGTGTGGTTGACGGGGCGAGCGAAGCAGGCGAAGTCGAACGAGCTGTAATTGCGGAAGCTGTATCAGCCACCGGCGAAAACTGGTTACCAGGTAAACTGGCGGCTGGTTCGCTTGAGAAGCAGCAGGCGCAATCAAAGGTCGGTCTTGCGCGGGGCCTGGAGGCCTGGGCTGGTACTAACGGGGATGCTCTTAAAGGAGCGCTGCTGCAACTCTTGGAGAAGGAAGAGGCACGGCTGGAAGGAGGAATCCAACGGCTAGAAATCGATTCTGAGCGGAAGTTCTGCGATCTGAGGGAGGAGATGGAGCGAGCGGTGAGCGGCGAGGGGAGGAAGCGGGAAGCTGAGCTGGACCGGATGGTGAATCTGCTTATAACGGAAGCGGCGCTCCGGCAGCAGCTGGAAGAGGAGATTAAAGCGGTGCAGGAGCAGTGGGCGAGGAAACTCGAGGAGGCACGGGCGCAGCAGCAAGCGCAGCAGCTGGAGGAAATGGCAAGAGTGAGGAGAGAGATGGAAGAGATGAGAGAGCAATGGCAAGCGCAGCAGGCGCAAGCGAACGAAGCGTTGAGAGCAGAGAAGGAAGCGGTGAGAAAGCAGATGGAGCAGATGCGAGAGGAGTGGCGAGTGCAGCAAGCACAGGCAAACGAGGCTCTGATTGGTCCAATGGAGGAGATTCGCGAGGAGTGGAGGGCTGCAGGGCTGGGCGGGAGGGTGAAAAGTCTGGAGGAGCGGTTGGACGGGGTGGAGAGCGGTGAGCAGGACATGGAGAGCCGGATTTTGCAGAAGGTGTCTGAAATGCGGGTAGAGGCTGGACTGGAGGTAGATAGGGTAGAGAAGATCGTTAATGAGAAGGTGGATGGGCTGAAACAGGAGCTAGACGGGAGGATTGAGGGGAGTCAGCAGAAAGTAGAGCAGTTGGAGGAGCTTTGGATGGGTGCGGATGTGCCTGGGATGGTGGCGAGGATTGAAACGGGGGTGAAGTGTAATAAGATTGTGATTGAAGCGGTGGATAGGCGCGTGAGGGAGCAGGCGGAGGGGCAGGAGAGGGTTATGGAGGAGGCTGAGAGGACAGTGAGGAAGGTTGAGGAGAGTGTGGGGGAGAGAGTGAGAAAGGTGGAGGAGAGTATGGGGGAGATAGTGGGTAAGGTAGAGGAGAGTGTGAAGAAAATAGAGGAGAGTGTGGGGGAGAGAGTGAGGAAGCTAGAGGAGAGTGTGGGAGAGAAGGTGGTGAAATTAGAAGAGGGTATGGAGGAGAGAGCAAAGAGGGTAGAGGAGAGTGTGATGGTTGGAGTGAGGAATCTAGAGGAGGTGGTTAAGGAGGTGGAGAAACTTGAAGAGAAGAGCGTAGAGGAGAGAGTGGGGGAGGTGGCGGGGAGTGTTGAGGAGCGTGTGAAAGAAATTGAAGGGAAATTGGAAGAGAGGATGAGGAAGGTAGAGGAGAGTGTGGAGGAGCGAGTGAGAAAGATCAAGGGAGGTTTGGGAGAGAGGGCGAGGAAGATAGAGGAGAGTGTGGAGAAGGTGGGAGAAGCAGAGAAGGGTACAGAGGAGGGGGTGAAAGGAGGAGAAGCGAGTGTGGAGGAGCGAGTGGGGAGGCTGGAGGGGAGTGTGGAGGAGAGTGTGAGGGAGCTGAGGGGGGAGATAGACGCCGTGGGACAGCAGGCTGCGGAGGTGGGGAGAGTGGTGTTGGAAATCAGCAAGGAGATCAGCAACAAGACTAGCAAGGAGGTTGCAGCAACAGCAACTCCTTCCCATCAGCAGCAGCAGCAGCAGCAGCAGCAGCAGCAGCAGATAGAGGCGGTGATTGCAGTTGGCAGAGAGGTTGCAAAGGTAGCAGCCGAACTTTCCAAATCGGTCAAATTTGCCAAATCCGGCACACGAAGCGAGGGGGCGGAGGAGGGGAGTGGACTCCTGGAGCAGGTCGTTTTGATTGGTCGGGAGGTGGCGGGTGTGGGAGCAGCGATTGCTGCAGGTGTTAAGGAGCAAGAGGGAAGGAAGGAGGAGGTTAAGTGTCTTGAGGAGGTGGTGCTGATTGGTCGAGAAGTGGCCCACGTGGCAGCAGAAATTGCCAAGGGTGGAAAAGACCAGATGAGCGGAATCAAATCTGAGGAGGAGATCAGATCTTTGATTGCAGCTGAGCTGGCAGCGGCTGGTGGCGTGCAGCAGCAGCAGCAGCAGCCAGCACCAGCACCAGCAGCAGCAGTGGACGAAGCTTCCAAGAAGGTGGAGCACCTGCAGGAGCTGACAGGAGCAGCAGCTTTGGACGAACCTTCCAAGAAGGTGGAGCACCTGCAGAAGCTCCTGGAAGAGCAGCAGCACAAGGCTGACGTGGCATCCACGATCCAACAGCTGTCAGATAAAATCTCCGTGTTGGAGCTGAAGCAGGCGCAGACCACGTCAGCAGCAGCATCAGCCGCGTCAGCAGCGTCTGCCGCGGTTGCAGTCACCCACGCTGCGTTCCCCCGTGCTGCGTCCGTAGGGGCGAGCGTTCTCACCTCCCCTGGAGGCCCTAAGACGATCACAGCAGCGGCAGAGGCAGCAGCTGCGATTGTGGCGGACAGAGGGTGGGTGCAGCAGCAGCTGGCGGAGCAGGAGGTGAAGTTGAGGTGGAGAATGGAGGCTTTGCAACAAATGGCGAGTGTTTCCTTGGAGAAGGCGCATAAGCAGGCTGAAGAGGGCGCTGCGATTCTTGCAGCTGTGAAAGCAGCAGCAGGAGCAGGAGGAGCAGGAGGAGCAGGAGGAGCAGGATCAGGAGCAGCAGCAGGGGCTAGTGCAGGGGCGGGTAGCGGGGCAATAGCAGAAGGGGTGGCAGGGACAATGGCTGAAACAGAGGAAGCGGCGGGGGCAGGGGAAGGTGCAGGGGCGGAGGCAGGAGAAGTGGCAGCGGCAGCAGCAGCTGTGGCGGACAGAGGGTGGGTGCAGCAGCAGCTGGCAGAGCAAGAGGTAAGGTTTGAGAGGCGCGTGCAGGGGATGCAGCGGATAGCAGAGTTTGGCGTCCAGCGGGTGGGACAGTTGGCGGTGCGGGCGGCAGATTTCGACAGTATGCTGAAGCAGGTCCAGGAGGTGATGGCGGCGCTGGCTGCGCGAGTGCGGGGGGTGTTGGAGCAGCAGGTTGGGAGAAACGCGGAGATAGAAGCGCTAGTGGGGTGGAAAGCGAGGATTGAGGGGGTTTTGGAGCAGCAGGCGGGGAGAAACGCGGAGATAGATGCGCTAGTGGCACTGAAAGCGCGGATTGAGGGGGTTTTGGAGCAGCAGGCGGAGTGGAATGCTCGTGTTGATGCGATGATGAAGGAGGTGGGGGCGAAGGTGGGAGGGCTGGTGGAAGGGGAGGGTCGCTGTGTTACAGCCGTAGCTGCAGCAGAAGCTGCAGCAGTGGCAGAAACCGCAGCAGTGGCAGAAGCAGATATGGCAGCAGAGGCAGCAGCAGTGCCAGAAGCAAACGTGGCAGCAGGAGCAGCAGCAGCGGGGGCAGAAGAAGCAGACGCAGCAGCAGCAGCAGCAGCAGCAGCAGGGGCAGAAGCAGAGGCAGCAGAAGCAGCAGCGGCAAAAGCAGAGGCAGCAGCAGGGGCAGAAGCAGAGGCAGCAGCAGCAGCAGCAGCAGGGGCAGAAGCAGAGGCAGCAGCAGCTGAAGCAGGGTCAGAAGCAGAGGCAGCAGCATCTGCAGGGGCAGAAGCATCTGCAGGGGCAGAAGCAGAGGCAGCAGCAGCAGCAGGGGCAGAAGCAGAGGCAGCAGCAGCAGAACGAGTTTCTTCAACACAGGCGACGGTGAAGGAGGAAGCGGAGAAGGTGGGGGCTTTGGTGGAAGGGGAGGCTCCCTTTGTGTCTTCCATAGCTGCAGCAGAAGCCGCAGGGGAAGATGCAGAGGCAGCAGAGGCAGATTCAACAACAGAAGCAGCAGCGGAAGCAGCATCAGAAACACCACCAGCACCAGCAGTGACAGCGGAACCAGCACCAACGGCAGCAGAGTCTGCAGCAACAGCATCACCTGCCTCGACAGCAGAGGCAGAAGCTGAATTATCAGCACCAGCAGCAGAGGCAGCAGTTGATTCATGTGTTGCAGAGGCAGCAGTTGAAGTATCAGCACCAGCCGCAGGGGGAGCAGTTGAATCACCTGCGCCAGCAGCAGAGGCAGCAGTTGAATCACCTGCATCAGCAGCAGAAGCAGCAGTTGAATCACCTGCACCAGCAGCAGAGGCAGCAGTTAATTCATCTGTTGCAGAGGCAGCAGTTGAAGTATCAGCACCAGCAGCAGGGGGAGCAGTTGAATCACCTGCACCAACAGCAGCGGCGGAAGTTGAATCATCTGCACCAGCAGCAGAGGCAGCAGTTGAACCATCTGTTGCAGAGGCACCAGTTGAACCATCTGTTGCAGAGGCAGCAGTTGAACCATCTGTTGCAGAGGCACCAGTTGAACCATCTGCACTAACAGCAGAGGCAGCAGCAACAACATCACCACCAGTGTTTGTAGAAGCAGCAGCAACACCACTATCAGTGTCTGTACAAGCAGCAGCAACAACACCAGCAGAAGTGTTCGTAGCAGCACCACCACCACTGCCATCACCAAAACCGGCAGCAACGTCTGTAGCAGCAGCAGCTGCATCGGTGTCTGTAACTCCTGTCCCTTCTGTGACTTTTGCAGCAAGCCAGATGGATCTCCTGTGCCCTACACCCGGGGATGTAAGGGATTATGAGTTACATTTAGAGTCGCCATCAGCAGCAGCAGTGGCAGCGGTAGCAAGCCAGATGGACCTCATGTGCCCTACGCCCCGGAATGTGGTGAAATTTGAATTGCCTCTACATTCAGCATCAGCAGCAGCCGCAGCCGCTGCAACAGAAGCAGCTTCAGCCGCAGCAACAGAAGCAGCAGCCGCCGCAGCAATAGAAGCAGCAGCAACCGCAGCAACGGAAGCAGCAGCAGCCGCAGCCGCAGCAACAGAAGCAGCATCAGCAGCCGCAGCAATAGAAGCAGCAGCAGCCGCAGCAACAGAAGCAGCAGCAGCAAGCCAGATGGACCTCCTGTGTCCTATCCCCCGGGATGTAGTGGATTCTGCATTGCCTCTAGAGTCTCCATCCGCAGCCGGGGCAGCAGCAGCCGCACCAGTAGCGCCTGCATCCCGTCTAGCACCTACCCAGGAGCAGGAGAGTTCAGCTGCGACTCACGAGTTGCCATCAGCAGGAGGAGCAGCAGCAGAAGCAGCAGCAGAGGAAGAAGCAACAGGAGCAACAGCAGCAGCCGAATCAGGAACAGCAGGAGCAGCAGCTGCAGCAGCGGCTGATGCAGGAGCTGCAGCAGTAGCAACCCCTGCATCCCCTCTAGCGCCTACTCAGGAGCAGGAGACGTTAGAGTCAACTCAAGCATCGCCATCCGCAGCAGCAGCAGCAGCAGCAGCAGCAGCAGCAGCAGAAGCAGCAGGAGCAACAGAAACAAGAGAAGCGGCGGGAGCAGCAGCAGCAGCGCCTGCATCCCCTCTAGTGTCTACCCAGGAGCAGGAGAGTTCAGATTCGACTCAAGCATCGCCAGCAGCAGATGCAGAAGCAGGAGCAGCAGGAGTAACATCAGCAGCAGAAGCAGGCACAGCAGGAGCAACAGCAGCAGAAGTAGAAGTAGCAGGAGAAACAGCAGCACCAGAAGCAGAAGCGGCAGCGGAAACAACTCCTGCAGAAGCAGAAGCAGGAGCAACAGCGACAGCAGAAGCAGAAGCAGGAGCAGCAGGAGCAACAGCAGCAGCAGAAGCAGAAGCGGCAGGGGAAACAACTGCTGAAGAAGCAGGAGCAGCAGGAGCAACAGCGGCAGCAGAAGCAGCATCAGCAACAGAAGCAGGAGCCACAGAAGCAGAAGCAGCAACAACAGCAGAAGTAGGAGCAGGAGGAGCAAAAGCAGGAGCCACCGAAGCAGAAGCAGCAACAACAGCGGAAGTAGGAGCAGCAGGAGCAAAAGCAGCAGCAGGAGCAGCAGCAGCAGCAGCAGAAGCAGATGCAGCAGCAGCAGAAGCAGGAGCAGCAGAAGCAGGAGCAGCAGAAGCAGGAGCAGCAGAAGCAGCCCTGTCTGCAGCCCCGTCTGCAGCCCCAGCTGTAGCCGCATCTGTAGCCTTGTCATCGCCATCATCACCACCATCATCACCATGTGCAGCAGCAACGTCACCATCCGCAACAGCAGCAGCAGCAGCAGCAGCTTGCCTAGCTGCATCCATAGCAAGCAAGGTGGAGTTGCTACGCACAAAGTCCCAGGAGGAGCAAGAGCCTTCTGAGTCGCCTCAAGAGCTGCAGCAGCAGAGCGTTCTTGAAACCCCGCAAGCCGTACCAAGCAAGGTGGAGTTGCTACGCTCAAAGTCCCAGGAGGAGCAAGAGCCGTCTAAGTCTCCTCAAGAACCTTCGGAGTCAACTCAAGACTTATCAGCCCAAGTGGAGCTGCTACGTGCCCAGGCCCAGGAGCAGCAGGCACAGCTGCTGCAGCTGCAGCGGTCCCTCCATGAGAACGCCCGGCAGCTGGCTCTGCTTGAAAGGGCGTGCCGAGAGAAAGAGAAAGAAAAGGCCGGTGCTGCTGCTGTGACTCTTGAGTCGACTCCAGAGGGGCAGGCAAGGCAAGTGGCTGTGTTGGAGAGGGCGTGCAAGGTGATGACAGATGCTGCTGCTGTTCTTGAGTCCACGGAGGTGTCAGCTAGGGGTTGTGAAGAGAGGGCGTCTCAGGAGAAATCCAATGCTGCTGTGACTCTTGAGTCGACTCCAGAGGAGCAGGCAAGGCAAGTGGCTGTGTTGGAGAGGGCGTGCAAGGTGATGACAGATGCTGCTGCTGTTCTTGAGTCCACGGAGGTGTCAGCTAGGGGTTGTGAAGAGAGGGCGTCTCAGGAGAAATCCAATGCTGCTGTGACTCTTGAGTCGACTCCAGAGGAGCAGGCAAGGCAAGTGGCTGTGTTGGAGAGGGCGTGCAAGGTGATGACAGATGCTGCTGCTGTTCTTGAGTCCACGGAGGTGTCAGCTATGGGTTGTGCGGAGAGTAGGGAGTGCAAGGAGAGAGTGGGTGCTCTTGAGTCGACACCGCAGGTGTCTGCTACTGCTTGTGAGGAGAAGGCGGACATTGCTGCTGCTGTTGTTTCTGAGTCAACACAGGTGTCAGTTTGTGCCTGTAAAGAGAGCAGGGAATGCATGGGGAGAGTTGATGCTCTGGAGTCGACTCAGAAGCAGCACACGCAGCAGCTAGCCGTGCTTGAGAGGGTGTGTCAGGAGAAAGCAGAGGTTGCTGTGGCTGCAACGCTTGAGCTGACGCAGGAGCAGCACGCCAGGCAGTTGGGAGTGCTCGAGAGAATCTGCAGGGAGAAAGCAAACGCTGCTGCAACTCTTGAGCTGACGCAGAGGCAGCACGCGAGGCAATTGGCCGATTTGGAAAGGGTGTGCAGGGAGAGGGTGGAGAGTGAAGGTGGGAGCGAGAGGCAGCAGCAGCAGGAGAGGGGGGAGAGTGAAGGTGAGAGAGAGAGGCAGCAGCAGCTGGAGCAGCACGCTAGGCAGTTGGCTGTACTGGAGAGAATGTGCCGGGAGAAAGCAAATGCTGCTGCAACTCTTGAGCTGACGCAGAGGCAGCATGCCAGACAGCTAGCTGATCTGGAAAGGGTGTGCAGAGAGAGGGTGGAGAGTGAAGGTGAGAGGGAAGGGCAGCAACAGCCGCAGCAGCAGCAAGAGAGTGCCTCGATGGTGCCTCAGCAGGAAGGAGGGCAGCAGCAGCAGCAGCAGCCGGAGGAGCGTGCATTGGCGATGCAGGAGCTGAGAAGGAAGTGGGAGGGCATGAAAGGGGCTGGTGGGAGTGCAGCAGGGGCAGCAACAGCAGGAGGAGTAGGTACAGGTGCAGGCACAGGCACTCGAATCGGCACAGCCACAGGAACTGTAAGTGGAAAACTGGCAGGGGTAGGAGGAGCAGGAGCAGTAGCAGGAGCAGCAGGAGCAGGAGAAGGAGAAGGAGCTGGAGAAGCAGGTGGGAAGGCAGGAGACGAGAAGCAGAGTGAGGGTTCCAAATTCACTCATGATGACGAGGCAACCTCTAACGATGGAGAAGCATCAACGACTGTGGCAGTTCCAAACACAGCATCAACCACAGCCCCGAGCAGCAGCACCAGCAGCAGCACTGGCAGCACAAGCACCACCACAAGCACAAGCACCAGCATAATCCTCTCTCACACCAACGTCAAGCACACAGTGGATTTCACCCGCCTCCCCAACACCACAGACAAGGACTTTGAGCAATTCCTCCTCCTAGCGCAGCTCCTCCCCCCTCCCATCCTCTCCTCCATCTCCTCCCTCCGCTTTGGCTCCTCAGACTCCTCCTGTAAGTCCCTCACTGGCTCCTCCCTCCGCCACGCCACGGCTCTCCCCGGCTTGTCAGGCCTCCACCTTCGGGGATGCACTGGGGTTACCACAGAGGGAGTGTTACAGATCGGCCGGTTGACTTTGGTTGAATCCCTTGACCTGAGCTACACGCCTGTAGGGGACGCAGGGCTGAGGTGTCTCGAGCCGCTGGTGATGCTGAGGGAGTTGGATCTCAGCGAGTGTAACCTGGTAACCGATGTGAGTGTACAGTGGATCGTGAAGCTGAAACGGCTAAGGAAACTCGACCTTGGGGTGTGTCTGGGGATCGGAGAGAGAGGGCTGGAGAGGGTGTGTCGCGAGATGAGCTGGTTAGAGGAGCTGGGGCTTTCGGGGACGGCGCTGAATGACAGAGGTATGGAGAGGATTGGGCAGATGGGCGGGTTGAAGAGCCTGGATGTGTCACATACAAGGGTGACTAATGAGGGGATTGCGTGCCTGGTTGTGTCTGAAGCTCTGACTGTTGGTAAGGAGAGGGCGCGGGTGGTGCTGGCTAGAGCAGCAGCGGAGGCTGAAGCAGAGGCGGCAGCAGCGGCGTCTGCTGCTGCTCTGGGAGCAGTTGCTGGAAGGGCAGAAGCAGCAGGTGCAGGAGCAGCAGCTTCTTCAGCAGAGGGTAAGGGTACTGCTCCTCCTGCTGCTGCTGCTAGCCCAGCTGTAGCAACAGCATCAGTCACAACAGCAGCAGCAGGTGCAGCAGTGGTGGTTGCAGCAGCAGCAGGGCCGGCAGGGCGAATCCCTAGGACGAGGTCTCCAGGGTCTATTGCTCGTGATGCGCTGGCACGTTTTGTTGGGGAAGACAGTGATGACGATGATGCTGCAGCTGCTGGTGGTACTCCAACTGTTGCTGCTTCGGGCGTTATTGCACCTGCTGCCACTGCCGGGACTGCTGCCAGCGCCACTGCTTCAGTGGATGCAGCTGCTGCTGCCGATGTTGCTGCAGCGTCTGATCCCAGTTCCAGTACCACTGGCGCTGATGGTAACAAAGCCTCTGGCTCCAAGGAAGCTTCTGCTAGCTCTGAGGAAGCTGCTGCTGTATCAACGGAAGCTTCTGCTGGCTCTGAGGAACCTTCTTCTGGTGACGGGTCAGCTGCTGCAGCGGCCACCGAAACTGCGGGCTCAGAACCCCCTGAGACTGACAAGCCTGCTGCAGTTTCTGAGCCCGCTGCAGCCGCTGCAGCAGCTGATTTGGGTACTGAAGCTGCTGCTGCTGCTACTGAACCTGCTGCTGCAGTGCCTGCTGCTGGTACTGACCAGCAGCAGACTGTTGAAGAGAGGCAGAGTACAGTAGAAGAACAGAGTGTCTCAGAGAAACCAAGTGCTGCAGAGAAGCAGGGCGTGGAGCAGCAAGGCGCATCATCAACGCACACCAGTGCCCCCCCTGCACCCCTCACTCCTCCCAACCCATCATTATCATCATCACCTTCCACAGAAGGTTCCGCAGAACCTTCCTCTCCGTTCGTCCCACGCCCCCCTCCCCCTGCCCCTGCCTCCCGCTCCCTCCTCCGACTGCATCTAGTGGGCTGCTCCCGACTCACCGACACCGCTCTGCACCACATTGCACACCTCTCCCGGCTCCAGGCTCTCGACCTGAGCTACACTAGAATCACAGGCGAGGGTCTGGTGTCTCTTAAAGCCCTGTCTTGTTCTCTTAACGAGCTGGTTCTTAGTGGGTGTGAGCAGCTTGGGGTGGAAGATAAGGGAAAGGTGAGGAAGGGAGGGAAGGAGGGAGGGGAGGAGAGAGGGGAGGAGGCGGGTAAGGGCACAATAATGGAGCAGCTGGGGGCGTTTGCACAAGGGAGCTCGTGGTTTGGGTTTTTACAGATGGAACAGCCACATCTGGGCAGCACCAGTAGCATCAGTAGCAACAAAGGCGGCAGCAGCAGCAGCAACACCAGCACGAGCAGCGGTAAACGCAGCAGCACCAGCACCACCGCTACCACCACCAGCAGCAGGACGGTTGAACAGCCCGGGGCTGTGGCCGCAAAGGGCGGCGTTCTCCGTCATCTAGTCCCCTTAACGTCACTGCGCAAGCTCGATCTGTCCAACTGCGTGCGACTGGGAGAGGAGGGCATACTGTGCGTGTGTGAGGGCATGCCATGGCTTGAAGACCTCTGTTTGGATGGGTGTAAGCTGAGCGATGCAGGCTTTGAGGCTATAGGGAGGATGAGTCGGCTGCGAGTGCTGGATATCTCCGGTTCTGCGGTCACTGACGCTGCTCTAGTGCATCTTTCTCAGCTAAGCGCCAGTGGCATCGGTAGCGCCAGCAGCAATGGTCCCCTTTCGTCTGTTTCTTCCACCGGTGCTAGCAACAGCGGTGACAGCAGCACCGACAGTACCACCATCAGCACTAGCAGCACCAGCACTGCCGCTTCCCCGGGCCTGCAGGAGCTTCGGATGTGGCGGTGCCCGAACCTAACATCCTCAGGCATGGAACACATCGGGCAGATCCTCACCCTTCGTCGCCTCGATCTCTCCCAGTGCCCCGTGGGAAACCTAGGCTTGGCCCATCTCCGTCCCCTAGCCTCCTCCCTCACTTCCCTCAATCTCTCTTGGTCCGGGGTGTCTGATGAGGGGCTGTGCCAGCTGGCGGGGTACGATTGGCTGGAGGAGCTGCACCTGAGCGGCCCGAACGTGACCCCGCTCGGGCTGAGGCAGGTTCGGGGGCTGCCGAGGCTGAGCAAGGTTCGGTTGTGGTCCGTGACGAGTGAGGTGCTGGCTGCGGCTAGGGATGTGCTCTTGGGGGTGGTGGTGTATTGAGGGGGATTGTCCCGAGGAGGTGGGTGTATTGATGGGGGGTAGAATTGAGGGAGGGTGAACTGAGGGGGGATTGAGGGATAATTTATTGAGAGATAATATATTGGAGGACGATTGATTGAGGAGTGGTTGACTGAGGTGAGGTGTGGTGTAGAATGGTGTGGTATGGTTGTGCTGTGGCAGGAGGTGAAGCAGCCACAGCAGCAGCAGCAGCAGCACCAGCAGCACCAGCAGCGGCCTCAATCGTAGTGGCTGGAAAGAAGTTGATTCGGTGCTCTGTGCTGCTGGGTTTTCTGCTTGACTGTTGTTTTGGCTTATTCTAACTTGGGGGGCGTGTCGTTGGCTTCCCCCCACCATCCCTTGCTTCCTCTCCCCCCCCATTCCCCCTTGCGCTTCCTACATTCCACACTCCCTTGCCACTCAGTTACGGCGACCTTCCTCCTTTCTCCATCCATACCTCTCTCTTGGCCCCTGTGGAGTCTTCTTTTAGTTTGCCTTGCTCCCTGCCCCACTGCTACCTTTTTGTTTAGTGTTGCTCTCTTTGTCTTCGATGGGTACTCAAAGCTGTAGTATGCTTGTTCTGCTTACTCTTTTCGCTTGTGATAATGTAACCATTTTTTTCTGCTCTCAAGTGGTGAGGTTGAAGGAAAGGGAGACAACCAGGTGATAAGGTATTGGACAGCAGATATTAAGTTGAAATATAGGATCCTTTTTGTGTAAATAGGCAAGGCTCCATGTTGCACTGCAGTGTTCTTTTTTCATTTCTCCGGATTTTCCAGAACCGTACAACACGACGAACCTGTGACGGAACGGAATGAAGTCAATCAGAACCCACTGCTTGGGGTCAACCTCATTCGCCGAGATTCAGACGAGGAAAATCAGCAGCCACGGCAACCGACGATCAAGATTACTCGAGGTGAACGTTCAGATTCTTCCCGCCGCTGATTCGTGGTTCATAAAGAAGCGGCCCCCAGGAAGCTCCACCCGACGAAACACCAAATTCACGGGTTTTACAGGTCAGCTTCGCGGATTGCTACAGGTCAGCAAATTCTTTTCCAGCACGATGAGCGAAGCAGCGCAAGGCATGGCGCAGAACAAGGCCCTTGTGGTAAAGAAACAGCCAATCGCAGCAGGGGAACAAGCGATCCTCCATGTACCTTGTTCCGTTTCGATGAAGCCGACCGAGGTCAAGTTCAGGGTTCTAAGCATTCGCCCTATCAGCTTTTCAAGCGGTGATATTCGATATGATGGGTTTGAGAGTGGTTCTTCCAGTTTTTTTGTCTAATCTCCTCCGCCCTTTTTTCACGTCGCATGACATGGAACAACATCTCCCCCTTTTCCCGCGTCTGTCCGCCCTCCCCCACCCCCACCCTTTGGATTGTTCCTCACTCAACCTCCCCCCCGACCGCACTCCCTCCCCGCACCTCCCCCTATTCTCCCCCCATCCGACCTCTCCTCCCCTTACACCCACTTTCCTCCCGCCCACAAATCGAAGTAGCCCATTAATTTGCTTATATCCTTCCTTCGAAGTTACGATTCGCTAACATCTCTAACTTGGTTGAAGACTGAACCGAACTGTGAGACGCTCTTGAATGGCGGCTGCTGTGTGGATGAGACGATACCGGTCTTTATAAAACCGACGAACCCCGCACTTTGCACATGAAAGTTGTGTCTATTAGTTTTTTTAGGTCAAAGCAATACTTCATACTCGCACCAAAAAACTGACAATTGTTGTAGGTATTGCCTATTAGTAAAAAGTCTTCTGAGACGTCTCAATAACGAAGCTGCGAGAGATGGAAGCTCTGCTTAACGACATGCACGGCACGCACTTAATCGACTCCAACCGTTCGCGACACTCGCTAGACGACGCGCTCAGGCGAGCCTGCCTCGCCGCTGAAACTTCCTCGCCGTCTCCCAGTTCCGTCAACGTTAACGTTAACGTTTGTGTCAACGGCGGTAATGTCAACGGCGGCGCTAACGGTAGGAGAATCCTGCAGGGCTCTGGGACGACCAATCCTGGAGGCAAGGTCAACGGAAGAGTGCATCCTGGTTTGGACTATAACGAGGATGCCTATCACGAGAGATTTCCTGCAGGTCATGTGAAGCCTGAGGACTGCGGGAACGACTTAGTAGGTCCTATACCCCGGTCTAAGGCAAGTAAAGACCGCGTTTTAGGCGACAGTAAGATTATCGATGCTCCCGGTGCCGCTCCTTATCGCGTACGAGCAGCTGACTCCGTTCCTGGGCTTCCCGGCGTGAAAAGCGGCGAACCATCGGATCTAAGCAGCGGGACCAACGGCGGTATTTATGGAGGAACGGAGACCCGTGGGGGCGGGTTTGCCGCCGGATTTGGCGGCGGAGGAGGCGGCGGTGGAGTAGGCGGCGGCGGAGGAAGTGGCGGCGGAGGGAGAGAGGGCGAGGAGGAGGAACAGAGTTCAATCACTCGAGAGTTCGCGAAAATTGCGGCGAGGAAACGAGCGGAGCGGCTGAGGAACAAGCGGGGCGGCGTGAAATGCGGAGGGAGTGGAAGTGAGTCGGAAGCCTTAGAACGGGCCTTGGAGACTGCCGAAGCTGCAGTCGTGCTTAACGGGGCGGCTACTAACGGGGACGAGCTAGTAGCGGGGGGAAGAGTCAAAGAGAAGGCCAGATCTTGCCGAGTGAGAGTTATCCCTCCGTTGTCTGCGGCAAGCGGACTCGATTCAGTTTATCGTCATGAGCCGAACGTCGGTCAAGACAGGTTCGCTGCGGCAGCCTCGGAGTGCGGGAGAGGTTCGGGAACAGGTCCTGGAGCGCTGATCTCGGTTCGGCGATGCCAATCGGAGTCGGAATCGGAATCGGAAGGGTACACGGTTGTATTCACCCGCCTCAAGGCGCAGAAGCTTCGGGAGCGAACCGAGCACGACTCGCTATTGCATAAAGACGACGGTGTGGCAGTTGCAGCAGCAGCAGCACCAGCAGCAGCAGGATCTGCGCCGATTGCGGCGCCGATAGCTGCGCCGATAGCTGCGCCGACTGTGGCGGCGATTCCGGAGTTCGTCCCGTATCAAGCGGGGGACGAGGCGGCAGTGGAGCTAACCTTCGCGTGCGGGCTGGGCGCAGGGAGGCAGGCGCGCGCGGAAGGGGAGTCAGGCGCGCGGGGGCAGGCGCGTGCGGGAGGAGAGGTGGGCCGAGGCGGGTTGCCCCGCAGCCCTGTGAGCAAGTTTCGTGAGGGCGCGGGGGGGAGGGGAGCGGCGGCTCTGCAGGCGCAAGGGCGGGCGGAAGAAGAAGCGAGGGGGGCGCAGGCAGCGGGTGGGGCGCGGGGAGAGGCGGGGCCGGAGGTGCGGGCGGAGGGGCGGGCGGAGGGGTTCGCAAGCCTAACGTTCAACGAATGGGACAAAATCAAGGAGCGGGTGATGGCAAGAGGAGAGGACGCGGGGGAGGGGGAAGACTCGGGGGAAGCGGGGGAGGCGGGGGAGGCGGGGGGAGGGGGAGGCAGGGGAGATGGGGGAGGTTTGGAATGAGGAGGAGGATCGGGTGGCGGATGCCGAAGCTGCAGCTGCGGACCAAGCCGCAGAAATCGCTGCCAAGGCTGAGCGGCAGGCTCGGATACAGAGGATGCTTCTGGAGGTGAATCTACCGCGCCTGGCGCAGTGGGGGGGGATGGGGGGGGCGGAGCTTAGCAGTGGCGCAGGGAAGGCGCTTGCTAGCAGCGCCCCTGGGGGGTTCTTCATGGGGAAAAGGGGGACGGGGGGAGGCGGAGGGGGGAATGGGGGAGGCTCATTGGGGTATAGCTCTGGAAGCGGATCGTCTGGTGTGAGTAGCAGTAGCAGCATCGAGGGTAGCGGGGGCAGTGGGGGGGTTGGGGGGGTGGGCAATGGGGGAGGTGGGGCAATGGGGGAGAGCTCATCGGTGCCTGTCACTCCAGCAGGAGGACGAATGGATGGCGGGTACCAGGGAGGAGGCTTGGTGGTGCATGGGGGAGGGGGATATGGGGGAGGGCCGTATGGGGGGAGGGCGTATGGGGGAGGAGAGAGCTCATCTTTGCCTGTCACTCCTGCAGGAGGTGGGGCAGCAGGGCGAATGGATAGCACTTACCAGGGAGGAGGCATGATGGTGCATGGGGGAGGGGCGTATGGGGGAGGTGTATATGGGGGAGGTGTGTATGGTTGGGGGCAGGTGACAAAGGCACAACCACAGGCACAGATGCAGGTCCAGGCACAGCCTACTGCACAGGCTCGTGTGCAAGGCAGGAAGGGGTTTTTCTCCTTGCTTAAAGTGGGAGTAGGCGGGGGGAAGAAGCTGGCTAAATCAGAATCAGCAGACGGCCGCCTGTGATGGGTTGAGCTGAAGAGTTGACTCGAGTAATGGCTGTATTTAGGCCGAGTTTCTGGGTTAGTCAGGGAGTGTGTGTCACGTGCTTAAGAGTGTAGAGTTTCATCCAAAATTAGGAGACTATGTGTATGCTGGAGTGATTAATGCCATCTGGATATATGCACCACATGCTGTGGTGTACATATGTGGCACAGAGAATTATGGTTACATTAAGGGGAAAGTATGCCAATGGTAACATACATGGGGCTCTTTGTTATGAGTTGTACTAGACAGAGTGCGCGGAAGTCTTTATCAAAAGGATGTCGAGTACAGAATGCCGATAATGATAAAGGAACAGGCATTTATAGGGTCGAAACCGTGCTAGGCGAGGACCTCGGGACGTGGATGGTTTGGAAGTGTCGCGATTGGTGCGGGGCGACTCGGCATTGGTTCGGTGCGGAAGTGTAGGCCGAGCCACCTGACGCGAAGTGCTCGGGCTGTACCCGTTAAGGCAAGGCTACAGTAAGGAATTGGTAAATTCCTTACACTCTTTAACGCGTACAGTAACTGTTACAGTACATTTTCACGCGTTTGGTAACTCGTTTCACGCGATTGGTAACTTAGCACAGGCGAATGATCACGCGAATGGTAACTAGATGAAACTCCCGCCGAAATGATCCTGACTATGAATTTGGTAAATTGAAAGATTTCACTGACCGTTTTATCTATCTTGAACGATTCCCGCCGTGACTTTGAAGTGTCAAATGTTAATGTTATGATAGGCTGCAGTGAGGTACTCCCTAGAGAGTATAGCTCTTGTAGGATTCCTATTTGTACCCTTGCAAACCCTAATTCCAACCATTCCGTTGCATTCTACTCTTGAGATGGTATCATAGTAGGTTCGAGTTCCTTAGCCCTAGCCTAGCCCTAGCCTAGCCCTAGCGCCCTCCGCGCCCACG